ATCATCAATCACTAGGCCTATAAAAGCTGCACGTACTTAGTTATATAATATGAATATTTGTTATAGATACATTTGCTTGTTAAAAGTACTATGTACGGCTGCTCTAGAACTTCCCAGTACAAGTGGACAATCATCCACGTATACATAATCCTAACGTTTCCCATATTAATATAGCACAGAGAATCATCACAAAACAAATATTTTGGATACGCTTGAAAAGCGCTTTAATATTCGCTTATTTATTATAAGATAGAAGAAAAAAGTTCGTTATATGATATTATTATAATGAACTACATATATCTTAAGCCTTTTTAAAAAAGTTTTCTTGGTCTCTCTAAACGAGTTCATATTCTTAAATTACAATTTTATCTTAAAATTAATCTTCAACATTAAAGAATCGACGAAAATAGAAGATAGAGAATTATTTTAAAATAAGAATTTTTAAATACTTAAGGATTTAGGTTTTGCAAATTTTATCATATAAAACACGTGGCCAATTAAAAGTGAATCGTTTTAAGGTAAAATAGAAATCTTAAAAAATAAATAATTCAATAATAAATTTTAATGAAGATGTCATGTCATCGGCCTAAATAGGCGATTAATTTACTTTTTGAAATTAAATTGTAGCAAATTTAATGATGAAAAATCTTTTAGAAAAATATATTTCTCATTTCTTCAATACATATTATCATTTAAATATGTAATTTTTAATATATATACATATATATATGTATATATAATACACACACACACATATATATACATATATATGTTTATTTATCAAATCAATAACTAATTTTATATATAGCTAAATTATAAATTTTTTTTATTAAAAATTTAAGTAGAAATAATTAATTACTATTTTTAATAGTTTTATCAAAAATGTTCCTATTTAAGTTACATTTCTGTCCAATTAAAACCAACATATTTGTTTTTATGAATTTATATTGATGCCTTTTTACGTCTAGTCAAATTGAAGGCATACATGAAAAAATTTAATATAAGGTTTTTTTTTCTTTTATGATTATTTGTTGTTCTTTTATTAACAATATCATGCGTGTCTGACAATTTCAATTTTTTCATAAAAAACTTAGAGATAAACATAAGATATAGTAATTAAAAAGGTAAAACATAAAAAGATTCAACGAATTAAACATTTGCATATAGTTCATAAAAAAAAGATTTAAGAATTTTTCTAGATCAATTTTTCGAAGTGCAATAAAAAAATTAATAATTAATAAATTCTCATATTAGATTCGTTATAAGATATAAAGCACTTTGTATAGTTATAGTAACATATATAATAATGGTTTTGAATTGTCACTCGTATTATCATCTGATAATACATATTAAATTACATATATTCAGTTTAAAAGAAATATGTACCATACTTTGGGGAATGTTTATCCATATGATTGGCAGGTACCAATCCATTAGATAAAAAATCGTATAGATCTTATCCATCCATATAATGCCGTCAGTATTTAATACAAGGATTTACAGCTTATTCTTCCAAGAAATATGTCATTTATATTATAAAAAGCTTTATAACATTGCACGCGATAAAACAGAAAGAAACATTGTATTTTTCCATTTGCGTTATTAGATTGAAATATGAAGTATTGGTATACATGAATTCAACTCATTTGCTGTGATACAATTGCATGTGACAACACAGGAATCAATATCTCTGACTCAATCGCTTTTAATATGTTATAACATGTTATTTCAGTGAGTTAATCTCACGTGAAATAAATTTCTTATCATTATCCCTTACCGAGCACAAAGGAACCTAATATTACTTTTATTATAACATGAAAGAATATTGTTATTGCATAATTGTATTCATAGTTAACACATTTTAATCAATTAAATAATACATTATCAATTATTATTTCAAAATTTAAAGCATCTATTTAAAAAAAATTTTATACAACGAATAGATATAAAAACGTGTTTTTAAATACGCATTGATCGTGTTTATTTTATCATAGCTTGTCGGGAATTATATTTTTGTTCTATTCATTTTTATTTGTATCATATATTAATTATTTTGTTCGTATAAATTTGCAAAATATTATTTTCTATTATTTTGAATATTATATTAAATAATATATTTATCAAAATCGAAGATATTAACCATGCAATAATATTATCTTTTATGTATACATCATTATACTTTATTTTCCAAATTTATTTATTTTATATCATAATAAAATATCTTATATCAATTTCATGTTCACTATTTGCATCTATCTTAAATATTATAAAATATTGATGTCTTAAATCAAGATTATTACACACATATATACTGCCATTATTTTATAAATATATCTTTTCTTTATAATGTAATGTATTTTTTATATTATGAGAAATTTTATTTGAATAGATGTATTTTATGTATTCGAAACATGTAAATTGTGTAAAGTAAAAGATGCACAATAGTTTCACTTATTTTTTTAAGATTACTATTAGTTATAATTATTTTATTGAAAAATAATAATGTTCATACCTAAGTTAAATATTTTTTAAGTTCATAAAGCTCTAGCGGTAAGTGTAAAGTTTTAACAGAGAAAGAATTATTGAAATTATATCAAGAAGAAATCAAAAGAAGACACGAAAATTTAGGAAGCTTTTTAATATATTGCAAATATATAATTAACGTATTATTATTGTATTTAAATGTTCGTAATCTGTTAAATCAAATGCTTTCTGTATTTATATATTTTGTGATGCGAATTATTTATTATAATAATTTGATTAAAAAATTTTTGAAAAATATAAATATCAATTCGTGCGTAAAATATTTGATGAAAAATTTTTTCTTATATATCAGCCATAAAATTATGCAGTAAGTTTATTAAAAAAAAAACTTCAAGAATAATTATTTATAAATTATAATTACAAAAGAATGTTGAACAAACAATAGTAAAATCGTAATAATTGAAGAAAAGTGATAAGAATCAGTAAAAATAGTAGATGTATATAAAAAAAGAATTGTTATTACCTCTATATTGTATGTAACACTCCCTTCCTACCTGTGATTTGTAAAATTTACTAGTCAGCTTACTGCATTTATTAATAATAATAATAATAAATAAAATATTATAAGAAAACACATATACACATTCACACAATCGCTATATATAGTTATTTTATTATAATCATCAAACATAAAATGGTTACTCGGAAATATAACAAAATATCATCAAAAAATATCGAATACAAAAGATTTCAATTAAGCAAATTTATCATTGTTAAAAATCTATTATTATATTGATTGTTATATAGCCGAGTACGTGTAGCCTTCTTAATATTTAAATGATATCAAAAAATATCAATTATATATATAAGCATATTTTCGCATTGTAAAATTATATTCGAATTCAAATTATATTAAAAATAAAATGTACTAATTCGGAATATTCGTTTCGTGTTTTAATGAATAATAATTTAAAATGAATTACATATCTTAATCAAATATATTATTTGTATATATCATATGTAAATATTCTAATTCCATTATTTTAGTGCTAATTACTTTATATTATTATTTTTTAATATATTATATTATTATTTAAAATCGTATATATTTTTTCATGTTCCTTTCTAAATTAAATCAATAAATATTATAAAAAAAGAATAAAATAAAATTTCTGCTTATTTATTCATAAAATTTTGCTTATATTTATATTTATTTTTTTTATATTTTGCTATTACAAGACAGAGAAGATAGTCTTAATATTTATGCATAGAATTAATATTTATAATTATAATTAATGTAATTTTATATTCTGAAATATCAATAATGTAAAAAATTGAAATGTTTATGATATGACTTAAAACTTGAACAATCTATTTCACGTTCAGGAATTACATTCAATTACAATTTTAATTAAAAATTTAATCACAAAAATTAATAAAATTAACAAATTTTAAAAATAATTTCTTTGATACATTCTTTCATAAATATTTCCATATATTAAATATTATATTGGATTGTATTTATAGATTTTTTGATTGCTAATAATAAACATGATAATATCAATCAAATATTGGAATCATTTCTTGAGCGCGTAAAATTTGTATAACAAGGTAACGAAATAGACGAGAAAAGAACAAAGATAAAGTAAAAATATGGAAATCAGGAATATTTTCAGAATACTGAAAATGAAACTAATAACAATAGATTAGATATAGAAGTTTTTATCAAATTTCTTTTACTAAAATTAAAGTAAGAGAAGGATAGAGAGAAAAAATGGTAAGAATTAACCATGAGTGTCATCTTTTGAGTATCAAAATCTTTTTAAAAATAAATTAAAAATTGAAAATTAACGCTAATTTTTGAATGATTTTAGAAAACATTGATAATTTGAAAAACATGATTTTTTTAAAAAAATATTTTTAGTATTCAAGAAATAATACTTTTTCAATCAATTCTTATTCTATTTCTATTCATTTTTTACTATATTACTATTTAGTCATACCATAGACTAGATATAGAAACTAGATGTAGTCTCTTATATCTAATCTTATTTATATTAATTTGATCTTACTTATATTAGTTTCATTTCCTCTGAAAATGACGTTATTTCCCATATTTTTACTTATTTCTGTTCTTTTCACACTTTTTTTCTTCTTATTCATATTTATACTTGACACATCATAGAGAAGAGATATCAATTAAACATATGAATTTCATGTATCAATATATTTTATACAGATATTTTGTAATAAAATATTTGTTCTATTTTTTATTTTAAAATTTAATTTTAATTTTAATCGTTATTAACATTGCAATTTTATTCTGATTCAAATTGGTAACATTGAGAATGATATTAAAATGGTAAGATCTTAAAGGCATCGAACAAAAAAATGCATTCAATGTTAGATTTATTCTGTACTTCGTCTGTGATGAAAATTTTTTAAGGTCGGTATTACAGTTAATGTGACACAAAAACTCATAAGAAATTATATCTATTTTATATTTCGTCTGTGACTAAGTTATTTATATTATTCTTAATAATGTATACAAAAAGTACATCTTGACAAGATTTTTCATCTTATTTTAATAGAATTATATTATTTTAAGATCGAGAAAAAACTAATTAACAATGCCAGCAGTAATCGTGGGTCCTCCTCAACGTAGTGAACAAATGTGGCAGGCATTAAAGGCTCATATTACAAGAGAAAGACAACGAAAAAAACAAGGTAACCTTTTTTACAAGAAATTTTTATTAAACTTTTGCTAGTATTATCTCTTTATTTTAATTATGTAGAACAAGAAGCAGATGCAGAAGAGGAACGTCAAAGAAAAGAAAGAGAACGCCAGCAAAAACAAGATGTAATGACTTTAGGTGAAACTAGAGAACAAATATCAAATTTAGAAAATGAACTTTCACAATTAAAAGATGAGAAGCATCAATTGTTCTTACAATTAAAAAAAGTTTTAAATGAAGATGATAATAGAAGACGACAATTAATTAAAGAAACAAGGTTTATATCATATTTCTTAACAAATATAATTTAATAATATATATTGTAATTAAATATTTTTATTGTATAGTGTATGCACTGAAGTTTTAACAGCAGTAGGATATCCTGGAACAGGTCCTAGAGTAGTTCATCCACAATTGTTTCTTCCATTACCAAGAAGCAGTAGTCCTCTTTACAAAGTAGCTGTTGGTGCACCAACACATACTTTATTACCAACTGTAAATGTATGAAAAATTTATTTATTTATAAAAAATTAATTTACTTATAGATTTTTTTTTTAGGGACCATTAAAAAGAACACATAGTCCTTCACCACCTCCAACTGCCTCCCCGTACCATACTGGTTATGGATATAAACCAACACCTTCAATACCAAGTTATAATCCTCCACCTTCCAGTAAGTATATAAAAATATAACATATATTTTCGTGTTAGAAATATGAAAAAAAGACAAAAAAAGAATATTAAAAGTAGATATTTGTGCCTGTATAGAATCTGAGGAAGCAGCTAGGAGATCTGGCGATTCCCGAGCTGTTCTCTGGAACAGTGAGTGAATATAAACCTTCTTTAATTTCCATGTTCTTTCTTTAAAAAACCATCAACAATTATTTTTGCATTTCACATTCTTAATTTTGTTATAATGTATTTTCTTGCAGAGAACAATCAATATTCTGCTTCCAATTTTTACTCAGCACCTACTGGTCAAAGTGTTTATAGTTATTCTGCACCAACTTCACAACCATCTCGAGAACCTGAACCAACCAAATCTGTATATCTTTCAAGTAATAGAGCAACATTATCAACACATCAAACTGGTATATTAAAGTTTATATAGATATTTTATTTTAATCTCTTTAAATTATATATATTAATAAGAGATTTGCAATATTTTTTATTTATTAGCTTATGTTACAAGTTTGCATTCATTGGATCATAAAGGTGCTTATGCAGAAGATAAATATTATTTGAGGCCAAGTAGCCATGTTACTGTTCATGGTGGAGCTATTCCAATTCAACAACCTCCACAGGTTTTTTTATATTTAAATATTATTATATTCTCATACAACATATATTATATTCTCATATAATATATTCTCATATATTATATTCTCATATAAATACATAATATATAATTATAAACAGGGTGCAAAAACTGGAGGAATCACATCAGGATATCCAGTAAGAGCACCACAACCTCCACCAGCTCCATATCCTCCACCACCACCAGGTACTTATGTTAGTGCTTCTGGTGCTAATGTTCCTGGACGATTATTATATACTCAGCCTGGTGCCCGATATCTCCAAAGAGAAGTTTAGAATATTAATTCACAAGTGCTTGAATTAAGGTACTTGTTCATATTGTGTATATGTTTTACAGTCACCATACGATAATATTGGATAATATTTAAAGATATTTGTCAATATCATAAAAAAAATTGTAAAAAGAATATATTTTATATGCCATTATTTAGACGCCATATTGCATATAAGATATATAAATACAAGATCTGTAGATATGTTTTGAATAATAGATAAAGCACTTTTATTTGTATATATTTTATTTTATATTAAAGATTTTTTTACATAATGCAATGAAAAATATGTAGTTACATAAAAAAACAAATAGCAATAATTTTGTAAAGTTATAAAAAAATAAAATCATTATGCTTCTTAAAGATAGGATTGAAATAAAAATATGTTATATTGTTAAAATAGAATAACAAATTATCGACAAAATATTAACATATGTAACAAATAATGTTTTACATAAAATAAAATTGATAGAACTATATATTTTCTATCTTGTTATCTTAAAGTCTAATTCCTAATATTTCTTCATTTTGTCTGTGTCTCATTGTATACAAATGACTGCGAAGATCAAATATGTCGGTTAACGTAAGATTACACAATTTGCAAAGAATATTGGTATTTTCAGGTTTTTTTGGATCCCTATATATTAATAAAATATTAATAAAAAAAATGAAATAAATTAATAATACTTATAATAAATTTTTTAATAATTTACTTACTCAGTTGCTAATATTCGTAATTTTTTTACATGTTCTGTAATTTCTTGTAATTCATTTTCATCTTCTAATTCTAATGCATTATGCAATTTATATATACTATTTGTAATCATGGATGGTTTATTAGGATGAAGCAATAAACTTTCATTATATAAACCCCATTTATCAAAATTATTAATAAACTCAATAGTGCGAATTTTTCTTTCTTTATCAATTAACTTCAATAATGCATCTTTTATTCTATTTTGACAAATAATAACTTCTTCCATGTTATTTCTGCTTTCAAATTGATAAGAAACTTGCATTCCAATATTCATCCAATGACGCAGTCTATTTATCTGTTATAAATGAGAAAAATAAATATATTGCAACCAAAAAAAATTTTATCAGTATACTTACAAATTGCAAATCATCTATAGTAATTTCAGCATCAAAATGAAGTTCTAGATCATGTTCTGGAAAAATACTTTTTTTAGTAAGAGGATCAAAACCCAATCCACATAATGCGCCAATATAATAACTTCCAAAATTATTGCGTCGTAATTCCATATATGGTGTAAAAATTAATATAATTAAAGCAGTTAATCCAGGAAGACGTGGCATTAATGTTGTATTATATAATGTTAAATGATGCCCAGATATATTTTGTGAAACAGACCCTGCTACTAAAAGTCGTACAGAAGAATCTTCAAGTTCAGTGTCTAAGAGAACAGAATTCACTGAACTGGGAGCTATTTTTACATTTTTATCTCTTCCAGCCATAATAAGATGACTTAATTCAATTTCTAATGGTGAAAATGGTCCCCGTAAAGTTACTGTTGTATTGCATTCAATATCTGCAGGTGGATCTGGATAGATATCAGGCATATAATCTTGATTATACTGTAACATTTCATAATGATAACATTGCTCGTCTGATAATTCCGATTGTTGTAATCTTAAATTATGATTAAAGCGTGAAAAATAATCTTCTTCCTTTTTTATTGCCAATCTTTTTTCAATAAGACTATGATTTATATTAATTTCTCCCTCTCCGTTTTTATGAATTAATTCTATTGCAACAACGCTATTGACAATAGAATAAATTTCACCAAAAAGTAAACCAGATTTATTAATTAATGTCCAAAATAAATCAAATGCAGCTTGTGACCAATCATCATTAAAACTATGTGCTATAGATGGTCGAATTTTTGCTAATTTGCATTCAAAAGCCAATGCAGGAATATTAGAAATATCATTATTACATTCTAGATATTTCAAATCACATAATCGACATTCGCTTGAATAACCATAATCCATAAAAAAAACTTGTACTAATATTTCTGGTATTAATGATCTATGGCCTTTCACTATTGCTCGAAAATATGTTTTGAAATTATTTTCTTCATATGGTGCAATTACTAATGTACCAGTTTCTGGAGCTACTTTAAATGTTTTGAATTGATCTTTCATTTTTTCAATAGTTGATTCTATTTTTTTCAATCTTTCTCTAGTTACAGGATTACGTATTTGAACCCAAAAACGACCTGGATTTTTAACCTGAAAATTTAAATTTATTAAGATTATTATCATAGTTTATAACTTCATTAAAAATACGTACATTTTGTATTGTTAAAGGAATACGCGTTACTCGTAAACTAGGTAATTCGGATTTAATTTTATCTTTTATTATATTTTCAGGAGTAAGAAAAAATGACTTTCTATTCAAATTCATTTCATCTGCTCGTTGAATAGCTATAGATTCGGTTAAAATCGGTATTTCTATGGGAATGTTACATTGTCTCATTCTGACTGCTTTGTAAACAGAAGGACATATTTTTCTTGATGTATAATTATACTCTTTTTCAGATATTTCTTTAGAAAATTGTATATAAACACGCGAAGAATTATCAAAAGATACATTTATTTTTCCAATAGAAGTTGTTAAATGCTCTTTAAAAATATCTTGAAATCTTCGAGCATACAAAAGTCCAGGTTGTCTCATAGGCCATCCTTGTAAATATACTGTCTTTGATGGATCTAAACCCCCTAACAATTTCACTCCAGCATGTTCGTTAAATTGATTTTCTGATATTGGTATGCTTCTAACAAAATAATTTGGATAAAATGCACCAGCAATTGCAATTTTTAAAACAAATGGTCGTTCATCTTCTTTCCATACAACTTTATTAACTCCAGCACTTTCTTGTATGCCTAATTTTTCCAATCTATTAGTTAATTCTGTTACCATAGCTTTAACTTCACGTAGCACTCTAATCTGTACAAAATTCCTTAATGCCCATGCTTTTTCTTCAGTGTCGTTATTGAGTCGACGATTAGCTTTTTCAGTAATCCATACTTTATATACATTCATAAAAGCAACACAATCACTGCAAGAATTGGCTGCCCAACTAAGTCTAATATTATAGGCTAACATTTTTTGTTGAAATGGATTACTAAACATATCTTTAACAGATAGACTAGCTGCAATAATGATTGTATCTTTTAAGACACTAAATACATGTCCTAACATTATTAATTTCGATAGATGAATATCCAGAGGTAAATTAGCCATAACTCGACCAAGATCTGTTAATTCTCCATCAAGAGGTTGTATTTCATTGCCTTTATTTAATAATGCTCCTGTTTCCTTTAATAATAATATTGTTCTTTCCAAATTTCCAAGATTAGGTGGATCAAGAGAAAGTGCTAAAATAGCTTTAGGTTCACCCATATCTAATAACTTTGACTTGAGAATTACATTTTCTAATGGAGATCGTAATATTTCGGGTGATACTTCTTGAGGTAAAATACTCTGTAATTTTGAATTTTTATTTTATTTTAACAATTTTATTATAATTTTATATTAACTTTTAGATTATTAAATAAATTTACTTAAATTATTTTTAAATTATTAATAGAAATTACCTCATAAAATGCTCGTGGCACTAATCGATATACTCTACCATCCATTACTCGGCCAGTACGACCTGCTCTTTGTTCACAATTTACTTTACTTGCCCATTTTAATTCTAAACATTGAAAATTCGTTTGTGGATCCGTAACAAGTTGTCTTATTAAACAGAAGTCAATTACTAAAAAGAAATATAAAATTAAATATTGTTTTATACAAAATCTTTTATATTTCTTATTATAATTAAATAAACAAACCATATTTTACATCAGGAACAGTAACACTACTTTCGGCAATATTTGTAGATAAAATAATACGACGATAACCATGAGGTGGTTTTTGAAAAATCCGCTGTTGTTCTTCGTTTGTAATTGACGAATGTAAAATTACTATATCCCATTTAGCTTGTTCATGTTTTGGTAAAGATAATAAATTATTCATTTCTTCAATTTCATTAATTCCTGGTAAAAATACAAGAATCACATGTCTTTCATAAACATTTGTTTCTGGATCATAATTTGCATCATCAGCTTTCATATCTACATCATCAAGAATTTTTATAAGATTAACACAAAAATCTATCATTTTTTTTGTAATATTTGGTTTAGTAGCATTAATTTCAGGTATCTATAAAAAATATAATAAAATATATTAAAAAATATATATAAATTATATATTATTAAATATATTACATTTAAATAAATCAAATCAATTAAATATTATTTTTATTTTATTTTAAATACCAAAATTAAACATTTACCGGTCCTAATACAGTCATCTGACAAAGATAATAAATACCAACATTAAATAAAGTTTTTTTTGGTATATCAATAATAGGTGCAGGAACAAGTTTATTTCCCACAGGAGAAGAAAAATATTTAGCAAATTTTTCTACTTCAAATGTAGCAGACATTAAAATAACTTTTACTGAACGTGAATTTGTATGTAAAAGCTTTCGAACAACAAGAAGAAGGAAATCCATATCTTGATCTCTTTCATGAACTTCATCTAATATAACATGTGTATATTCCAACATATTTTTGCTATTTATTAATTTATGTAAAAGAACTCCAGTAGTGCAATATGTCAAACGTGTATCTCTGGATGTATGATTTATTAGGCCCACTTGATATCCAACAAGGGTACCTACTGGCCAATCTCTTTCTTTACTGACACGTTTTGCAATACTTATAGCAGCAATTCTCCTAGGCTGTGTAACTATAAAAATATAAAAAATTTTATTTAAAGTAAATTAAATATTATTATAAAATAAAATAAAATTACCTATAATATTGCAATGAAGTTTTTTTTTATAACAGGAATCTAAAATAAATTGAGGTACTTGTGTAGTTTTGCCACAACCAGTTGGTCCTTGAATTACTACAACTGAATTAGTTTCAATCATAGACACTATCTGATCTCTTTTAGAAGTAACTACTAAATTAGGTTTTGTATGATAAACAAATTGATATGTTTTATAAATATTCATTGTTTCTTCATTTTGTATATTTTGTATAGCATCTGTTCCTTGTGATACATCATCAAAATTTCCTTTATTTGTATTATAATAATTTGCAGTCTAAAAATATCATAAATAAATAGGATGTTAAATAATGCTTAAATTGTAAATTACATACCTGTAAAAGTTTATTTTCTTCTTTTTGTACATATTCTGCTATATAATCTGTTCCTTTTTCTTTATGTGTAGTTGTATTTAATTTTTGTACATCTAATAAAGACTTGTCTAATAATCGTTTTCGGCTTGATGGACCAGGTAATACTATTTTTTGATTATACATATTCAATACATCCATTTTACATCAAAAATATTCAAGACCTGTATTAAAATAGTTTTATAAAATATATTGGAATACACATTTGTATATAGTTTTAAATAATAATGATATTATTTTTATTTATCAAGATATTTATTTACATATGCTTTACAATAATCAATGATTTAAATTAAAATAATTTACTTAAATAAATATAATTTATATCAAAGACATGAATTACCGTTTTATTTAGTCAAAGTTTTATCAACAATTGAAATTAATTTAAAATATTTCTATAACCTTTATTTACTAATAATTAAAAATAAATGAATTTTATATAACTTTGAAATATATTCAATTTTTTAATTTAAAAAAATCAATAATAAAATAAAACAATGAAGATCCATTTTTATAATCCTACTTCTTTGCAAAACATAGCGGTACTTTTAAGATATATTTAAAAAAAATAAAAATTTTGAAATAGAATAAGTGTACATTGAAATATAAAATAATTTAAATATTCTATATTTTCAAAATTTTTTATAATTGAATATTATACATAAAGCTAATTTAAATTATTATACAAATGAAAAATACAATGTGCATTTTTATTTCGTTAGCATATTTGAATTCATATACACTATATTATATACATTATGTATATAGTAAGATGCATGTATCAAAATCTAAACATTATTGATTGTATAATAATATATTATAGTTATTATATTCAATAAACTTTCTGTATTTCACTTGCATTCAATATTATTTTAACTTTATTTGTACGTACTTGCCAATCTATTCAAAATTTATCTGAATGAACCGAAGAATAATTGTTAACTCCCGAAATTCAATTTACCTCTCTGAATCACGTTCGTGGCTTCTGTGAACTATTATAATAATTAATAATAGTAACATGAAGAATATAAGTAATTCTGAATGTACACACAAAATAAAAAATTTACATAAGATATCTAAAGTTACAGAAAAAAGGGAAACAACCGATTTGTACGTAGCTTTATATTCTAATTTGTTTTGAATTTTTAAACATTTTTCTTTATATTCTAATTTGTTTTGAATTTTTTAAATTGTTTTTTATATATTTTCATAATGTAATCACAGGAATTGGTGGCTTTTATTTGGAATTATTATAATACTCACAGCAGGAACAAGATTTTATAAAGTTACAGAACCACAACATGTTTGGTAAGTTATTTGTAAAGAAATATTGTTGCATTAAATTTATATTTAATTTATATAAATATTGAATATTTTAGTTGGGATGAGACTCATTTTGGTAAAATGGGAAGTTGGTATATAAATAGAACATTTTTCTTTGATGTTCATCCACCTCTTGGAAAGGTAAATAATATATATATATATTATTTTGTTATATATATTATAAAATATCATATTTTAGATGTTAATAGCATTATCTGGATATGTAACTGGTTATGATGGAACATTTCCCTTTGAAAAACCAGGAGATAAATTTGAAAATGTTAAATATGTTGGTATGAGAATTGTAAGTATACTTTATAGTATAAAGATTATAATATAATATAAAGATTATAAACATAAAATATTTAATAATAAAATAAATTTATTCTATGTTTCAGTTTTGTACATTTTTAGGTGCAACTATAGTTCCTTTATCATATCTTATTATATGGGACTTAACAAAATCTATTCAAGCAGCAACATTTTCTGCATTATTTATATTGTTCGGTATGCATTGTATTTATATATGATATTGTGTTTATTTAATATATAATGTGTAATAAAATAAGTATATTGCTTTATAATTTATATATTTTAGATGTGGGGTTATTGACATTAAATCAATATATTTTATTGGATCCTATATTATTATGTTTTATGATGTGTGCAATTTGGGGTATGACCCGTGTAGGTTCTCTTTATAATGAACCATTTACATGGAAATGGTGGGGTTGGTTATTATTCACAGGAATTTCTCTTGCTTGTACAATTAGTGTAAAATTTGTTGGTTTGTTTGTTGTTTTGTTAGTTGGATTTAACACTGCTTTTGAATTATGGAGAGAATTAGGAGATCTCACAAAACCTATTGTAAGTTTTATAAATTTAGTATTTTATTTTATAATTTTATTTTATAAATATATATTTAGTAATCATTATCATCAAAAGATAACTATTTTAATTTACTTATTCAATTTTTACAGATAAATGTAGGAAAACATTTATTAGCACGATGTATTTGTCTAATTTTTATACCAATATTTTTGTACATGTTATTCTTTTATATTCATCTTACTGTTTTAAGTAAAAGGTGAAAATTTTTTTTATTGTACATATACAAATTTTTAATATAAATAAAATAATATAATAATTATATTATAAATATATAATGAATATAATTTGAAATATTTAATTGTAGTGGAAGTGGAGATGGATTTTATAGTTCTGAATTTCAGTCTTTATTAGAAGGAAATTCCTTATATAATGCAACAATGCCACGACAATTAGCGTATGGAGCTACAATTACTTTAAAAAACCATAGAACTGGTGGAGGATATTTACATTCTCATTGGCATCTTTATCCAGAAGGCATTGGAGCTAGACAACAACAAGTATTAATCTTATTATATTATTATTTAATTATTATTTACTATTATTATATTATATTTATACTATATTTTTTTTTTGTTTTCTTTTTAATGTTTTTTCATCAGATTACGACTTATTCGCATAAAGATGATAATAATTTGTGGCTTATAAAAATGTTTGATACTGATGATATACCATCAGAACCGATATTAGTAAAACATGGTGATCTTATACGCTTAGAACACGTTATTACTCATCGAAATTTGCATTCACATAAAGAAATTGCACCTATTTCTAAAAAACATTATCAAGTTACAGGATATGGTGAAGTAATTATTTTTTATAATAATTTAATTTATATTAATTTTTTATTTATAATAATTTAAAAATGATCTATCTTTATTTTTATAGAATGGTACTGGTGATGCTAATGATGTATGGAAAGTTTTAATAGCAAATGGTAAAGATGGTGATGTAGTCGAAACGGTGACGAGTAAATTAAAATTTGTGCATTGTCTATATCACTGTGTTTTAACATGCAGTGGTAAAACATTACCAAAATGGTTAGTTACAAAATTTAATATATTTTCAAGTAACAAAAAAAAATTTATATATGCAAAAATTATAATTCTTTAGGGCTTATAGTCAACAAGAAGTTTCATGTAATCCAAATATGAGAGACAAAAATGCACTATGGAATATTGAAGATAATAATTATGCAAAATGTTAGTGTGTTCAATATTTATTATTACAATAAATATCAAATAATTAAATATAATTATATAATATTTCATAGCATATAGCATTTTTACTATTTAATAATGTTTTTTACAGTACCAAATGTCAGTTTTCAAGTATATGCACCTAGATTTTTAGATAGGTTTTTGGAATCACATGCAGTAATGTTGCAAGGAAATTCTGATTTGAAAGTTAAAGAAGGAGAAGTATCATCACGTCCTTGGCAGTGGCCTATTAATTATAGAGTATGTTATATAATCACAAAAAAATAAAAAAATTTAATTAAATAGTAAATTTTTCAGGGTCAATTCTTTTCTGGTAATAGTTTAAGGATATATTTACTTGGAAATCCTATTATTTGGTGGGGTAATATTATATTTTTAATACTTTTTATCATACTATACATTCACGCTTGCATAAGACAACAACGCGGTTGTATAGAAAGTCCTGCTATCCTTGAACAAAGAAATAAAATATTAAATGCAGGAAAATGGCTTTTTATTGGTTGGATATTGCATTATGCACCATTTTGGGCAATGACTAGAGTTTTATATTTTCATCATTATTTCCCAGCTCTATTATATAGTTCAATGTTAAGTGGAACAACTTTAAATTATATTCTTGAAAGTTTAATTATTTTATTTCCAAACAAACTTGGATATGTTATATATCATACAATAATGGCTATTGTTATTTCAAGTATCATATATAGGTAAATATAAAAATGCAATTAAATAATGAATATACATACATATATATATATATATANATATATATATATATACATATGAATATGCATATATTTATTAATTTATTTATTTATTTACAGTTTTTATTTGTTTTCTCCATTAGCTTATGGTATGATTGGTCCTTCTTCATTAGATCCTGAAAGTCCAATGCATTCTTTAAGATGGATGGATACTTGGGAATTTTAATGAAAATTATTCTTCTATTTTAAATTCATAAAAAACAAATATAAATATATTTATTTAAAATTTATAAAAATTTAGACATATATATCATTATATTTTTATATGTATAAATATAAAAGATATTTTACAAAATTGTGACAATTTTTATTTTTAATTACAAAAACTATACGATTTATTTTTCATAAATATAATGTTTTTTCATAGTTTTATTTATAAGAAAGAAAAGAAATAACTAAGATTATACTATAACAACAAATCTCATAAAGAAAAGAGATTACATGAGAAATTATACAATGAAAGATAAAAATAACACTATACAAAAACCTACGATGCTGATCACATTAAAAAGTTTCGAGTGAGCGTAGCAACTCAGCTGATCGACCCACGTGTTGGAGTTGCGCCTCGACAACGCGACACAGTCTCAATTGTCTATTAACCGCCCGATCAAAAAGAAATCTTGAATCATTGTGAATCTTTTTTTAACTTTTAAGTTTATTTAGTCCAAACAGTTATAGACATCAATTTATTTAATACATCGAGTCTTCATTTACACCAAATCTCTCCATTATTAGTGTGTTTAACCGATGAATAATAGCATGAATTTTTAACGATCAATAAACAACTCCCGGAGATTTTTATTCTGTTGAGCGACTACGAACGCACTCTCACGTGAGATCAGGAATAGTTGTCAAAGTGACCACGTGTTCTTATGAATTTCCGGTACGTATTCTCGCGCCTATATGTACGTACAAAATCGCATGATTATTATTATCGATGATCGGTCTACAGAAAGATATAACGATCAAGACTAGTGAGGTTTTTGCTTGGATTACTAGTGTTATTTCTTCCTAGAAACACAAATTAAACTGTATGTATGAGTATGAATTTATAAATTTTAATAAAAAATTTTAACAGTGTATATTAATATGTATTAAATTTGATCGATAATCACATACTCAGTCGCCATTCTTTTAACATCGGCAAAATTATTTAATTGACAATGATAAAATTCATAGAATTGTCGACAATTCGCGCGCTAATTTAGATTGGTTGAGAAACTTGTCTAACGATGAAGATTTAAAATGACTATTGTTTAAAAACACTTGTTGCTATACCGAGCAAAGATAATCGGAACAATTGATTTTATTTGTCATAGCTTCAAGCAGTATCGTTTAAAAAAACTTAATCTGTTCGACTGCATGTGAAGCATAGAACATTATGAACATGTGTAACAACATTAATCGGATATCAATGTGTACATATATTAATACGTAAGATACAAATTGCCACGTTGCTCTCACATTAAGGTATTTAACTTAATCAAGTATAAATCAATCAAATGTATATTAAGTTCATGATAATTAATTTTATCGTTTCATTTTTTTTAAACAGATATTTAACATTTTTTATATATTATTCTAAAAAATATTTGTGTAAATATTAAATAACTTTAATTGAATTAAATTGAAATATGATTATATTATATATTATGTATTAAATTATATGTGCGAAATATGAATTAATTAACATGTTCGCTAATAATTGTACCAAATAAATTATAAAAACGAGCTCGCAAACAAAACATCAATTAACTAATTAAATTTCAATTGATTAGTATTATAGGAAATCAATTTTTCATGTATAATTTAATCCATAATGCTTGGATAATTTATTTCAAGTTATATCGAACTTGAAGAATTGTTTTTCTCTTGTTTTTCAATTTTTATTTGTAATCGTATTTCGTAAGTTATCAGATAACTTTTATATTTTTTCCTTGTTATTATCTTACTTTTTATTTGAAATCATTTTTTTAATTATTAAATAAAACTTGATTTTGATTAACTTTAAATTTAACTTAATTTAAATTCTTAAATTATCATTATTTTATTTCTTATTTTTTATTGAATTCGAATTGAAGTATATATATTTACAATAACAAGTAACAATTCTGTTCCATATCGCGGAAACATAAAGAAATTAAACTATCATATCTTACAAACGCAGGAAACGCGGGAATTGGTAATGAAATTTGACCTACTTACTTGATCATATATATCACGCAAATCTTCGTTAGTACTTAAAATGAAAAAATCTGCGAAGGTGTAACTCCTATTATATCATTTCCTTCTTGAGAATTATCATAAATTGGAATATTTCTTCATTTATGTTGCAAAATTACATGGTAATTTTAAATAATATCATGCAATTTAAAATGATTACATCATGACTTGAATTTTTTAAATTTCGAATTGATCACAATAAAAAACAAAAAATTTTTTTTTTATTAAAGAAAAGAAAAAAAAAGATTAAAGATATATTTTATAAATATATTTTATCTGTGTAGATTGTTAAAACACATCTTCTCTAATTAGTCGTAGAAGTAGTTTGTTATGTGGCGAATCGTAGGATCTATAATATGCGAGACGTACTAGTCATTTCATTGGCATGGATTTTCGTGATAGAACAAGGTCTGTGCGGCAAACTCGAGCGAGTTGCTCATCGACCCAACAATGTTCTCGACGATTATTATGCCTATCGTCACATCTCTATTATCCACTTCAATGTTCCGGATTGCACAGTCGCTGCAAAATTCAAGTAAACTTTAATTAAAATTGAATATAAAAAAATTCAATTCCTTTATTTTTACTGTAAAAAATAAATAAATATGATTCATTATCTTTAGGTTCACTGTAAAAGAAGAAAAAATTGGTGGAATAGGTGGATGTTCGGCTCGAAATGTCTCTATATTTTTGAAATCTGGCAGTCTACCATTTGTACGACCTGATGGATCGAAGATAGCAGCCAAACTTATGAAAGAGAGACGTCGATATTATTCTTTAGATATGGAAAGTAATGGATATAATGATTCGATAAGAATTGATGCACCTTCACCGGGCGATTGGTATGCCATTGCGTTTCGATCTTGGAGCGATCCTGATAATGGAAAGATTACACAACAAGGTTAATTACCAAATTAATGAATAAATTATAAACAAAGAAGAGTTGATGTTAATGACGTAATAGTATATAACGTATATATTATTACATATTTGCAGGACTTGGAGCATCGTGCGATACTATATTAGATGCAGAATTATTATTAGAATCTGCTTCTATAGTTTCGTCAATGGATCCAAAATGGAAATATGAGGTGCATATGAATGAAAGCATGGATTCAGCTGTAATACAGTTATTAATTCCCGATGAATTCGTGGAGTCTAATTTATTATTTACATCAAGTTGTGGTGAAGAATGCACGATCGCGGTTTACGTGACCGCGGAAGATTATTTGACAGGAATGATATTGAATACTACAAATGGCACTGTATTCTTTAAGCCCTATTCAGATGCGTTTCATTATGTAACTCTTCGTTTGCTTTCTGGAAACTCCTCGAAAGTATCCTTACAGTTATTCGATAATTCATCCACTTATGACTTGGATCAAGTGAAGTTAGTGGATTTAATGAGGAAATCCTTACCTGATTTTTTTCTCTTTGATTATGAACATCTGCAAGGAAACAGTATAAAACCATCAGCTTTTAATTTAACTTCAAATACTTTATCCGTCCTTAGTTTCGAAATCGGTAGAGTATATGATGTTGGTGGTACATTAACTATAGGATTGAAAATAGTTGATGTGAAAGATAAAGGAAAAAAGAATATCATTGTGATCGCTTGCATTTCATTAGGTGAGCAATTGAAAATTGAATGAAAACAAAATTCTATTATTTAAGCAATTCCTGTTCTATTAGGTTATTATTCGAATATCACTGCCGGTGGAAGTTGTACACGTATGGAAAATACAACGATCGCGGACATTTATGTGAATTCCACAGGGCCAGCTACTCTTCACATTCCATTTCCAGAACCAGGAATCTGGCATATAAGTTTGAAAGCATTTTATGTGGAGGAAAATTGCCATTGTATCGGAACCTGTTTGAATAATACTATATGTGAAGACTGTGATTGCATGAATCCCTGTGATGCCAGAGTAGAGAGTCGTATTTCTTCATTACCTTGCATCGAAGGTCGCTGCAATTCTCGCGGGAAATGTATGCATTATATGAGTGGCGGTTTTGTATTTGCCGCATGTCATTGTTCAGGTGCTTACCGAGGTTTTGATTGTGCGGATGATACTTATGTACTCAGCAACAGCGACATAATAGTCCGAGTATTAATGTTAACATGCAGCAATTTGGCTTTCATTGCTTCTGTTTACGTGGCAATACGTCGACAATATTTCACAGAAGCTATAGTTTACGCTGCTGTATTGTTCTTTTCAACATTTTATCATGCTTGTGAAGCTGGAGAAGATGTATACAGCGTATGCATTATGAGACTGAGTGTGTTGCAATTCTGCGACTTCTTCAACGCTCTTTTGTCCATTTGGGTAACATTAGTAGCAATGGCTTCGTTCGGACCGAAACTTACTGCTTTTTGTCAAATAACTGGAGCTGTTATTCTCGCTATGAGTGCTGAAATGGATCGTACAGCCCTCTGGGTATTTCTTCTGCCAGCCATAACGGGTTCTGTATTGATTGGTTTTTCTTGGGGTATAAGATGCAAGAGAAGAGGTACGATTCGTTATCCATCACGTCCTTATAGGTAAGCTATTTTCTTTAGAAATTCATAAATGCCAATATTATTTGCATTATATAAAGTGAAATTTATTTATATTTACAGGAACATTTATTTTCCGGCTGGTCTTCTATTAGTTTCCGTCGGCCTCATTTGTTACGCATTTCTGCAGACAAGGAGTAATTATTATATTGTACACAGTTTGTGGCACGTGTGTGTCGCTATAGGAGCTATACTCCTTCTACCAAAGCGAAAGTACATGAAATAATTGTTTTTCTATAAAATGAAAGTTATTGAAAAGTTATATTGTATTATATTGAAAAAAAACCTCGTTGCCAATTTAATGAAAAAGAAAAAGGTACAAAAATATTTGTAGCAATTAACGGTGCTCATATACGATGGTACATCGAACAATATTACAATTACCAAAGATTTTATTCTTATAAAAATTAAATAATGTTTATAAAATAGTTAATGTTGTTCATCTAAATGTATATTATTAAGTAATATGAACTTCATTACAGCATTAATTGCTTTAATGTTGTCTATCAATTATATAATTATCTTAAGATAGAATCGGTCGAATGGCATCATGCTTGATTGCTTGTTTATTAAGTTTATTAATATCAGTTATTAAATTATATTGCTTAATAATGCGTTCAACAAAAATTTTTGCTAAGGACCAAAGAATTTCTAGGATAAGCATAGATAATTACATATATAAAATATAATAAAGAATGTCTAATATTTTTTTGTAAAAATAAGCTTACAAAGATTATAAGATTACTTACATTTACTAATCTAAATGTATCACAATATTCTATAATCTATCATTGATTATGAATTCCTCAAGAAATTTTGAAGTTTAAATTCTAATATGGTTTATTTAGTATTTGATATTTATTTTTATCGATGTTAATCTTATAAAATTTTGTTTTATTTCTCTTAGGAATCAAAACCTCGCACGCGATTCATACATTAATAGAAGTGATTATATATTTATATACATTGTAAAAGAAATTATATCTATATTGAATATCGATCAAAACATTGTGTTCATACTAAAAGATAAATCGTTATACCATTTAACTCTATACGGTCTTATTTGTCTTATTTAAAGATTGTATAAAAAACACGTGTCTCTATTAGGAAAGTTGTCACGTTACATGCTAAAGTGCGCGAACGAACAGTTCCATTTACGTGGAAACAATTTCACTTTTCTTAATTCATATATACAAAATCAAATAAATGTAAAAGGAAATCACTATACTATTTGTCCTTTTTAATCTATTAAAAATTGTCTGCAATTACTATTTACTATTTATAATTAGGATATAAATTTCCCGATAGGAAATTGATTCTATTTGTGATATTATTTAATAAAATGGAACTATATATAAATATTTTTATATAATATCATCTGTAATATAGCATTGATTTTCATTATCATTCTGTTTGTTTAAAAACATACGCTTCTGAAAATTCATTATATTTTAATCGAATTAGAATATTCATATCATTAAAATCTTTGACCTCTGACATTATTATATATTATAAAGTCCCAGTTCCTGTAGGCGTGGAATTTCCTGTGTTAATTGCGGCGATTGTAGTAATTACGTTTGATAAAAGGGATAACATAGTTTCCATGGAGAATCCGCAATGAGGATAAATTCGCGAACAATTTCGACCAGCTCTCCCTGCTTCCACTGCCTCCTGTATCGCGGTTCCTTCCATAGTTGTACGGAAAACTTGATTCGTCGTAATCGTATCAATCACACGGTCAAAGGACGAAATTTTTTCATCGTTATTTAATTTATTGGCCTCTTTAACAGATGAAGAAGCTTGTTGCGAATAAGTACACACGATTCGTTGCATGCAGGATGTTGTATCGATACCATGATGGGCCAGGACATCATCCATTTTTGTCATTATTTGAGTGAAGCCGCTTTCTTCACCTAAAATAAATATTTTGTTAGAAAATTAAATGATAAAAATTTTGATTCTATATCAGAATTAATCACTAATTATTAAAATTTAAAATAACTTACTTCTTGCATAATGACCATAAGTACCAGAAAGGACGTAGAGCAGTTTAGGAATAATGAGGATGGAACCTATTCCTATAATAGCACCCAAGAATAATCCTCCTAAATCTATTTTTGCCGGAGCATACGTTGATATTCCGTAACCCTGCACCAATTTCTACATTACTATTATTGTTATAATTATTATTATAATATTATTATTATTATAATTATTGAGACATGTTTAAAGAAACGAGAAAAAATATGACTTACGCTTCCTGTGCTACCAAGATTTGTGAAACTGAATCGAGGTTCTTGACTGCGATCCGTGATATCGTTATTGTCCATGTCATTTCGTTTCGCTGAAGTCTCATTACGAAGCTCTGCTTGAGAAGGCATAGCAAGTTGATCCTGGGACTTTGCACTTTTATCCATATAAATCATGGAACTCGGTATAAATCTATTTACAATTTATTTCGCTTAAAAAAAGAGACTTTTACTTATAAATAGAATTTAAAATTTAGAGATAAATAAAGAACTCATTGTTTAGAAAAAAAAAATTAGAAATAAAAAAAATCAATTGTATCTTATAGATAAAAATATATTTTTACAATCACTAATCAGATCTAAAAAGAATCTTACCCTCCATCATCAAATTTTGGACTGCTTCTAACAATCGCCATTGAAGAAAATAAGAGTAAGATGAGATTTTGAAGATTAAGCAGCATCTATGAAAATAAAATTTGAAAAAAAAAACATTATACATTAAGAACATTATTTTTTGATGATTCTATCTCCTTTGAAAGAAACATACCTTCGAAGAAATTAGAATTATCAAAAGAGAGTAATTCTTGAGGGCGTGTCGTATTGTTTCGTTTTGAAGAAACTGAAGGATATTAACATTGTTCGTAGCATATATAGCCATGCACCTACTCCGAATCGTCACGACATGACAAACTATGGACATAATTGGAACCGGTGGTTTCGCTTTCATTGTTAGATTTCCATAGGACACTCTTACGGTCCGTGACTTGCTCGTCTCTTCTGAAGAAGCAGCAGGACGTTAAACTGTCGCTGTGAATCACTTGCGACAGACGTTATTGTCTGAGCTCGAAATAATTTATCTTTCGCAAGATCGATAAGGATCTTTTAACGCATTTTGTTTATTTTTTTTTCTAGATCCATAATTTTTACATTTCTTGAAAAAAAATTTCTTTATTAAATATTATTATTATGAAAAAAAAAGACAAGATATTATACAATATATTATTGTTCTAATTTTTGTGATACTTGCAATGTATGTGATTTTAAATTTCAATAATAGAAATAAAAGAAAGAATATCTTTTGATATTTTATTTATTAAAAATCGCAGAAACTTCGTGAAATTGGAATATCATATGTCAGTCTCGCGGCTATGCATTCGTCGTCCATTTGATTTTGAGACAAGGAATTCGTTCTGCAGGTTGCTCTGGAAAATTCACGAAAGTCATATGCATACACTAACAAACCTCACATATGAATGCACACATAAATTAAAAAATGTTTCCAGTGTTTCTCAATCATTATATGATACTAACTTTCGCTTTAATTTTAATCAAATAGCAATCAAGAAATGAAAATATTTCTATATATATATATATATATATATATATATATATATATGGTAAAAATTTTCATTGAATTTTCATTGAAGTAAATGAAATAACTTTTGTGAAAATAATGAATCGTAAGTGCAAATGTAATTACACTTATGCGCGAATTTGCGGAATTAGGCGTGACGATGATCAGTATAACAACTATGATATATATATGTGATAGTAATTTCATGACAGTAATTTAACTAGAAGTTTCTTTTAGGTTCGTTAATTCTGCTCGTGAAAATAGAATTTCCTATTTGACAAGAGTGGGCTGACTCTTGTACAAAAACTGCCAGCAAGGATCAAGCAATCGTCATATGTTTTCCTGTGTGCGCTTCAATTAGTCGATTTATCAACTCTACGGTAAATATAACAAAAAATTTTTACTTCTAATAATTTATTTGAATTATTTATAGCTGAATCCTTTTTAGAATAATTTATCAAATTATTTTCAGTGATATAATCATGAAAAATTCGTTTAATACTATTACGTTGTTATTATGTCTTTTACATTTTTCTATCTCGAAGGAGAACGTTAATAGAAAAGTAAAAAGTTCAAGAACTCATAATAATAGTAAATTTGGAAAATATCCAAGTGGAGGATTAATCTCTTTCGATTCAGATCAAGAGAAACTCAGTGTAAGATTTAATAAATTGTTAATAATTTTAATAATTTTATCTAGATAAATAAAAATTATTATTATTATTTTTTTATAATTGTTAAAGATTGATTGGACAGTAACTATTCCCTTTATTTCGATACCTTTTGAACATAAAATAAGGGAGAACGGTGAAATTCCGCCATTGCTCAATGTTAACACGAAATCCCTTGGAATCGTTGGATTAATTACCACTCTGTTTAGCGTAGCTTCTCCATTATTCTCAAAACCGCATCCAGAATTCAATTACCGTAAGTAAAATATATCGATTCTCTATATTTAAATTTATTTTCTTTATTTATTTTCATTTTATTTTTACTGCTTAAAAGGATCAATGGATAATGACCAATGGTTAGAAATGGGAAACACTATCAACGAAATGATTTTTGGCAACAATTACGTGGCTCCATGTATGCAACGTATTGTTTGTTCGATCGTTTCAGTGGCTACGCATTCAGAGAATCCAACTAGTGCGGACAAAATAATTGATGGATTATCGAGGTATTATTAAAATTGGAAAGAAAGAAAACTAAAAAATTTAATATTATGAAAATATTTTAATATTCGTACAGTCATAATTGGTTCAAAGACATCACAAATGGTACAATCATTCAAGATGCTGTGATTACTGGACGGAAAGGAAATCGTGATTGTGCTTATGTTTATAAGAAGTGTTTAATAACACCAAAATTTCTAAAAACTATTATGAACGAATTTGGAATAGTATAACGATGTAAGATATATTTTATTATCGTATAAATATAAAAAAAAATATTTTTGTATATAATTTAAAAAAATTTTCAGAAATTTTTTTATTCCTCTAGTTCATAATATAAGGAAATATGTTATTATTTTAACTCACCCACTATGAAATATCTTCGCGTGCACTGCTGCGTGATCTAGCCATAATCACCATCACTTTGAAACTTTCACTTTTTGTTAAACTATCATATGAAATGCTTAACGATGCTTCTGTGACAAATTAACGTATTTTTGTGATATGTTGTTTTTTTACAATTATTATAGTATAAAAAAATATTGCTGCGCTTCATAGAATTGTCATATTGAATTAGAATGCGGATACAATACAAAAATAGATATTCATTTTATACTATTTATGTATTATAGCAAATTACGAGCCTACGATTATTTTATTTTCATTTCGAGATTTTTTACTATAGTTAGTAACTATACTACTATAGTTGATAATTATAATTAATTCGATAAATTCAATTAGATCATTTAGGAGGAGATAACAATATCGCTGCTTCTGTGGAACCAGCTGCTATGGCGAGATCATATGGCGATTGATTCATTTTATCAAAACATATCATATCTACGTTGTATTCCATTAAGAATTTGATAACTTCTGTTCTATTATGCAACGCCGCGAAGTGCAATGGGGTTCTTCCAGAAAAATCTTTCTGCGAGAGTATGGCGTTTGCCAATTGATACGATTTTAAACGTTTTACGTTTCCAGTGGTTGCCGCAATACACATTTTTTCTCCTATTATGCATGCATTTCCGTGTAAATGTGCACCGCACTGCATTAGAATTTTAATAATCTAGAAAATTGAAATGAAAAATCCATTGAAATTCTTTCCTTGAACAAAAAATATAACGTTGGAATGATATTGTACCTCATGATGATCAAATTCTATCGCATCAGTAAGAGGGGTGCGATTAAATCGATCTTTGATATGAACGTTTGCACCCATTCGTAAAAGGCAGCGAACAATATTTAAATCGCCTTCGCAACAAGCAATATGTAAAGCTGTGCGCCCGTCTGCGTTTTGTTGCGAAATATCTGCACCCTAAGGAATAATATATATGAACGTATATATTGATTTGAAAAAGAAATCAAATTTAAAAAAAAAATATGCCAATTATGTATATTTACATATGTTTTTAAGGCTTCGAGTTTTATTATGTCGCGACTTCGCACGGCGGCATTTAACATCGCAGGAAAAAGAATTGATCCCAATTCTTGATATTCTGTCGTCGAAGAGATTTTTAAAGATCTTGCAACCGCTTCCACTAAATCTAAATCTTCGAGATGTGGAGGTCGTCCTGCAGTTAATTCTCCGCGTAGATTTGTTTGCATCATTTCGAGTTTCGTTTGCATATCCCATTCTTCCTTTGACAATACGTAAGCGAGTTTAGTCAATGCAGCTTCAGGTGTCATATCGAAACCTGATATTATACCTAAAAATTTTTTTAGAATTTTTTTCAAATATGAAATAATTTCTTTTTTATTCGTTTCTCAATTTTGAATTATTTTTTTTTTTTTAATCGTATACTGTACCAGCATCATAAAGAAATTTGGAAGGTTCGTACAAATTTGAAACATGACCCGTTGAACATTGTGTAATATTAACAATGATAACTCCGCGTTTCGTAGCTGCGGATAATTCTTTAATTATATCTTCTCGATTAGAAGGAACATTTCCTGTTCCATAAGATTGCAACACAACACCTTCAATAGGAGGTTGTAAAAATGTTTTTACCAAATCCGTGGTCATACTTGGAAATATTCGAATCAATCCAACATTTCTATTCAAGGATGTATGTACATAAAACTTTTCTAATGTACATGGTCGAAATATTGTTCGATAATTCACTGTAATGCAGATATTCATTATAATGACATTGATAAAATACACGTAAACAATATTAAAGACATTCTTAAGCTACATTCGTATGCGACATATATTATATATATGCTAATGTATTTGCTTTATAACAACAATTTTAGCACTTTAATGATAGTTTGTAGCAAAATGTGCCGCAATAAATTAACACATACATATAAACATGTTAATATTACTGCATACAATCAGTAGTACGTGTACATAAGTACTACTTACTCTCACTTTTCAAACATTTTGATAACTATTTCTTTGCATTTACACTTCTATCTAATGGATGAGAGAATATTTCATGAAAGCAAACGATCCACTCGAAAATAAAACCACAGTCAATTAAGTGAATTGCATCCTGTAATTGGGTCAGCTGCTAACCTTCTATATTGATGTTGGCCTTGGCCAAAAGTGGGAAATTCGGTGAATCGAACGCTTCGAATGAGGTGGCCGATATTTTGCAAGTACGATTTCCTCTCATCAAATTCGTTCCGAAAAATACGCATACTTCTGGTATGTTATGATTTGCGGCTATTATTAGAGACGAGAGGAAGTTGTCTAAACCATCGCTTCTGCTGTCAAAAATTGGAACTTGAGAACCAGTTAAAATAACTATTTTACCCAGAGATTCAAGCATAAAAGATAAAGCAGATGCTGTATAACTTAATGTGTCCGTTCCATGTAGAACGATGAATCCATCAAAATACTCGTAAGATTGCTAAAACGATGAAAATTATATTATAAACATACATTTTTTTTAAATTATCAAAAAATTACGAAATTAACTTAAAAATTAACTTAAAAAATTTTAAAAACTTAATTACAATGTTAAAGACTTTACATTATATATTTTAATTTTGTTTATAGATGTTCCTCTTTTTTTTTATTCATTTATATAATACATACATTCCCGAAACAAGTTTTCCATTTTGATGTATGTATATGTATATGTATGTGTATTACAAATTCATATTATTCGATTAGGCTATATTTATAATTTCTATGCTATATATATAACTTATGTACATATACATATATAATTTATACTTTACCTTAATATCATTAGCAATGTGTATCCAGTCGTCCATAGTCATGTTACTAGAATCGCAGAGTGGTGAATATTCTAATACATTATAAATGACACGTCTACTATCTGTTGCAGTCATTCTTAAAAAAAAATATATATATATATATATATACGTTATAATTTGAAATATAAGTTGAAATTTATTATTAATTTGTTTTACACTTACGGAAGTACCAGCGGTCCCATCGACCCAAATCGTTTTTCCGTGTATTCTCGATCGTACATATGTGGATAATTCCGTAATTTTTTCACAAAAGCGTTTGGTTTAGGTACAAGAACTGTAAAAAGAAATCGTGTTATCTTTATATTTCTAATTAGATTATTTCAATTTTAATTTTATATAGGAAAGAAAAAATTATAATTATAATATTACCTCCATTTTCATTTCTAATCATGCCAATAGTACCGCCAGTATAAAGAACAAGCACATGACTTTCACGAACATTTTCAGTAGTTATAGAACTATTACAAATGTTATTTCTCAAGTGATCCATGCCACTTTCCTTATGATTATCAATATGATTTTCCACGTGCAACATATTTAAAATTGAGCGCTCCACGTGTCACAGTACGATGTTATCAGTGCGAGATTTCTATTGAGAATGATTTGTTATATTATTTCTGTCACTGAACGTAAATGTTGAATCAAGGTCTGAAACATACATATATATTTTTCTAATTGATATATAATATAGATATATGGCAAAAATCTTTGGGAAACAATTAGTTTAAAATATATGTTTCATAATACAAAACAGAATGTGAAAGATTATTAAAACATAAAAATGATGATTAAATGCAGAAAATAAATTTTTTCGATGTTCCATATTATTGTTTCTAATTCGAAAATATTTGATACAATAAATAAATATGACATAACTGTATATTCAGAATAAATTTCATCATATTATATCAAAGTTCTAGAAAATGATACGCATGCTTATTGGCCTTAGATAGTGTCTAACAAAATAAAGATATCATTGAATTTACAACATTAAATTGATATTATATTTCATCGTAATTTTTTTTACAAATTTTGTAATTATCATTTATAAAAAATATTTCTTTATTTTTTAACATTTTTTTCAAACATATGTACTATATGATATCAAATCAATATATAAAAATGTTAAAATAATTTTAAATGAAAATACAATTGATTGTATAAATATATTATATAATCTTATAAAATTTATATAAACATAAATAATCTTATATAATTATTTATTTTTTCCACAATTATGTATTTATGTAAAGCTGGTTAAGCTTATTTTAAATATATATAGAAAGCAACAATTTATAATCTCAAATTTATCTTTCATATTTCATATTTTTTATATATCCAACTTTCTTAATCATTTTCAAATCTTGAATTTATCCTAAAAAATATAATTTTTAAAGAGTAATCTTATGAAATTATTAATAATGTGCAATGTACCTTTGGAATATGACTCCATTAGCTTATCAAAGCGGAACTTAACAATATCATATGTAACCAATACTGAAGATCCGCAAATAGTTGTCATTAAATTAGCTTGTACGCCTTTATAAAAACCAAATAGGCCATCTTTTGCTATAATATTATTCATCTAATAAAATACGAAAGAATCTTATTCATTAAATAAAATATTCGTTAAATATTCGTTATTTTACAATTTTCTACTGACCACATGTCGCATTGGCGGATATTCAATTGCATTACGTCCGCTCCAAAGCATTTTTTGTCTGGCTAATGTATCAAAAGGATAAGCTATAACTATCGCGGCCCAAGATGATGATTGTGCAAGCAACAAGGATACTAAGAATGGTACAGTTACTGTATGAGAATTTTTATCATCTTGTAAAGAATTACTCAAATATATTCGTTTACCAATTGTATAACCACCAAAGTAAACAGATCTACAAAGTTTAGTCAAATTTTTAATCTAAATTGTCACATTATGAGATTAGAATTTTATTTATTGCTTATTTATCGTTATTTCATTCTATTCTATTTATTTATTTGAAGAATTATTTAATATAATAGAATCAAAAATTGTATCGATCGAATTCTTTTAAAATAGTTATAACAATAATTCAAAAGATATTAAATTAAAAGAAATTAACAAAAGAAATTAAATTAAAACAAATTCATTCAATAAACATACTAATATATTTGAATTCACAATTGATAATAAAATTAAGTACTATTTAAGTTAAATATTATTTTAGTTTTACTTAATAACATACTTTTACTTAATATTCTTAAGTATTACTACTATAAAACCTGTACGAGGAGTGCGCGATCGCCATGTAGAACGATCCTTGATAAAAACCTCTATAACCATCGTTCTTATAAACTTTCGTTAAGCAATCTTTTAAATTGGAAAATTCCCTCTTAATAATCTTGTCATCGCCGACATCTACGCTTATTCGTGTATTGCAGAAATTAAGGGGATAGAGTATCATAGTGGAAGTGGCACCGACAGAACCACCGGTCAAAAATGGCAAAATGATGTGATTGTGAGTTCCCGATGGAATTATCTGCGTAACATTATCTAATTTACAGATATAATGTTAAAAAAAAATTGATAAAAAAAGAAATTTTATAAATTAATCTTTTAAACGAACTCTTCGAAAAATTTCGTAATATATGTCATAAAAGGAAAAATGAATCGCTTGAGCTGGAAAATATCGACAAACATTGAGGAGATTTCCGCGCCATAAAGATAAGAATCCTTGTTCCTTAGGTATTCTAATAAATGCATTTAAAACACCACTATATGGAGCTCGTTTCTGAATTCCTATTTGACGGCTACTCGCCTGTGTCTGTAAAATCAATTTAATCCTTTCTAGCGGCGCAGTCATACTTCTAAATATGATTGCCAAAATTCCGGAAATAATGAAAGAAGCTCCAAAATCAATTGCGACATGTAACCGAGTATCTAGTCCATTCAATAGTTTAGCATCAACCTTAGAATCAGATTGTGTTGTATGTTTATCTCGGTTTTCCATTGATACTACTTAAAAAGATATTTAAAAAGATTTTTCAACTTAAAAGACTTATTAAATCTTATTTGTTTAATATAATATTAACTCATTTTATTTTTCAAAATAAATTCAAATATATATTACAGACAAATATATATTAGACAAATTCAATAAATTCAAATATATATTAAACAAACTTCGTTTAATCAACTTTAGTCCATATCGCAATGATAATTACACAAAAATCTTTCTATATATGGACCAATAATAATGTTTAATGCAATTATAATAAGCGACCAATCATTTTGCAAAATAATGTATATTATAAATCGAATTGTGAATTAGCATAAAGTTATATATTGGATAGAGAAAATCATTGTATTTAACATGGTTGGAACTAACATAAGAGATAGACTTGACACTTACAGACGCCAGAAATATAGAGAACAAATGACAAAATCCATTAAGAATATCATTCAAACTGTCTTACCGTGGAATAGAAATAAATCAGCTGAAGATATATTAGCAACAACACCGTTAAGTGATATTAAAGTAAGGTTATGTTATTTATGACGTATACAGTTCTTTAAATATTATTACGATAATTGAACATATTTTTATATGTCAATAATATCAAATAATCTACTACAAAAAATATATTTATTACATAAAAAATGATTAAAATAATATTTATTGCAAAATTTATATAATAGATCAATATGATTAACTATTAAAAGCTTGCAGGATAATCAAGATATGGAAAGCACCTATTCAGATGATACTGAACACCAATCACAATGTACAATACTAAGAATAGTAACATATCTATTATATTTTCTTCTATGGGCTACCTTATATATAATTGCAATTGAATATGAATTTGGAGCAATATATTTTATTATATCTACATTAATATTTATTTGTTTAAATACTCGGTCTAGACCAAAAAAACCAGGTGAACTTAGTGCTTATTCTGTATTTAATCCAAACTGTAAAGCTATTGAGGGAACACTTGATGCTTCACAATTTGAAAGAGAAATAAGATATGGTATAGGAAACATACATTAATTTAAAATGATCTAATTTATCACAGGCAAAAAATAATACATGTTTTATACTTACATATGTATAAATGACTATATAATTTGTAATAATATAAAAATGAAAAAAATAGGAATTTGTAAGCAAAAAAATTAAACTAGATATAAGATAAACATGTTAAAAACATGTTTAAAAACATCAGTGATAATTATTGAATATTACCACAATCATTTTAAAAAAAATGTCAAGTCTAAGCTTTTTATATTTTCTCTATTGATCTTGTAAAAGTTGTATAGCATTTTCATAACATTTTATGATCTCATTAATATGCATTAGGATTACGTTAAAAGGCTCATGATTTAATTTAAAGAATTTTATCCAATCAGTTTTAGATTGATACTGTTTATCAGGACATAGAAGAATTCTATCCAAATCCATCAATAAATCATTTAATATTCTTGTTTCAAGAATGCTATAACAAAAAAAAAAGGATAGATTCTTTATGTTTCTGAAATATTGTAATATATACATATAAAAATTTTATATAATTTGTGAATATATTACATACTTAATGTTGTCAATTGTATCAATCTTTTCATTTAAAATTTTAATATTAATTAACAATTTATCCAAGGTTTGTTGTATTTTTTCTAGAAAAAAAAATTTTATTTAAAATTATAAAATATAAAATATTAATATATTTCGTACCTTTTTGTTCTAACAATTCAATACGATTTATAGATTCTAATGCTTTAAAGGCAGTTTTATTGAAATAATTTGGATTCCATTTTATTATCAAACATTCAGAGAATCTCCAAATAGTTTGAGCAAGTATTTGTGCTATTATTATTTTACGTATTTCTCTTTCATGATGATTTTCATTATGTGTAATATCATTATTCTAAAAATATAAAAAAATATAAAAATTGTTTTTTATTTAAATTTTTATATTTAATATTATTATTTACCATAAAAGATAATACTGCATGAGGTATATCTAAAGTTAGTCGGGAAGTTGTAATATTATAAGGTATATTATTTAAAGACAATAATTGATTGTTATAAGAAAACCATTTTTTTACAATATTAGCAGATTCTAGAACCATAGATTGAACTATATCTGATCCAGATACAATAAAATGACCTTTACCTGAAATTTATTGAAATATGTAAAAAATTAATAATCCTTAATTTGTTTATCATAACAAACCTTGTAAAGCTTGATGATGTACTACAATATAAGCCACAATTTTATGGGGCATAAAATTAGATAATACTTCTGCACAAGAATTGGAAGATCCCGAAAATAAACAAAAAATAAGAGATCTACGAGGTTTCCATTTATATTCTTTTTGAATTTGATTAAAAATTTTTGCCAATTCCAAAGCAACACCGACGCCTTCGCAACTGACTGATAAAATTATATATCTATCTGAACATTTAATAGTGAGTAATATGTACAATTTATACTTTTATATTTATATAAAATTAATATAAAAAAAATTAACTTACCTGATTCTCTAGATCCTCTAATAGTAGCCATAATATACGATTGATGTTTAACAACTTTTTCAATAAGCGATAAATTCGATAAAATATCATTTACTTGATTTATATCATCTTCTTTTAAATTGAAAGATTCCCATTTCCTATTTTATAAATTAATATTTTAAAAATAATAAATAACGAGATTTAAATATTTAAAAAAAAAAAAAGAAAAAATATATATACTTTTCGAAATCAGCATCAAGAGGCGCTCTTTCTAATTGTTCGAGTACTAAACGTTGAAGATATTCAGTATTTTCTAAACCATTTCCCGCTAATTCAAGACGTTTTTTTTCTGCGCGAAATTCTATAGCCCTTTGCGTGGCAAAGCGGCCAAGTAAAAAACCGCACAATAAAGAAAGAAAACCGATAGAAAATATTAACGAAAAACATATACGTTTTGTGACAAATTCGCTAGACTCGCTAAGTCCACGAGCCATTTGAAAGCTAAGAACTCGTTGCATATTGACAATTTTGAACACACTTTTAAATAATTCAACAGCTATTACCTGTCATACTTTGTAGTTTTTTCCTGCAATATTAAATAATAATTTATTTATCGGAAAAAATATTAAAAAACATAAATTATTATTTTTTGTTAAATAATGAAAAAGACAAAATATTATATTATATTATTTTAAAAGACAAAATTTATATTATTTAAATTAATTTAAATATTATCAAATAAAAAAAATTAATATTTTACAAAAAACAATATTTGGAAATAATTTTTTTATATGAAGAAACTATAAAAATAATAATAAATTTAAATATAATTTAAAATTCATTTCAAAATAAAGATATATGTAAAAGATATAATTCAATAAATTCAATATTGATACTATGCAAATATTATGACTGATTGTCTCCGGTAGACCACTTACTTTAACACTACGTGGGATAAGACTGATATATTTGTCAGTTCGTCTAGTCGGCTTTCCACCCCTCTACTAACATTTCGATTATTATATTTTTAATAGACATATTCAAATTGAAAACTTGTAAATTAATGACATAAAATGTCACATACATATACTTATATTGTATTTACTTATTAAATTTTTATATTTAGAAAAATATATTTATTTATTTAATATATAATATATATATATAAAATATATAGAATAAAAAAAATCAATTTTTGCAAATGTGCTTATAAATATTTTACAAATATTAGTAAATATTTAATTATTAATTTTTGTATTAACTTTATAGTATTAATTAAAGTAGTAATTAATTATAGTAGTAATTAAAATATTTATACGCATTTAATATTAATAATTAAATAAAAAATTTCTAAATTTCTCATAGAAATATGTTTGAGTATTTTTTATACATTTAAATATTTTTTCTATTTATTAAAATATTAAAATAAAATGAAGTGCATTTTAAATGATATTTATAATTGTAACACCATGATTACAATGTTTGCATCCAGCAATTTATTTTAAGCAATAATATAATGACAGTATTTCATTTATAAATAGTTTTCGAGATATATATTGTGTGCAAGGTTGTTTAACTATAGATATGCTATTTTAAATTCAAATTATATAAAAACATTTATAGAATTAACATATTCTTTTATTTATTAAAAAAATTCTTTTATTTATTTTTAAAAAAATAAAAAAAATAAAATATTATAATAAAACATTTATAAATGAAATATTTATATTTTTTATTGAAAATTATGAATGGAGAGACATTACAAATTATTCATTTTCATTATTTGCAGAATTTATGATCAATTGACAAAAAATATATAATAAAATTAATATATAAAATTTATAATATTTTTTTATAAAAAATGTAATATAAAAAATAATAAAAAAATAATTTTTTTATTTTTATTTAATTATTTTCTAAAACTGCGCATGCTTATGTTTTTTACAGTTACATTAGAATCCCTCTAGCGGAAGTTTGTCTAAATATTTTCTCTACTCTAAACAGGAAGGATCCATAATTGATTCCACAGTTGGAACACGTGGCCATATTCTTAAGTAAAGTTTAGGATTCATTGAAAATGTAAGTTTCTTTTATTAATTATTCTTTTTTTATATTATTATATTTTATTAAATATTAAATTTACTATTAATAAATATATCATTTAATAAATTAATTTAGTGTAAACATGTCAATGCTATCGTGCCCAATTGATATAAACAATGAAGAGGCTTATAATTTAGAATCCTATACAAAAGAATCAGCTCATAAGGTATATTTTATAGTATAAACAATATAATAATAATTAAAATTAATTCAAATTATATATACTTAAAAATAATACGAAATGAAATTGCAGAGCATAATAAAGTATAGAATAAAGAAAAATAGGAAACAATACAATTTTGATTCATCAAGCCAATTAGGAACTGTACCGCTAGAAACTGTTCAAGATTTACATGTTCCTACGACACAAGATTGGCAAGAGGTTTTAATTATTAAATATTATTAAATAATTATTAAATATTTCTTATTTTGAATATCTAATTATGCATGTTATCTAACTACATATATTAATTTTGAATATCTATGCATGAGTATATATATTAATTACATAATTTTAAACATTTATATATGATTATATATATATATATTTTAACACTAAGGAAAATGTACCAACCTATGATCCTTGGAAAAGTACTGAAAAAAAAGACATTATACGATGCTTAATAGGAGGTACGAAAACAACAAAGAAGAAGTTCAAATTAGCTGAACGACAAAGGATATTAAATATTCAACAAGAAAATACATGTGATATGCGAAATAACTTTGTGAGACTTTATATTTGTAATTATAATTTATAATTATTTACTAAAAATATAAATTCAATTATTTTATTAATATATAAATAATTTTTGTCATATTTTTATTTCTAGAAACATAAGTATTATAACTTAACTATTTCTCAACTTATTAAAAATTTAAGAAAATTAAATTTGAACGATATTGACACTTTAATAAAAAATATTGATATGAGTAAATTATTTATAAGTGAAAATAATAAAAAAAATATATTTATAGAAGAAAAATATACACAAGGAACTATCGACAAGGTAAAATAAATATTATATTAAGTATACAAAAATTACATTAAAATAAATATATATATAAAATGTTGCAGATGTTGATATATAAATTCAAAGAATTGATGCTTAATCACTTACAAAAATAAATTTTTCCAAAGGAAGAAGTTAAAATTAGAAGTATTACATATATTATTGAATGATTAAATGTTTTCAAAATTTTCATTACTTTTAAAATAAGATATTGTAATATAGATATATATATATTTTATATATAAATATATGTATATCTATAAATAAACAAATGTATATATCTATAATATATAAAAATATATATATTATATATTATTATATATTTTTATATATTATAGAAATATATATATTTTTATACTTTTTTATATTAATTCTTTACTATTATTATTAAGTTTAAAAAAATGCATGTTATTAAATTAATAATAAGATAAAAATGATTTATTGGTTTTATATATATATATATATGATTCCTGAGATATCCATTATAAAAATTATCTTATGATTTTAAAATTTGCATTTATAATATTTGTGTATTTTACTTTATATATGATATACATATATATATATATATATATACAAATTTATAATTTGAAATCATATCACAGCAATTGAATATTTCATAATAATTCAAGTATTTTATAATATTGTATAATTATTGATATATTAAACAATAAAAAACTTAGAATCAAACTATAATGTCTATATAAATCTGTTTTACATTCTATATATTGTATGAATTTCTTTTATTAAAATTTTTAATTTTAACTCATTTATAATAAACTAATTTAAATAATTCAATTCTTCATAATACAAAAGAATTAAATATTTTATAGATATATTATTGATTTTCGATTTTAAATTGATCTTTAGAAATTATACAAAATTATATAGATATAATAAATAAAATAAACATCAATTTGTATATTTTATCTTATCTTATATTCGTATAAAATTTATTTAAAAACGTAATTTTATTTTCAACTTATGTTTCGATTATTTCCCAATAATTCTGTTAATAACCATGAAGACGCTTCTTTATGATGTTGTTTTATATGGTTCCGCAAATATCTTTTTTGACCAAATTTCATACCACATTTGCAGTCAAAAGGTTTTCCATTATGTATTGCACGATGTCGCACAACTTCTCCTTTAACAGAAAATGTTTTACCGCAAATTTCACAGGCAAAAGCTTTAATACCTGTATGTGTAGTTTCATGATGAGTTAACCTTTGTCTGCTTCTAAAATATTTTTCACAGTACGTACATTTATGAGGTTTATAATCTGTATGTACGCGATTATGAATATAAACGGAATTCAGAGTTCGAAACATTTTTGGACAATGTTCACAGGCATATGGGCGTTCACCGGTGTGAATTCTCCGATGATCGTCCTTTGTTCCTTTGTTTGCAAATGCACGACCACAAATATCGCAAGCATATTTTTTTAATCCTTCGTGTACATCTCTTATATGTCTAGCGAGATCTTGTTCGATACGATAAGACTTTCCACATAAATCACATTTGCAAGGTCGTTTATCAGAATGGACACGAATATGGCGTAGAAACCCTCGTTTTGTAAATATAATCTTTTTACATGTGTCACATTTATAAGAAATTCGATCATTAATTATTTGCTTTGCTTTATTTACAAGTTCTGTCTCGTCTGAATTTTGAATTCGATTGACATCAGAATGTCTGTTAATATGCTTTTTTAATTCAGATTTTTTTGTGAAATTTTTTTCGCATAAATTACAAGTATAACACAAAGGCTTTTCAACATCTATAGTGGAAATTTGTTCATTATCTCTATTTTCCTTTTTTGTATCATTTGTACATTCTAAAATTTCATTTTCTATATTTTTTAATTTATTATAATTATTACTATGCATCGATATGTGATATTCAAAATCTTTATCTTGACCATGATACACTAGCTTACAATACTGACAATAATGCATTTGAGCTTCATGCTCGCCATTCATATGATCTATAAGGTACTTCATATTTACGAAGACAATATCACATTGAGCACATTGAATGTATTCTATCTCCTCTGCGTTTATATTTTCGTTTTCGATCGTTGATATTTGCATAACAGCATCAGCCTTCCACCTGCAAAATAAACATTCTGATATCATGTTATCGAATGCGAAACTTTATGTATTAAGTTCTTGCTATAATTCTTCAAATAATATTCTTGATTGAATCTTGCATTGATTATTATGAATACATTTATTGATTAATATAGTATATTGATTAATATAGTTTTTACTATGAAATTATTTGTCACAGATATTGTAAGAATAAGATTTTTATTTGATATGAACGAAAATAGTGTTTAATTCTTGTTTTTTTTTTAAATTTTTATTATATAAAAAACGAGATTTTTTAAATAAAATTATTTATGATGAACGTGCAGAGATGCCTTTTGCATTTATATATATTTAAACGAATTTTTTAAATGACTTTTCGCAAGTTTTGCATATATTTTTTTCTTATATGAACTTTTTTATGCTTATTTTTAAAGACTAAACTAAATTAAATTTCCATTTTAATACATTGTTATTTCTTGATTGATTTTAGTTTTCTATATTGTTTTTAATAAACTTTGAATGGGATTATCTATTAAATGCAACTTTATCATTATTTTTGTTTGATTGTGTCTTCATACTATTTGCATAAATATATATTTTTTTACATTTTTGAAAAAAATTAAAAAATTTTTTTACTTTCATCCTGCATATCTTTATTTTATTCAAATCTTTTACATTTAATATGCTAATTGATATTTAAATCTGTATAACAATTATCAATATCGCTATCTTCATTGTAATTAAACTTTTTACAATTTATTAAATATTTACTGTTGATGAGCAATTTACAATACAAAAAAATATTTCTGAGATAGCCTGGAAAACTAATAATAATAAATGTACAGATTTGAATGTTTGCTGCCTACTATAAATTCGAAGAAATATCTATGCAGAGCAAAATGATAAAATAGTATATTAGCATGCTCGTAAAGTTTCAATATGTCTGCTTTTAATATGATTATTCAAATAACGTTTTTGTCGAAAAGCAAGTCCACATTCTACACAAATAAAGGGTTTTGTTTCAGAGTGAATTAGTTTATGTCTAACAAGTTCTGATTTTACTCGAAATCTTTTCGAACACACGTCACAACCATAATTTTTTTCTCCTGTATGAGTAGTTACATGAGCCAACATTTCCTGCCTTCTACGAAATTTCTTATTACAATAAGTGCATGGATGTGGAAATTCATCTGTGTGCAATTTACTATGAATATATAAAGAAGCTTTTGATTTAAATGTTTTTCCACATGAATCACATATGTAAGGTCTTTCTCCAGTATGTGTTCGTCGGTGATCTTCTCTCGTAGCTTTTGATGCGAAAGATTTGCTACATATATCGCAAGTAAAATTTTTTAGTTTTGCATGTACATCTTTTAAATGCCTAGAAAGACCACCAGAATCTCTAAATTGTTTTCCACACACATGACAAGTAAACGGCCTTTCGTCTGTATGTATTCTCATGTGTCTGAGAAAGGAGTCTTTTAACTTAAAACATTTTCCACATTCAATACATTGATAAGATTCTTGAACATTAATAATAGTTTTGTTCTTCATATGTTCACAAGAATCCTTTAACTCTTTTGTATTACTAGAACAAATTTTACATTTTCCTTTTAATTTTTTATTTTTATTTTTTATATTTAAAGAATCTGTTGGTTTATATGTTTCATTATGTAATTTTAATTTTTCTAAATTATTTGAACTATATATTTGAGAAAGTTCTTCTTTTACAATAATATCATTGTTGTCTTGTAGTTGATCAGACATTATACTAGGTTGATCAAGTGTTGAATTCATGACAGTAATCCATACCGAATCGCAATCTCCACTATCTGCAGGCTTTCTTTCTTGCAACTGGAACTTTTTTCTGTATGGCTTCCAAAATACATTCTGCATATCTAGGAACACTCTAAATGGTGTTCGCATATTACTGGACCTGCAAAACAGTCAATACTTGACTTCGAATTTGCAGCTATATGATGTACAAGGTTGTTCTTGTTTAATCCAATTATCAATGGTATTTGAGAAAATTAAGATTATTTTTCTTGATAATCCTTAATTTCATAATCATGTATCATTTTCTCAGGATATTTATATAAATATATATATATATATATATATAACATTTATAAAATTGTTTGTAATTGTCTTTGTATATAACTACATAAATATTTTGATTGAAAGAAATCACAGTAATCCAAGTTTCATACTTCAAATTGAAAATAGTCAATATGTAAAATATTTTTTAACAATATTTGTTTCATGTTTTAAAAATTTTTTTATTCATTGCATAATAATTATTAAAATTGATATTATAAAAATATTATTTAATTAAAATTATTTTATTATAAATTTAATTTTATAAAATTAAATTTAATGTTATTTATATTGGGCATATTTTCTGCACGTTCATTATACATGTTACATAAACTTCAATATATTAATTTAACTTTTAGATTTTTTTTTTAAATAAAAAAATCATTACCTGTCTGAATCATTACCAGTAACAGCTAAATCTCTTGAAACTTCATCTTTCACAATTTCTTGTTGCTGATGCTATAATTAAAAGAGATTATCATTTAAGACACATATATGAAAATTTATGTTATTTTTATACTTACAACCGATTCTGTTATATTAGATATAGATGTTGTATCTTGTGTAGAAGTTTCCAATTCTTCTGTTCTCTATAAAGTACATATTTTTTAAATCACATTTAGAATAAAAAATAATTGTTTTTATATATACCTGTTTTTCTTGTAAAGCATCTTGCATCTCTAATAATCTTCTTTCTGCACTCAAACATCCTTCTAATAATTCATGCCATGCTAATAATGTAGCAGCACAGTGATAACACAATTGTAATGGAAGTGTATCATTTTCAGTTATCTATGAAAGATATTTTATATAAATTATATAAATAATCTATATGTGAATAAAAATTATATATAAAATAAAAAATAAATGCATACACATATTGGTAAATATTTATGTATTTTATTACATAAGTCATGTTGTAAACCTTCTCCTTCAAATATTGGGATTAAATGATCATTGGTATTAGCACATATTCTGCATAAATTAGACCAGGAAAATTGTTCATTACATTGAGTTACTGTTGATTCTTCATTTGAAACTTCTATTACATTTTGCTGTTCAGTTTGAACATCAGTTACTACAAAGAATCCTTCTTCCTCACTTTCTAATTCAGTACGTGTATTTTCATTAACCATATTCTTTACAGTTTGAATTAAGATTGAATGTTCTTCACATGGTTCTAATATAACAGGATTTTCAGATTCCATTATATCTATGATATTGAATGCAAAAACTAGATTAATATTAAAAATATAATTATACCATATTTTAAAATTCTATGAAGATATGTACTTACAAAAAAATTAATTGTTATAAAAATATAAAGAGTGCTCTTTACACTTTGCATGCACAATTAAGATAATAGAAATTTTAAATTGTTTCGTTTCTTTTAAAATTTCATTTTTCTTCATCCATATATAGGATATTTCAAATCATTCAAGACATTATTCCGATTCATTATTTTCTCATTTTGAATCACTTAACAAAATAAAAAATTCATCAAATTTTTTTAATTAATAATCATTGTCATAAATCTTTATAAAGTTTTAACTCTTTACATGACATTTTCGCGCCGATTTATTGCACTATACGAAAAAAATAGATAAAAGAATATCGTTGTATACATATAAAATATATAATTTATTTTAAACTGTTTTACTAAATAAGATATTTATTTTATAATTGTAATATCTTCTCAAATTTCATATAACTCTTTCCGACATGATAATACCATAGACAAGATACAGAATAGATTTAACATTCAATTTTTTATTCCATGCTTCGGAGTATTAAGACCATATATTTTAGTGTCATTCTTAATTACCGATTCGATTGCAGAATAAGTTTGTAACGTTCTTAATAGTTAAAATTAAAATTAAATTTCAATATAAAATTATAAACAAGAAATAAAATAAATATTTTGTTGCACAATATCTTATAAATATACATGAAATATTTTATATCTATTTTATAAATATATTTATGTAAATTATGAAACATAGATTGGTGATTCTATGTTATTATGTACATTTTTTATTATTGTTATTTTTATACAGAATATTAGAAAAACTTTTAGTAAGCACTGATTACAAATAAAATTTTATTTTGCAAATTATTTTTATTTATTTCAAAAAAATATTAGAAAAGTTTAAGAAAAAAAACATTTTATGCATATTATTTATAATTTATTTTTTATTTTATTAGATTTTTACTTATAACTTATTTTATTTAGAATCAATTTCCATCTTGAATTAATACATTATTAATTTATAAATTTATTTCGTAATGAAAATTAATATATTATAAACTGTCTCCAAAAATAAAATACTTTTTCATTAAATCATATTTACTAGCATAATATTTGCAAATTTGCAATATATTCAAAAATTTAAAAATCATTTATATATGATTATTAAATGAAATATGATACACAGCATCAGTTTGATGTTCCGTACCTCTACGATCATGTGATCACGTGGCAAAAGTAAACTGGACAAAAAGAATAAATAATAGAAAAAAAACAGAAATAAGATAAAAATATAGGAATCAATGCTATCTTCAAAGTGCTGCAAATAAAATTAATATAAATAAGATCAATACAATAAGAATATAAATAAAATAAGAATTAATCACCATTATTATTTCTTAAATGTCAAAGGCAAGATAAAGTAAAGATTAAAGATTAGCGTCATCTTTTAAATATTTTCAAAAAATAATTTTTGCAGAAATAGCGCTGATGAGAGTTCTTATCTACTCTATCCTTGGTCTTTTTATTTTACGTATATATATATTCTTTTTTTTTTATTTACAACATTTTAGAAATGATATTGATTTCAATATTTTGTATCAGTATTATACAATCAAAAAATTCCCTATTTTTAGTACTATATAATATAATATATATAATAATACTTTCCTATATAATTGAGTTAATAATTCCCTAGTTTAGTGTACATAGTTACAATTTCTTAGGTATAATATAATAGTTAGATTGGTATTAAATTTAAGATAAAGAAATCATCAAAGAGAGCATAGGGAAATTTTCACTAATGAGTTACTATATATTACATTATCATGTACTGTGTATCATGTACTGTTTCAAAGAAGAAAATATATTTTTAAAAGTTAAAAAAATTTAATCTAGAAAGTGTTGAATAATTTAATTTTTCAATTTTGACGATTCCATTATTTACATTTTTTATTTGTATACTTGTATACATTTTATACGAAGATTGGAGGTATGCAAATTATTAAATTTCAAAGTATGACACAAAAATTAGGTTATGTTATGTTTTGTTTATGATTCAAATTAAAATATATTATGATACTTCTTGAGTCTATTTTTTTTAATGTTAATATTATAAATTATTATAAATTATATTTATTATTTGCAAATAATAGTAATAAAGCTAAAAATAAAAAATTTAATAAGTTATACATTTTTTGTTTTATTAAATAATTATAATATGTAATTTTAGTTTTTCATATATCCTTTTTTTTCACAAAATTGTTCATTTTATATTAATTTTTATTATTTTTAACGAATTACAAAGATATTATATATTACTTGGATATGTTATGTCTCTAATTAAAATACTATCTTTTTTATTACAGTTTTTTATTTCATCAATTTAAGAATTTTTAAAATATATTCCTTTAAGATATATTATTAAAAAAATGGCACATTATAAAGGAGCAGCTAGTGAAGCTGGCAGAGCCATGCAGCTTATGAAAAAAAGAGAAATTGCTCAACAAGAGATAGAATTAAGGAAAAAGAAAATTGAAGATGACTTAAAAATTCATAATATAGAAAACAAATTTGCAACACATTATAATGCTGTTGAACAACAATTAAAAACATCTACTATTGGTTTAGTTACTTTGAATGAAATGAAAGCAAAACAAGAAAATATAGTAAAAGAACGCGAAAGAAAATTGGCTCAAAAAGAAAGAGAAAAGGAACAAGAAAAAGAAAGAGCACTTGCTGCAAAACAAGCAGAAAAAAATAAACAAAAAAAGCAAATACAAGCTTTGTCATTTAATTTATATGAAGACGAAGCAGAATTTTTAGAAGGAGAAACAGAAAAATCTGAAATATTAAAAGATAATGATATTGGACCAGTAATAAAAAAAATAAAAAAGAATCCAGATGTAGATACAAGTTTTTTACCCGACAGAGAAAGAGAAGAGGAAGAAAACAGATTAAGAGAAGAATTAAGACAAGAATGGGCTAGAAAACAAAATGCATTAAAAGAGGAAGAGATTGAAATTACTTTTAGTTATTGGGATGGTTCTGGCCATAGAAGAAGTGTTATTATGAAAAAAGGTAAAGGTTTAATTATTATTGTAATAATTGATATTTTTTTTCATGTATTACAAGAATAGTTTTATGCTAATTGTTATTAGTTTGCACTTGTTAGGTAATTCTATTTATCAGCTTCTTCAGAGATGTTTAGAAGTTTTAAGAAGAGAATTCAGTGAACTTAAAACGATTATGGCTGATCAGTTAATGTATGTTAAAGAAGATCTTATTTTGCCACATCATTATACATTTTATGACTTCATTGTAACAAAGGTAAATTTAACATAAAAATTTTATTTTATAAATTTACATGATGTTATTAACATATTATTTACACTAATTTTAGGCAAGGGGAAAAAGTGGACCACTTTTTACATTTGATGTTCATGATGACATTCGTGTTATGCATGATGCCTCTGTTGAAACAGAAGAATCTCATGCTGGAAAAGTATTGCTTAGGTACTTTATATTTTTCATCAATCAATCAAACTATATATGATTTTTATATATAAATTATTAATTATATTTTATTTCAGATCTTGGTATGAAAGAAATAAACATATATTTCCTGCTAGTAGATGGGAACCTTTTGATCCAACAAAAAGTTATGATAAATATACAGTATCAGATAAAAATAGAAAAAAAGATAAAATTTAATGAAAAATAGATTGTATAGAAAATAATTGTACAAAACCTATTAATACATGTTGTGTTCAGTAAAGGAAATTTAAATTTTAGAACAAATTTCAATTTTGTTAAATACTATATATATTCAAAAAATATTAATATATATTAATAATATTGATATTAAATAATTATATAATCAATTGAAACTTATAATTTTTAATTACTTATTATAAGTAAAGATTGATATAATTTAAATTTTGAACTAAATATTATATAATCTTATATATTTCAAATAATGTATAGAAATTTCATAAAGATATTTTATAAAAAAAATATTTCATATTTATTGTGAATAATATTTTATTTAATACTTTGATAAGATAACTTTATAATAATATAAAGTTAATATTAATAGAAAAAGAAAAATTATTTCATTATATTTAATTCATTTTCAGTGTCTTTTATAATTGATAATGGATCTATTATTTGAACTTCCTTTATATCTTGATCTATCAAATTATTATCAATATCTTGTAAATTTTCTGTTGATATAGTATTATGTATTGAAATTACACTATTTATATTAAATATATTGTCATTTTTTTTTAAAGATTCTTCTTGTTTATCAGATAAGTTTTGCTGAAAAATTTATTATTTATTAAAATAATGTTAATTAAAAAATTTTAATGAATTTTACTATTAATTTACTTTTTTATTTGTTTTTAATAACATTTCTGTTATTTCTATATCTTTGCACGTATTTATGATATATGGATTAATATAGAAATCTTCCATTGTATTATTTATTTTTTCAATATAACAAGTTGAATTAATGAATTTCCATTCATCCTTTAGATAAGAAATAAAATTTTAAAAAATTAATAATATTTAGTAATTTAATTTTATAAAATTCAATTTATTAATGTAACTTACTTCGTTATCGAGATTTAAAAGACTTATTTTATCTTCATTTTCACATAATTGCTGTTCAGAATTACTTGTCTCGAATGAATTGTTAGTGTTATGAAAATCTATTTTTGTAATTTTTTAGAATTCAATTTTTGTTAGATTTTTAATTATATAAATAAATATAATAGATATACATATATGATATATACTATCTAAAATGTTCGGCAATAATGTTTTTGTTTATTTGAAAATATATTAAAAATTATTATTATTGAATTCTTTTGTACATTATTTTTATTATCATACCTGTATTTAGTGTAGTGTATTTTGGACATAAATAAAAAAATTGTCGTGTATTTTCTGCTAGTTTGCCAGTTTCACATGGATTTGATGCTAAAATTTTTTCTAACCGTTTTCGATTCTCACATTGATAAGTTAAAGTTTCTTCAATTGCTTCCTATTTTCATGATTAAAATGATTTTATTTATAAAAATAAAAATAATTGTTTTTTCATCTTATACAAAAATTTTACTTTTATTTTATCATTCATTATATGTATAAGATTATCAAGATTTTCCACTTCTAAAATTTCTTTTTGTATATTCTCATCTTCTGTATCATTTAAAATATTAATGTCCTGTTTCCATTCATTTTCAAGCAACTCTTCATTATATAACTCCTCATATTGAAATTCTAATTAATTAATTAATAAATAATTTGATTTATTGAATCTAAGAAAATACTTATATTGCATATTACCAGATAAGAATAATAAAAATATTAAGATATCCAGCAAAAGAAATTTTATATTGAATATTTAAAGAATTATTTCAAATTAAATAGTTTATATAATTATATAAATATATAAGTATAGTATGATAAATAAAATGATCATTTTCGAATATATTTTTTTTTAGAAAAATGCAATAATGATAATATAATTTAATTGTAAAAATTATCTTAATATATCAGCATTTGTTTATTTTTTTATTTGATATCGTCATTCGTCGAATTATTTAAAATAAAAGTACCTTTTTTTGTTTTCCATGAAATTTTCATTTTTTCTATTTGATCTTCCACAATTGAAAAATCATAAAAATCCTTTGTAATTGAATTCAGAGATGATTCTGATGTAGAGTGATTGGTTTGTAGAGATTCTATTGACGATGATTGAGTCAAATTTATAAATGATATTTTATCACATTTTTCAACAGTTTTCAATGCAAACTGATTTTCATTAATATTATTTTCAGGAGTATATATAGAATTTTCTGATTTTGCTTTACTTTCAGTTGAAATAAATGAATGATTTTGTTGTTCAATATTAGATTTAAGCAAAGATAATGATTGATTATCGTCGAATTTACTACGCGATTGTGATTGCGTTTTAAATTTTTCTTCATCGCTGCTATCTTCCGAGTACAATTCTTTTTCTGATATCCATATTTCTTCTTCTTCTTCCTTTGAAGATATTGAAATTTGATTTATTTCGATTTATTCAATGATCGCTTATTTCCCAAATTAATTATTAAATAGAAATTTCATAGAATTTGTTAGTTCACCTCCTTTTTGATTTTAATAACAAGTTGAGATTTTATCGCAGTTTTCATAGACTGTTCTTGCAATTTTTGATTGCTTGTTGTTTTGTATGTATTGGCCATCTTATTATTAAATATATCAGGATGCTATATAAATAAACATATAATTTCTTAACTTGGCATATTAGGAAATGACGAATATGTTTAATATTATAAAAATCATTGATGAATAAAAAGTCAATTTAAAGATCGTGGTATAATAATTATAACTTTTTTCAAGATTAGCGTTTTTTTCTATCTTTTTGAAAAAATGAAAAATTAGTAGAAAATTGAATGTGATTATGTTCTTTAAATTTTTTCAAATTTAATTGTATGTTTAACTTAATTCAATGTATGCATGTAATGTGTTCTTGAACTAGGAAAATCTGGAACAAGACTGAAACGGATTAAAATAACATATCACAATAAGTGCAAACAATTTAAATTTATGATCACTTGAAGTTACTATAATTTGAAATTTAACGAAAGTGTTTTGTTTTGATAATTTATCAATATTATCATATTTTAAGAATGTATGATAATTTTATATTTAAATTTCAATTTTGTTAATTTTTATTTATTTACTTATTTTTCTAATATTCGATTAAAAATAAAACTATTTTCGTTTATCAAATTTTATCAATTATGAATGTAAAAATCATTTAAAAAATAAAATTATCAAATTTAATGTAAATTTACATAAATTATTTTGCAAACATATTTTTGTTAGAATATATTTGATAAATTCATATTTTAATATCATGAATTAACAAAATTTTAAAATATTATCTTGATTCGCATATTATCGCATATATATTTGAAATCAAATATAATGAGAAATGGGATTCACGTGATAATTTTTTATATAATAACTCTTAATGACAAGTCTTATCAACATTATATGGATTTAATTATATTCTTTAGATTTAAAATGTTCACGACATTATTAAATTCTATTTATTATACATTTAATTGTTTTAAATATTATTACTATTTATTATCAATTCATGAATATAAAATATTTTGATATTCATTTTTTCAAGTTTATTATTTTATATTATAAATAATTACTTATTTTATATTATTATAATGCTCTATAAGATACCATATACTGACTTTAAAATCGTGACACCTAATAATCAGATGTGGGATACATTTAATTGGAAAATTTTTTAATATTTTTCATAGTCATAAATTAATCAAAAAAGGAAGAAGAGGAAGATGTGATACATATATTTGTTATGAAAATTTTTGTAAAATAATTTTAAAAGATTAAAAATAATAAAAATAAATCATTTTATCATTTTAAAATTAATGATAATAATTTTTATTGTATATAACACGAATATTGTTATGAAATAAAACATGATCTTTTATGATTATAAAGTTGTAGGTTTAATGCAAGTAGGATCCATATATGTAATTTCTTCTGGAAAATGATCCATAATAATAAACCTTTTTTCATTGGGTTCACTTAAATTATCCAAAAATCCAAACCAGTAAATTACAAGTCCTGGTCCAAATCTATTCCAGTAACTCAGAAATTGTTCTTTAATATACTTCTGATGTATTTCTGTATTTCCAAATCTTGCTTTAGATTCTATCCAGTTAATTACAAAACCATTTATTGCAATTGGTACCTCAAGTTTAAAATCTGGAGTTTTGTCATATCCTCTTGATCTCAAGTGTTCTTCATTACGAAATGCGAGATTTCGTTCTGTCAAGTAGTTTTGTAACTTTAATTCATATTCTTGACCTACAGAACTATAGATTTAATATATAAAAACAGTGTATAAAACAAATTATTTTATACAAATATATAAAATGAATATAATTATTTTAATATATAACATACGTTCCAACAGCATCTGATATAGGTCCATACAAATTATCATATAATATGCACTGCAAAACATTATCTAACTATTATACAACATTATCTTATTTCTTAAAATATTAATAAATTTTAAATTACCAAATAGACTTCATATGCAAGATCTTTGTCTTGTATAAGAGTAGTATCCTTAAATAATTTGCTAACTTCGTTCCTAGAGACTAAAAATATTTTTTTTTTTATGATTGTTCAAAAAGAATTATAAGAATTTTATTATATAATATTATATAGTATTTAAATTACCATTAAATTCATCTTTTCCACAATGTTTTTCAAGAACATTTCTAGCTAACAATGCAGGAGGTGCACCAATATCTTTCGCCATTTTCAATAAAATTCCAACAGGTTCTCCACTTTGTACAGCTTCCATATAACTATTATTTAAATTATTTAATTATATAGCTATATTTTATATTAATATACTGATATGTTTGATACTTACGTATCATAATAATTTTTATTATTACCAAATAATTTGCTATGATTGACTTTCATTTTATGTTGTACTTCTAAAGATAATATACTATACAATGTATATACTGGAATGCTAAATAAAATAAAAATAAATATTTTATGATAGCAAATCTAAATTGAATTATTTTTAATAAAACAATCTTACTCATTATATTTTTCTTTTAAAATATCTCTACAATCTTTTGATAAGCCTCGAAATTTTCGAATTGTTGTTACTATATCATTATATAATTCAAGTTTCATTTTCGATTTTTATTTTTTAAATTCAAAATAAATTTCTTTAAATTATTTTAACTTTTATTCATTATTATTATGTAATATTTATATTTACATCGATACTATTCAACATAAATTGATTATTGATATTGTGTGTATATATATCTTTCAAATCATTCATTTGAAGTTTGTCTTTCATTCAATTTTTGAGGGAAATTTAAATATATTATTTAAGTCAATATTAATTTACTTTTTTAATTATTTATTTTTTTTTCTTTTTGCTTGAAATAAATTATAAAAATACATGTAATTAATATCTATATTTATTTTTAAAAACATAAATTATGATTTAACATTCCTATAATTTATCTCAGAATAATAAGTAAATTGGAAACGAATACATTAAAAAACTTCAGTAGCTATTTTCACTTTATGTAAGAAAGATTGTAGGTTAGTAAGTTTAAAGAATTGTAAAGTTTAATAGTTATTTTATTTCTGATCTTTAATTCTGAAATTTATATAGAATATCGAATTATTGAGTTATTTTCTTAAAAAAAAAATAAAATTTATCATAGAAAAATTTAAAAAGAAAAAGCAAAACACACTGAAAAAATCTAAATATTTTCATTATTATAGTTTATTCAAAATTAAATGTGAAATCATATATAAAGTATATATCAATTTATTTACATTCAATTTTTAATTATTAATTTTTTATTTTAATTTTATGAAAATTATGAATAAAAATAAAAAATCAATGAGAAAATGTAATGTACAACAAAGAAATAGTACAACAAACAATATACAAGAAAGTAATTAATATAATTTCTCTAAATATAATAATTGATTAATAATTTTTAATAATATAAATTTTGTGTTATAGTTTCACTTAAAAAAAATATGAAAGATGATTTGGGAAATGATTCTCCTCAACATTCCTATGAGTCACATGTTTCTGGTCATAGTACACCAATTCGAAAAAAGGAATATGTTATTGATGTAGAAGATTCTCCTGAATTAAATTATCGTTGTAGTCCAATTTCAATGCCTTGTACTCAAGATGGAGGTAATGAAATTGCTTGGGATTGGCAAACTCCTGTTAATAAAAATTCTTATGATAAATCTAAATCATCAAATAAACTTATTGAAACTCCAAAAAGAACCAAACAGTTGCAAAAGAAGCGAAATTCTAATTCTCCATTATTGCAAAAGCCATTTAAAAGGAAACAAGTGAAAATGGAAAATATAGAAAATATTGGAAAATTGACAGCTGAATTAAAAGCCTTAAGTGAAAAGATGCAAAAAATACAAAAAAATTATGATAATGATATTATTGAGAAAGAGAATGATACAAAATGTGAAGTTAGTAGTAAGTTGATGATAGAATTGGATAGTGATAATAGTGATGAAATAATGGTTATTAATAATAATAAATCAAAAATGAATTCTATTGTTATTAATAGTAATAATAAGAACTTTACTAATTATGAAGATTTATTTGATGATTCAATTGATGATTCAATGGTAAAATGTAGTCAAGAAATTGAAGAAAAATTGAATTTGTGTAAAAATAAAAGAAATGATATAATGGAATTATCTATAGTAAATGAGATAAAAGAATTATCTTCCACGTCTGAAAAGTCTTATTATCTAACTACATCTAGTACTTCTACCGAATATTCTAAAAGTTCTTCAACTAATACAAGTGGTCATTTAAAAACATATTCGAATAAATCGAATAGAACAAATTCTAGCTCAAATATTTCAATGTCAAATTTAAAATTTAACAACAACAATAATATAAATATATCACATGAAAATCAAACATTAAAAAAAAAACATATGTCAGATTTTCCAGATGATTCTTTTGATGATTGTTTGGCAACCTGTATAGAAGATGATAAATTAGAATCTAAATTGTCAGAATATGATTTTAGTCCATCAAATTCAAGCCATAATACAAGTCTTTCCAAAAGAATACCCAAACTTGTTATTTCTAATGCAATAACTAATAAAAAAATACCAAATAATTTTCTTTCAACACCAGGTGTAAAAGAAAATATCAATAATAAAAGTAAGCTTATTACAGATGATTTAGTAGAAGAAGTTGAAACTATAACAGATATAGAAACATTACGAAATTCTTTTCCTAGTAAAAATTCCTTAGAAAACAGGAAATTTTTTAGAACAAAGAGTTTATCAGATCAATGTTTTTATCAATGTAAATATACTAATGCAAATAACAAAACAACAAATGTATTAAAATCAAATGCAGTTACTCAATCAGTAAGTACTAAATTTTCCATTGTAAAAAATCAGAATTCGTATAAAAATAATAATTTTTTACAAATTAATGGCATGGAAAATACACATAGATTTAACAAATTAGACAAGAAAGAAACTGATAATCATATTGTTAAATACAATTCTACTAATAATTTACTTAGCATGAAAGAAATAAAAGAATCTCAATCTGTACGATGTACACCAGAAGAAATAGAAAGAAAACGATTGGAAGCAAAGATGAAACTTGAAGCAAAACGTAAATTACAACAAAAAAATATAAAATCAAGTGATAATTTGTTAGAAAGAAGATCTCCAGGGAAAAAATATGTAAAAAGGTGATAGACTGGTATTATTTAAATATATAAATCAATGAAATCATCTTTTACAATTACATTATGTTGTTTTATTTAGAATTATCGTGCCTATTCTTTATATTTCTGTGATTCTAATTGTATAAAAATATATAATTATTTGATAAAAAAATCACTTTTTTTTTTGATATAATTTAAAAATCTAATTTTACCTAAATTTTGTATTTATTGTATTAATAATTTAAAAAAATATTCTTAAAACAATTAGTATTATCTTTCAATCATATAATTGATGAATTATAATTAATATATTAAAGTATTATATTTATTTTTATATTTATTTGTTTATAATACGTATTATAATATGTATTAATTTTTATACTTAGAAAGTAAATTTCAAAATAAATATTGGATAAACTTGTTTAATTTATTTCTTGTATAAATATATATTAAATCCATATTACAATATTATTTGATTTAATCAATTATATACTAAAAATGAATATATTTCTCAATCTACATTTTAAAAAATATGTAATATTTAAAAAATTGTATATTTAAGTTACATTCTATATTTCAGAAATTTTTTATATGAAAATTATTATTACTTATTTATTATTAATTATTATTATATATATTTAAATAAATTATTATTTTCAAGAAATAAAAATATCGAAAAGATCTTATCACATGAATTAAATAAGTATTACTATTTGAAATAGAATAAAAATACTTGGAAAACAATAATATTAAGACAATTATTAGAAAAACTATTAAAAAAGCACTAAAGTAAATAATTCGTAATAATAAACAATAGTAAATGAAAGTCTTTCGTTAAATAAATTTATATAATAATATTTATAAATAGAAATATTCTATAAAATATTTAAAAAAATCTTTCATGTTCCAAATCCGCGCATGTTTAGTAAACGAGCGCCATTACTCGACATTCAATCGATACATCACGTGACGTCAGTTTCGAGCTCATAGTGATATTTTTATTTCATGAACATGAAAGAAATATATGAACGATAATAAGTTTCTTTTTTTAAAAATACGCATAAATTTGTATGCATTGAAAATTTGAAGATATTTGAATATGATATTTGGATTTATTCTTAATGATCATGTCATTGCAGTATGTCATTGACCATCCCTACCATAGATGCCTAACGAATCGAGACAGATATCTACCTCGCAAATCTTTTTTCTGATTGGTTGAACGACTCGATCAAGAAACGACAGTAAGCCAGTCGACCAGCGACAAGCATGGGAAGAGCACGTGTCATTTATATTGTTGCGCACAACTCGGCAAGCTTATACGTCGACTCGCACGATTATACCACCACCCCTACCGACTTTTTCACCACCAGTGAAATGAACGTAGTCGGTAACGCCACTAACGTTGTAACAACCACCGAGAAAAAGACATCAGTTTCTTCTTCTGTAGAGGTGGTTGATAGTTCGAAAATTGTAGTACCATTGCGTACACCGAATATAGTGCCCGCGAATGCTAAGTACATCAGCGTACGCCGTCGGCCTGTTACGATGCTACTCGCGGTGATCGCGCTCCTTTGTGCCGGTAGCAGTGCCGAGGTATTCACTAACACATTCCTCGTGAAGATGAGGCAGCCCGCGGAAAGACATATCGCCGATCGCGTGGCTGCTAGGAATGGATTCGTTAATCTTGGACCGGTAAATTTATTTTTTATTAATAGAAATTAATTTTTTCTTTTTGATGAAATAGATTATTATAATATAATGTTATGAAATGAAAGAACTTTATTGACTTTTAAAATAATCTACATCATATTGAACATAAAATATATGAACTATTTCTTTTTAAAGTATTTATTAATTATATGCGAATATTATTTGATGCGATTAAAATAGAAAGAATGATAGAAAATAAAATTATATCCATAAGATTTTAGACTGTATTATAATATTAATATATATAATTCTTGATACAAACATGTATCATTAAATTTAGCAGTATATCATACGACGTGCTAAAGAAATCGCTTATCTGAGATGAAATAGAGTGTGACTTAGGGTGCGGATGGGGTGAATACGCTAGGATCAGAATGAAATCTTTCTTGAACGATCGATACGAACTTTGCTGAGAAAAGATACTTTGAATAAAACGCAACTGTTTATATATTATTTTTCGGACTTGGGTAAAAAATTCAAGATATAATACTAAAGATATAAAAATTCAAGATATAATAATAAATATAAAATTCTTTGAACTAAGATATCTATTTAAATAAATACATATAATTTATATCTTTTACAATTTTAAATATAACGAAAATATAATTTCGATTGTTTTTTTTTTATATATCTTTTTAAACAATATTCTTCGTTTAAATCTCCAACATATTAAATATTAAAGAATATAGATTATAAATATATTTTGTTTAATAAATATATATATATATATATATCCATATATAAAATTTCCAATATATCACGCGTATTGATAAATTCGAATACGTATTGTTTGCGCAATCGTTGGAAAATTTGTATTGGTCATATATTTTTTTGATTCACTTCACTATTGATTTATATCAACGACAAATTTGTTATAGTTTCGCCTCATGATCGACCGATATTCATCGCAGGTATGCAGAATTTACCGGAGGCATTGATTTTCTCACGAATACCCGCATTATCGCGAAAAAAACGCGTTCGAAACAATTGATCGACGTCATAAATGTGTAGGATACGTATTAATAATAAGATAAACTTCACTACGAGGATAGAAATTTATCTAGAATCGCGCCATTCATTTCTTTTCTTATGATATCTCAGAAATGTTATTGAAATAATTTATATATTTATTATATAAGAAACACATATTGCCATAGATTAGTTTATTTTTATTATATTTACTGAAATATCGGTTATTTCACTTCACGCGTCTCGATTTCTAATTTGCTTTAATCGAAATGAAAATATCAATCACTGATCAGACAGTGCAACAGTGAAAGCGACGCGGCATGGTCAGACGCCTACGTGTCAAATATTGCGTAGGCTTTGTCTAATATACTCAGCTTTTTCTCTATTTTCCTATCGATATATTGTGAAAAATGTCTTTTTACAAGGAAGATTTTCGATCAAAAGACATTTTCAAAGTTAATTTATAGGGATAATAACGAATAAATGTTTACAAATTTCAATTGCGCTTGCGAATAACAATATTCCCTTATTGCACGAATTTTATTATTTTATTATACGTTTTTGCGCTCGAGATATTAGAATACTTTTTCTGTGAAACCAATTTTACGATTGTTTATTTCGTTTCGTTCAAACATATATACCTTATAACATATATACCTTAACATATATACCCCCTGTTGATTCGGATTGTGTAATCTCGTTCAATGAATTTCTGAGAAATTTTCTCGAGTTGAGAATAATTTAAATAAAAAAAAAAAAAAATATTAAAACAAACGAACCGATTAAAACGTATCTGCAAGGCTAGTTTGTACGACTGTGGCACAGACTTTGCCTGACAAAGGTTTGCCTCAACTACGATTACCGGAATGAAGTTGAGGAACAATAAAGATATCTTTGTAAGGGCTGAGACGAGGAAAACGTTGAACGTTTGTTTCTGGCATTTACGACGATGCAAACTGTTTCTTGCAGTTTCATTAAAATGAAAGCTACCGTGAACAGCTGGTAATTGGTGAAGAAACATTTGAAATTTTCGAGAGCACAATTCCAATTGGAACTATCCGTTTTGTCGAACGAATTGCGTTAATCGTTGCTCGATATGACGTTTACAGTTTATTTCCCTTTATTAGGTTCACTAGCCGAAACTTATCTCCTTTTTGTCTTATAAAATTCTATTTCTTGGCTCCATTATATATTTTATCGATAATTATGTGCTCCAATTTGCATTTTGCAATATTTTTATATTACTCTCGCCGTCCGCGAGAATAATAATTTCTCTTTCATTTTCGTTCAGCAAACTGAAATTGACGAAACGAGAAATTGCCTTTTGCGTATTTTACGTCTCCTCAATAATCGAGAAGCTTAAACTTTACGTCGCGATTATTTTTAGCTCGAAACTTTTCTTCTTTCGTCCAGAGACTTTATTTAAAGGAGATTTACTTAGAAATTTCTTTAGCTTGAAATATCCATTATTCAAATTGAGAGAAATATATTCTCTCAATTTTATGGATATTGTTTAACTTGTGCTCGTACGAAATAGACGTGTAATGGCGGTTTAAACGAAAGGTCAATGGATATGTGCACGGTAAATATATCTCATGACAAGAAACTGGAATATCATTATCATATCTCGATATACGACAGATTTGCAATTGTAAGTTTGTTGGGTATACTTTGTTAATGGGACCCGCATCATTCGTTTGTTTAATTTCTGCACCATTTAGATTACGACCGTGTGTCGTCGAGTAAATTTTATACGTTTTGCCTCATGCGTACAATCCATTATCAGATTTACGTATATGATCTTCCTCTACCCACGCAATATAGAAATTCTATTCTAACAACAACAATAACGATCAGACATTCCATGTAAGTTCATTAAAGATATTATTATTTTATCGTAGATAAACCAGAGAGAACTTTTATTATTAATGGATGGATCTCTGTTTCTCTTACTGTCAGTTAACAAAATATCTAGCATCTCTTTATTTTCCAAGATACATGGAAAATAAACACTCGAGGTTGCACGTTATTTCTCATCTTTTAAATAAAGCTAGAAAGCTTGTACGAGTTTTAAGTTATAAAGATCTAGACATAGTTTTATTCAAACCTAATTAAACGAACATTTTCAACGCTTCGATTGAAGATGGTGGAAAAGCTCAGTTTCGGAAGACGATCGAAAATATTGAAAAGAAAGAAAGAAAGAAAGAAAAAAGAACGAACACGAAGAAAACGAACGATCGAAAGATAATTTGTCATCCGATAAAACAATGATCGATGAGAGTGATTTTTGATTGTTTTTAAAATCAGCGGAATGGAAAGTTTATTCTGGAGCTCGTGGGGGTTGTAAAGTCAATTGGCCGGAAGAGAAACGAAGAGATTGGGAAACGATGCGTCGTTTAGAGAGTCATGCAAGAGGTGTTATTTATCGGTTTTCAGGGAATCGATCTCTTCTTGAACGCCATATTTACACCGATTTGTGACGTTGTTTTATCTGATCGTTGGGTTTCTCACCCGTCTCACACGATTAATCGCCCCGTGACGTACTCGTTGGATTATCACGATGATCGATCGCCACCACCGACGACCGATTAGAACTGTCATCGTCGATAACGGCGGATTTCCATTACGACGAGGGAAATAAAAGGGCATCAACGTCTTTCGGATCGCGTATATATATATTTGTGGCTAAATGTCGCGTGGACGTCTTTTTCAAAACGAATGGAAGGAGAAGTGGGGAAAAAAAAAAAAAAAAAAAAAGAAAAAAAATCGAGAAGATCCATCCGCGGAAAGAATAATAAAATTTGTCCGCGAATAATAATAAAAAGATTTGCCACGAGAAGCCGCGTGGAATAATCATGTTAAATAGGTCGATCGATTGGAATGTTGCGGTAATGCCGGTAACCTTTCGATTCGCCATTGTATAAGTTGAGCAAGGGGTGAAAACCCTTGCTCTTTTTCTTTGTTTTTCTTCCTCGTTCTTCCCCGTATGAGGAACGGGGAATGGAGAAAAGTAGAGAAAAAAAGAAAAAAGTTTTATGTTTTAATGCGTTTACGCGGGTCATAAACTCTGCGAATTTTCTTTACGTAAGCGTAAGTTCTCAAGCCGAGGGAAATTTTATTGGGCGGAATTAATTAATGTCGATTTATTAATAGGACACGGTTAACACGAATTGTTTTTTAAAATGTTTGTTTTTAAAAAAAGATTTAATTGAATTTATCTCTGTTTCTTTATTAATCGGTCATGTTTTAAATATTAATTAGAGAGATCGTTTTTATTGGTCAATTTTATTGCTACAAAAGTAATACGAAAGTTCTCGTCTTTAATTAAAATAATAAAATAAATTTTAATTAAAATAATAAAATAATAAAATAATACAAAAAATTCGAGTTTTAAATTGACTTGGATGTAAGGCTGTAACTGTAAAAGTAAAAGTTCAAACTGTAAAAGTTAACGATGATTACCCGCATGCAGGTTATAGCAAGCCAATCTATTTTTAATCTTCTAAATTGCGTATTTAGTTTATTTTTAGTCATTGTAAAAATCTTTAGTCTCTTTCTTCCCTCCCCCTTTAATCTTTCTAGTAAAATTTTCTACGTAATAATATACATCCCGTGTACGACTACGTCTTTCAGTTGAGTAATAGCCGTTTTTAAAAGTTAATTAAATTACTTTTCTATTCTTGATTATTTTCGTGGATGATATAAAGGGATAAACTTGCGTGGAAAGTAATGAGCACCCTATCATTCGATCATACGTCGGGATACACCGGTGTTGAAAGACTAAACTTTAACGAGCAGACGAAAAATCGTGCACAAGTTAATTTACCGAAGTAACGAGTTGAAACGCGTCAAGTTTTCAGAATGAAAACTGATTTTAAGTAATTTTCGATTAATTTTAATCGAAGGATAATTGATTACTTTACGGATTTACTCTTTATGGATTGAAAAATTACTATGAACGTGTATATATATCTGCTGCAAACGTTTCAACATGTATTTCTCCATATATTCAAAGGAGCATGTAAAGATTGTATCCGTAAGGTCAATTGAAGATGAATAATATCGAAAATGCAACTACGCTACTGTTATATTAATAATCTGGACTTGGCACGTGTTTTGTACGCATCATAATGCCACACAGGCCTTTATCACGCTTACTTGACCATGCATTCACTTGACATGCAGATTTCATCCTCTCTTCCATTCTCTACGACTTGTCACACTATACGCGCAAGTAAATGAATTGTGCAGAAAATGGAAGATCGATTGTGCAACAATAAACATCTCGATGCACAAACTTCATATATTCTTATTTACCTTTATTTTTGAAATTACACGATATGTAATCCAACTATATTTGGATTACATATTTTTATCGAACAAACATTTTTAATTATCCTATATCGTTAAATTCAACGTGGACACACAATATGGAAATGTTGAATATACTTCATGAATTTTTCCTTTGCAATTTATTTATTTTTTCCCCCCAAGGCTTTAAAGATACGCAGATGATTTATGTATTATATAATAAGCCAGAGAAATTGATTTTTCACTTCTATCCATCTAACTGGATTAAGTCGGGCAAAGTTTGCACGGATTTTTAATTTTTCCTATCTAACCGTTCCAACCGCTACGTTTCAATTGATGTATAAAAAGTTTTCTGATAAATCTTATGATGGAAGATTAAACGTAATGGCCGCAACTTTCACATTTTCTTCTTCTGCTTTTGATCTTCGTGCAAACACACCCGACGCTTCCGATAGCACGTGACCACGATAATATCGCATACGCATGCATCGAAATAGACCTATCTATAGGGGAAAGAACGATAAACCTGCAAATTCCTGTTTATCCGTTGGACAACGCATGTACGTACGTTGTAATGCCGCGTATCGATGCTATGTAATTGGTGAACGGTTACTAATTGGATTTACGCGACACGTGTAGATCGAAACTGCATCACGAGGTGAATAAACGAAGGGCGCTCTATCTTCTCTATGTTTCTCTAAAACTTTATATTTTATCTCTTCGTTTAGTGAAATAGTGGAGGGATTTTTCGGAGGGATGAAATTCGTACGATAAAATATTTTTTTTTTTTTCAATTCTACATTTCATTTTCACATTTTCATTTTTAGTAAAATATCTCGATGAATTATTAAGGATAATTATTAAGGATAAAATTGGCAGTAAATGATACGAGATTTAATTCGTTTCGACTTATTAACTAATATTTAAATGTTAATATTATAACGATCTGTAAATATTTCTTGTAACTGTATTTAAGAGCTTATCGCTTTGATATTTGCACGATCGTTCTTCACGCAAATTAATGGAAATGGTTAATCAATCGGATACGTTGTATATAAATTTGAAGATAAATTTCATCGAGGATTATTAGTCGTACGGCTCGTTCCGTTTCATCGGAAACGAGGCACGATTAAATAACGTAGGCTCTGATGAAAATCTCCTATACAATATTTGTTTCATCATTAGAAACGAAACCGTATCGTGTTATCATATGATCTCGTGATAAAAACTTCATTTTGAAGTTCAAAGATATTGCGTTACTCGTTGACGCGTCAAACAAACGTGTCCATCCCCAAACGTATCGATCTTTGAGGGGAAGCGAGGAACCAAAGTGGAATTAATCCTGTCGGGGAAGTTTTTGTGAAAAATTCTCAAAGGAATGATTCAAGTTTGTTGTTGTATAAATTTAAAAAAAAGAGAGAAATAAATCTTTTCTTGGAGAGAATTTTATCGAAACGTAAAATTTTAAAACGTTTTAAAGCTTTTCATCGTAAGTATCATAAAATTTTCTATCAACAATAGCCAAGTTTTATGGGATTCAAGAGGAAAGGAAGAGTGGTAATCAGAGTGGCGAAATGAGAAAATTCTTTCTCAGATGCGATTATTTCTCCTCGCTATTGGAATTCGTGGTAAACAATTCATCAGAAAACGGGACAGATTTGTCCCGATTTGTCCTAGATGATACTCCACACGAGTTTCGTTTTTTTTTTATTATTTATCGTTCATCTTCTCGCAATTTCCACGACGCGATATTAAATATCGATCGCCTTTGATCTCCTCGAGAAGAAATTTAATAATTTCGCTTCTGCGAGTGACTTTGTAACGAGATACACAGAAAAGTTGGAACATGTTGACCAATCCTGTTTCCTCGTATCATCTGCATATCATCAGCATCTGAAGACAACGTCGACGACGGACTGCTCAAAGTTTTACAGGAATCAATTACCAAAGACGATTGATTCACATCATTGAATTGACATCGTCTATTCTTCTCATCGTCTATTCACAATCGTATAATCGTGGACTTATAGAAATTTAATGAAACAAACACCAAGAATGAACGATCAGAAAATTATCGAATTGTATCAATCGTTTAAATATAACTTCCTATACGTATCTATGCTTCGTTATTATATATTATATAGAGGAAAAATGATAAGGTTTCAATTTTCTTAAAAGTACAAATACAATACAAGTAAGTATTTAAGTTATTTGTAAATAGAGAATTTCACGATATATTTGAAATTCTCTTTTAACGTCAGAAGAACAAATTTCATTAGCGTTGAAACGAGAAAGAAAGTCTGGTCTATGGCGTAACCGAGAGGGGAGAGCATGGATGCCTCGACCTTGTGCGATCGTTTTCCAGAAAATTGCATCAATCCTCGGGTTACGGCTATAAGTCCGTAGATAGATAAATAAGAGTGGAAGATAGCTGCGTGCATGCGATAGGACGCGGAACGAAATAAGGAACTCGAAGAGATTCCAATATCATCAATAATGAGATTTCTCGAGTCGCGGTCACGTGTGCGACTCAACATCGATAATCCTCCACGTGTTACCTTCTTTTTACTTTTTTTTTTTTTTTTTTTTTTTCCTCCTGTTAAAGTTTCGAAGCTCGACAAGATGTTCTCCTATATATCGAACTATCGAGAAACAATCGAGTTCGTACACGAGAAGTTTTATTCCTATAGAAGAGATTAACATTTCGAATTGTGCCCCATATTTTTCTCTCGCGTTCAAATCCATGTTCTTCCACTTGGTATCGTAATACAACGTTTCTACAATTATGGTATTTTTTTTTTTTTTATCGTGACAAAATTGACTGGTATTATGGATTTGAATGCAAGTAGGCGTGTCGCAGAGTTTAGTCTCAAGGATGGGATTGCCAGAATGCGATGAACGTGTGTGTTGTTTCTCGATTTCCGAGGAATGGAATGCCACTCCTCTCGTAAGCGTTCTCGAAACGCTCGTCGCCAAACGAGTCATTCATCAGGAATTTGCTCTGAGCAAGACGAGATTTTTTTTTTTTCTTTCGAAAAAGGAAAAAATGTTCGAAATGACAGAAAGTTAGTCCTTTGATACAGGATCGATTCGGTGGTGTCTTGCATCCGTGCACGTGCCACTTACTAGTGATCGACGAACGCTTTCTATTTTCTCAACTTATCCCAACTCCCCTGATCGGATAAATTAACAGGCGATGGGGATAAATAACTTATTAATCCGATGACATTCTGCGAGATGGAGATGGAGACTTTATCTATCCGTAATTGATTCGATTGGATCCTCGAAATGATCGGCTCGCCGGTCGATCGTTAACTCCGTATAATTCGATCAAACAACGTTATTTACCTATGTGCTCCAATATCCTAAGTGAATCGAACTCTTGAAAGGATTCTCCTGTTACCACACGTATCCGGTTGGATATCTCTGAAGTATTTCGTATTGCGAGACAGGAAGGTAAAAAGAAAAAAAAAAAAATTGAATTTATCTTCGACGCTTGTTGGATGCTTTGTTTTTTTTTTTGTTTCCTTGTCCAATCCAAAACGATTGATAGATATAAGTAGATTCGGTTGTTAACTCTCGTTCTTGAATTTGACTTTTTTCCTTTTCACTTTTCACCGAGAATTATTTTCTCGTTGTGTGAATGAATTCTTGTTGCGTAAGGAAATAAGAATTTTATTCTATTATCTTCTGTAAAGTATTTTATCAAACTGACGTACGAATGACGCGAAACGGGAAGACGTTGAATATAAATTGCTTTTCCCCCCCTGTCTGTTTAGATATTGGGCAGTCAGACGGAATATCACTTCGTGCACAAAGCTCTACCGCACGCACGGAGCAAGAGATCCGTGCCCCACATGAGAAGATTGAAGGTGGATCCTTTGGTAAGTAAATTCATTCATCTTTCTCGAATATTATAACCTTCTTTCCATATTTTCGCGAGAATGGAATTTTTTTCATCGAATCAAAAATTCCTTGTTTTACACCGTCGAATTTATTTATATTTAAACGAGGAAGCAGTGGGGGATAACAACATCAAGGGGATGAAATTTCGAAACTCTCGAACCGTTCCCTTTCGAACGATAATTCGATAATTGTCAATATTTTAACGACGAAAAATTTCCTATCCATCCATCTTCTACGAATACTTTCTTATCACACGTGCGTGGATAATAAATTTCAAAAGTATACAAATACGTATATAAAAACTACTAAAAATTTAGGAAATTACGCGGAAGAAAGAAATTATCTCGCTCGTGGGTGGGCGATATAAATGTAAATGAACGCGTAATTTCCAAACTGAAGATATAATTGGATTATTCGGGATAAATATTGTCGGCGTAAAATTGTCGCGTTTCCGCGAAATTCGTCATCGATGAACACTCCCTCCTCTATGTTCCTCTATGTTTTTTGTATCGTTATCATATAATTTTCATCGTGGAATTCTGTAGTCGTCGATCCATCATTTCCCCTCCATTCCGAGATACGCGAGAAGCTTTGACCAAATATCCATTATTTTTTCATCGTTCGTATCGCCCACGCGATATCGAATGAAACGAAGCAAGATATTCAATTTCTTCAATTGATTCCTCAATAATAAACTCTCTCAGTTTTCGCGGAAACGAAATATTTGACGTCTTTGTTATTATGGGAAACTCTTGTTCAACTTTTTCTCAATAATATAATGCATATTTGTTAATCGATTTCGACGAATATATATTTATAAAAGAGGTAGGTATGTATAGTTATTCGTTCGTAAGGGGGATAGAATGTTTGCGTTGGTGCAAGAGAGAACTCGTTTAAAAATGTTTCAGGTGCACACAGCCGTGCAGCAGCCTGGTTTCAAGAGGGTGAAGAGAGGTTACAAGCCTCTCAGCGTGGATAATCTGGTGCCCCTATATCAAATTAAAAATCCATCGAATCCTGGCAACAGAGACCCGTCTGATCCTTATTTTCAATATCAATGGTACTTGAAAAACACCGGGCAAAATGGCGGGAAACCGAAGCTGGATTTGAATGTAAAAGCAGCCTGGGCTCAAGGTGTCACCGGGAAAAATGTGACCACGGCTATAATGGACGATGGTGAGATTCCAATTATTCGAGTACTTTTTTTTAAATTATTTCAAGATGCATTCTACTCGAAATTGAATTTTACAATTCTCTTGGGGGGGATTTTTCGCAATTTTAATAAATTTTATTCGTGGAATCTCGAAATTTTAATAATCGAAAGCTTCTTTTTTTTTGACTTTAGATTATATGACACATGAATGTCTCGTTTAAGGTTCGTATTAATTTCTCGTCACTTTAATTTATCATAATTAATTATCGATAATATCATAATTTCATTTCATTTTCTATTAACGTGTCACATATCTTGTTGTTCATTTCAATCCTTCAAAATTTCAAAACTGGAATAATTTAATAAGTCCTCCACAATTGAACATTTCATTGATTTCTTTTTGTGTTGTACAATCTTTCAATATCGATCGTAATAAAGCATTAATATTTTGAAATACTACATCTAGAATGCCAAATTTAGAAAAATTCGTGACGGAGCCCTAGTGACCTCGCTTTAAATGGTCGCTTATCGATACCACGTGCGAAAAAATAAAAAGACGAAACTTTTTTTATAAATTTTTTTACAGATTTTCACGATTATTAACGACGCGATTCGTTCAAAAAGAAAAAAAAAATAAAAAAAAAAGAAAATACGTCACATCAATAGAACCAAATACAAAATGAAATCTCGAGGATTGATTAAACCGTGCACACCTATTTCATACAGAGTTTTCAACGATAGCCAACTAGCCAGTGGATTAAAATTGATGTGACCAGCCCCAGCTTTACGATGATATATTGACAACTAACCGATTCTATCGCGAATGAAGTTTTATATCTTTGATCAATACAGCTTCACCGAAATTTTTTTGTACATTGTTTCAAAAACGAAAAATCAATTTTCGACGAATTCTTGAAACTTGGGATCGTGGAAAATATTTTATACCTCGAAATTAAAATAACTTATTAACGTAAATTATTAACGTCAAATAATTTTGGTAAAATACTTTGAATTCTCTTCTCTTTGAATTTTTCACCAACATTTGTCGTTAAATCGTATGGAAAATCATATACCTTTATAAATTAAAAAAAAAAAAAAAGAAAAAAAAATAATATTGAATTTATCACAAAAACCAGGATACAATTTGAAAATTTTACATTTTTATTGTCAATTCGATGTATCGTTTGAAACTTTGTTTCGCGATTGATAATAATTTTGTTTCAAAGTTACCTCCACGTGCTTGCTACAAGAGGATTGTTACGTAACCTTTCTCACAAATGATATCATTTTACCTTGAAATACGTGATTAAGTTCCATAATTCTCGTTTCATAAACACGAATATTGTGATATATAACCGATGGTCGTTTTCTGTCGTTTATTACGCCCGGAATCTCGGTATCTATCGTTAAGCTGCGACAAGTATACAATTTGTCGATGATTTATATTGGTCAAGCATCGGCAATGATACCATATCGGTTAGTCGATCGAGGATTGTTACAAATTTAACAAATTTAAGTGGGATAAATTCAAATTTCTCCATTATTTAATCGATTCACTTCGATTCTCTGTTGCAATCTTGTTTGAAGTAAACACGCACGACAGAAGATCACCTATCATATAAGAAATTGATATTTTCTTTTTTGAAATTGATCCAGTATCTAATAATAGATGATCCAAGTTTAAATTTTCTTCGAATACATTCGATTAATTAGCAAGCAAGCAAATTATCGAAAAGAGTTTCACTTCGATAACTTTCATTATTTGATTTCGATTTAATCTCGAAACATCCATGTGTTCCCCACAGTCCACGGGATCGCAGTTTCCATTGTGAAAACACCGTTTCTTCTCCTCTGTTCCAGGGGTCGATTACATGCATCCGGATTTGAAATATAATTACGTAAGTATTGATAAGCAGGTAGATTAGCTCGTGACAAACAACGGATAAATATCTTGTTCGCCAGCTTCGTTATTCTTTATTTTCCATTGGCGTTCCGAAACAGTCGAAAAGAAACACAAATTGAAGAACACATCATCCGATTCGATTTTCTTTTCAACACTGTGTTCGCTTTTAAGCCTCGACGAGTGTTCCATTGTTCCAACACTCACGAAAGGACATAATTCATAAGATATATTAGCGTAATATCCGAATGCGAAATTGGAATCGAGAGCGCGCATTTATCGAGACGAACGAGATCGAGAAGATGAGAATCCATTTCGATATTGCATTTTGCGTGTAGATTTTGATGATCCTTATCCAGGATCTACTCGAACAAATGATCGAATTGTTGTTCGGTAATTAAACGTTAATTAACGAGAAATTGTTCTCGTCGACCGGGTGAATGCGGTGAAATTGGAAAATCATAGAATATCGAATAATACTGCTTTGAGATCTATCTCTGCTGCCAATTATTAGCATTCAATTACGTGTTCAACGTTTCACCGAATCTCTCGCTCGGAATTTTCCTCGTTTGGAGATGGAGCTTATCTGAAAGAAGCGTAAGAAAAAGTTTTTAAACCAAACTTTTTTCTACCTGTGTTAGAAAAAGTATCGAGCTGATTTATATCTCGAGAGATTTTATATTCGAAAAGGAATGAATATGTAATAAATAAAGAAAGAAAAAGAAAAAAAAAAAGAAAGGAGAAAGAGTGCGATTTCTTTTGTTCTTGACGAGAGAAAAATTTGCCCTTGTCAACCGAGTGATTTCTCTTGGAAGAGAAGGATGGCAAGAATGATTCAGATCACGTACGTTACAGCCAACTCCTCAAGATCCACTTAATGGATCCTGGAGAAACAAGGAAGTGAACGCATTAAGCGCGGTTAGTTAAACTTGACGGTGACGTGCGTCGAATGGTGCAATTGGAAAAGGAAGGAGTTGAAAAATTTTCGAAAGCACAAATATCAGAAAAAAAAGAAGTCGAATTATTTTGTTTTAAAAGATGATAATGCATCCTCGACCAATTTTCTCGGTATTGTCAAAATAAAAAAGCAGTGACGTTTCACGAACAAGAAATCAATAATATTGCATAGAGGAAAAAAGAAGAAGAAAAAATAATGGAGAAACGAAATTTCTTGCAAAAGTTTTCTAAGAATAAAAAAAGTGGAAAGATAACGTAACTCACTGTGTTGTAATATAATAAACTTTAGGAACGAGGAGACAACGAAAAGAGAGAAAATTGGTCGAATATTAAAATTGCAAGAGGGAAGATTCTCCAATGAAGAATTCTTGGAAAATAATTTTATTCTGGTGCAATGTTCTTCGTGTCAACTAGCGTAGAATAAATTTCAAAGAAAAAAAAAAAAAAAAAAAAAAGAAGAAAAAAAAGAGGGAGAGGAACTTCATTGGATGAAGTGAATTTAATAAAGCAAATTTGAGTTTTTTTTCTTTCCTTGAGAGAAATGACGAGGTAAAATATGCCAGACGATCGGTCATTATGCTAAAACATCCAGAGATTATGGAATTTTTCAGTGTCATTCAATTAGAAGGTAAAAAATGGGGTGGCACGAGAGGAAGAGAGGGAGAGAAGAGAGGAGATGCAGGTAAGGAAGGAGAATGGATGCAACGAGGGTTGAAGGAGTAGTTTTCAAGACGAAGATTAATAGTCTGGCGACTGTTGTGTGTGGGTATAAAGAATTTATGGGGGAACAAAATTAATAGAAAAGACAAATCCATGTTCGATTAATTAACGACGCCGAGAAGTCTCGTCATTTTTGTACGCGAGATTTATATTTTGATTTATTACTCGTACACAAATTTATCAAATTTATTTTTATATGCGAGGAATATATTCCTTATACGAAAATACGATATTTGCGAAACGAAGAAACAAATGCGTAAAATAATTGTCAAGTTTTATTGTGATAGAAGCCACAAAAAGAATTTTTTTTTAAAAATACACGGAGGGTAAAGATTGACGCCGAGAAAGAAAACTACTGATATAAATGTCAATAGAATTCTTGCCCGCCACTCCAGGAAATCGAATTCGATTCTTCCATAAAATAAAATATTTTTCGTTATAAAAGAAAAACACGATATTCGTATACAAAACTTGATATTCAATTTTAAAAGAATGCGATTTTTCCAGCGTGCAATGGAATACATTTGTACAATTGAAAATGTATATATAATATACATCACGATATATCATATATCACGAGTTGTGCAAAGAAAACTATTAACGCGTAAAAACAAGTCGCATAAAAAATCACGTGAGAGAAAAACATTATACTTGCGTAATATTCAAATACTTGTCTCTCGCCCATTCGAATAACTCTAGGGAAATTCTTTCATTTCGATGACTGTCATGGTTGAGAGTAGCTTTGTTTCCCCCGTATGTTGTTCGATTGTAACGTGTTTTTCTTCCATCCTCTCAACAAGAAAGAGAAAAGAAATTGGAAAGAAATCCTTAACGAATCCCTCTATCGGTTTCGAGAACTTTTGTCTTTCCAATGAAGGGACGTGATACGAAGAAGGAATAAAGAAAATTGTTCGTTTCGTTTCAGAACACGAAAGCCTCTTACGACTTCAGCAGCAATGATCCTTACCCTTATCCGAGATATACCGATGATTGGTTCAATAGGTGAGTACAAAACGATCGAGTTCTGTATCTGTGTTGTTTTATCGCGCGTTTATCTTAGAAAATTAATTAGATCGAAACAAGTTAAAAATCTCGAAACGTTTCCCCTTTGTCCAGGAGAATGATCAACGAGAATAATAAAGGTTATAAGACGGCTATTTGTTACATAAAGCCCGGTATTCGAAGTAACGAGATTAGAAAAGGGGTTGGTCTTGTGTAATAGGAGCTTTGGAGAAACGTTAATTCTCGACGCGATAATTAATGATTACCGGTCGGTAATTAGCACGACGGTGATTAAACTTGGAAAATTTGTTTCGAGCTTCTTCTTATTTCAACTTTATATTGTTTTTCCATCGCGATCGAAGGTGACACGCTTCGAGATGAAGCCAAGGAATAGAGGATAATAACGAATGCTCGAATGCATCGGGAATGAATCGATGAAACTTTTTATCCGATAATGAGAAATCGACTTTCCAGTTAGAGAATCGGGATGAACCCGTCTTTGGGTTTACGTTTAAAGTTCTCGAGAGAAGAAAGAAACTCGAGAGTTTCGTTTAAAATCGTCTTTTATCGCAGGGCGAATTTTTCTTTCGTTTTCGTTCGTCGAATAATTGAAGAGTGGAGAATTGTGGAAAATAATTGTAATCGTGCCACTCTGTCGTCGAGTAGTCTTACGCAAAAAAATTGTTCACGTTCCATTTATTTTTCGCGCTCGCCTTACGTAAATCTCTCCAGAGAGGATCTTTGTGCCATTGACAAATTTTTCCGGAATACGGAAATAGAACGTCGAACGCAATAATCGAACAATTTCATCTTCAAAGCATTCTCAAACATATTTTCCTACTGTAAGAGAGAATTTGTCATCTCGGTATTTTTCATTACTCCTCCACCCTCGAGATTTTCAATTTTTCTCAAGTCCTTTTTTTCCATCGTCCCGTTTCCAACATCGCGTCTATTTCAATGAGGAGGAACGTTCATATTTTTTTCAATTATTATCGAATCGAAAGAAATTCCATTTTCCTCTACTACTCGATCGAATACTTTCAACCGTTTCTTCTTTTTCACGTTTCAAAGCAGCCATATTTCAATTTCCATCTCGATATTTCTTTCAACGAGTCGAAAAAAAAAAAAAAAGGAAAGAAAAGAAAAAAGGATCATTTCGATTGTAATCATTTACAAGGAACTGAAAATCATTGAATTTTTCACCGGTTAAACGAATCCTTTTAGTTTTTTTTTATGCTCGGCGAACCAATTACAACTCGATCTTTCAATTAATCGAGGAAAAACGAGTTTACCCAACCGTAAAATTGATTAAAACTCTTCTTCGCGTGGTTTACGAGTTATCTTTTAATCCGTGATATTGCACGATGACGCGATACGTCTTGATACGATTTGTTCATACCTCGCTTGTACGTGGAAAAACTTTCGATGAAAAGAGAGAGAGAAAGAGAGAAAGAGACAGAAGTTTCGCTGCTCAGCCGTTAATACGTCTTCGACCAAGTCGCTTATATCATCTTTACGACACGCGTCTCTCGATTTTATTGGTTCAATCAGAACGCGGTAATAAAGATGGACGTTAAAAACAGATGGAACGTTCAAAGGAGGAACGTGACGAAAGAAACTCGAGAAGAAGAGAAAATTTGCTGGAACTTGTCCCGCTTAGACTTAGAATCGAGATTCCAATCCTTTTACGAAGCATTTTTACCCCCCTGCCTTGGAACGTTTCGAAACTTTTAGCAGTTCGCTTCGTACCTTTTTGAACGCTTCATTTACACCGCCAACTTTTCAAACGTAATGTCCTCCATTTGTCGTCACGTGGGAGCGCGATAGTCACGTGGTATTCTTTTGAGAAACTTGTTTCACTTTTTGCCGAGTAAAAATATTTCGAATTTTTGCCGAGTTTCATTTGAACGACTGATTTAAATTTTTATTTAAAAAAAAAGAGAAAGGAATTTCGTGTCTAAAGAACGCGAATTTGACATTGTTGACATATTTGTGCTCTTCATAAATGTTCAAAAATATTACTTTTTATCGAAAATATTCTTGTTTTACATAGAATATATATCTTTGGAGAAATGGAAATTTTATTACGACGAATCAAACCAGAGCTAGAAAATTACTGAAGACGTTTATTAGCCATTCTTATTACCTGCTCTGTACGCCACTGCTTGGAACAACTGCGAGCTCCGCAACGCATCTGGTGCCACTGTTTCAGATACAGCTACCGCAAATAGGCCACGATAAATACGATTTTATTATGCAATCCATCCAAGACATTGGATACATACACATGGATAGAATTGTCTCTGGCGATATTATTGTGATATTACTGTGTTATCCTATTCTCTATAAACAAAATTACATTGTAATTAATTTTCACTCGATCATCCTATCACATTCGAGTGTTAAACATTCGATCCGATTATCGCGTGCCATCATCATCGTCGTCGTCGTTGTTAAATCGCAGTGAAACAAGTTGAAAGGCACCAATAATTAACGAAAGGTACAGATGAAACAACAGATCACTGCATCGTTTACATGTAATTGAAAGCGATGAGCACAGCTTGCATGCTTGCATTCCACAAAACATAACTGTACATTATAATGAACATCTGAAAATTCGATTATTTATTTTGGAAATTAATTAAAATTCAGAACGGAACACGAAATGGACACGATTAATTAGGGATTGGGTGAGTGTGTTTGACATCTAGCAACGAATAGAAATTTAACTAAATTTAATTAATTCGAAATTTTTTAACCGTGAGTTGGCGTTGATTCGTCGTGGAATGAATGAATTTTCATTAAATATTCTCCAACGATGTATACCTATTTCTCTATTTATTTTTAAACATTTATTTTTAAAAGTTTTAATTTTATAATTTTTAAACAGAAAGAGAATACATCGAAACTGTGGATATTTATAAATTTAAGTTGTATTATTTATTCGCGCGAAGAAATAATTTTTCAAATATCGCGCATCGTTTGTTCCCACTTGCTTCGTCTCTTCATCAATTTATGTAACTTTTAGAATTGTATAAGCGATTAAACGCAAAGAGAAAGAGAGCATAAAGAAAAAGAGAGCTCCGACGAAAAATATTTTTCCATCTTTTGCTTTTTTAAAATCTTATTCAATGGAATATTTATAGTGAGTCAAAAATAAACCTTGAACAGGAGTTCAATTAACGAGATGTTATGAAAATCAATAGTAACTTTATTTTATAAAATATGAAACTGGTGAATATATTTAATTCTGTTCGTATTAGATTAAGGGAGCAAAACTGTAATACATCGGGTTATTTTATTACTTTATCGAATATATTTCCACTTTATAGAAAATATTCCCAGGCTGCATTTGAGAAATGAAAAGATGATAGAAATTTAAGAGTTGATTTCACGTAGATACTCAAAGAAATTTTCCAAAAGAAATTGCTGCACGTATAACTATACTCCACACAGTTTCTCCACGATCGATCACATATACGAGACAAGCTTCGCTCGATTCCAAAAGATAAAAGATAGAAAAATTGATGTACAAAAATATCGATTAAATTCTATTCATTAATAATTATAAATAATTAAAATTCAGATGAAACGAGACAGACTAACCCTTATATATACCACAAATAATAAAATCATCTTACTCCATTCATTACTCTCGTTTCATCCAACGCAAACTTTAATTCCTCACGATTTCAAACCAAATAAACCATACATATATAACTCTTTTACCATTTCTCTTTACCTACAATTCTACGCCTTTCAATTACTGTTCAAGCAGCCTATAACGAACAGCCAGATTTCCAACGGTGGGCGCAAAAATTTTATTTTTACCCATCGCGACCATCTAATCGACAGTTTTGTTTTTTCCTTGAAAAAGCCACGGAACCAGATGCGCCGGCGAGGTAGCGGCGGCCCGGGACAACGGGGTGTGCGGCGTGGGCGTAGCTTACGACTCGAAAGTAGCCGGGATCCGAATGTTGGATCAGCCTTACATGACCGACCTGATCGAGGCCAACAGCATGGGCCACGAACCTGACCTCATAGACATTTATAGCGCCTCATGGGGGCCGACCGACGACGGGAAAACCGTGGACGGGCCGCGAAATGCGACCATGAGGGCCATCGTGCGCGGCGTTAACGAGGTGTGTATCAGCGTCACCAGCCTCCTTGCCCGGATCCTCTTACCCTCCTCCTTTTATTCAAGGGAAGGGATTCATCCTTGAAACCCTCGCGACGTTTATTTCTTTCCAAATTCTGTGAGCCCAGGAATTTTCGTTACTTGAAATATAACGATAAATTATTATATTATTGATTCTATTGAATCGGTTAAATTTAGAAAAATAATTGGCAGTTACGTACGTAACAAAATTGTGTATGTATGGAAAAAATGTACATATTGTATCCAAGTGTATCGTTGACCTGAAACAATGGCAATGCTCTGATTTCTCGTGAGAGCGAACTTGGATGCTCTGCATGGCGATAATTTTGTAGAAACAATAGGCCTAGTAATTTTTGTGCTGATACTTGCCATCCATCTTTCACTTGTATTCCATCGATCTCACAGAGGTGAGAACGAATCGATCGTGGCGATTCGTTGCCATTGGTCACGTGATCTGTACCGATCCCTTTCTGCTATCTCGAAAGTTTTCAAAGTACAAAGCGAGATATTGGCAAATCAGCAAACCAGTGAGAGACCGTTTTCACGGTGGAATTGCTGTCGTTTTGTCACCGACGTTACTCGACGACGAACTTTTCGACTCGAGTGATTTATCTTGGAGCCACGTTACAACGTATCATTCTCTCAGAAGTTTGTCTTTCTGTTAACTTTTTACTTAAGAGTTTTAACTCGAACCGTCTGTGAAATTTATCGAGAGAGAGAGAGAGAGAGAGAGAGAGAGAGAGAGAGAGAGAGAGAGAAATTCTAACGAGATTTCGCGTGATAAAACTTGAAGGTTTCGCTAAGTTGCAAAGCCAAAACTTTTCCCCCTTTTCGTCTCGCGAGTCTTTAAGTCTTTGGGTCACTTGCTTCATTCCTGCTATTGCTTTAATTCATTAGCAATAATAATTGTAATTTGTTTGTTCATTAATAATAACATTGTACGTAGTATTTTGAGATATTATTTCTATGATATGATTCAACAAAAATTGAAGAACGTGCTTCCATTTTGCTGGAATTGCTTGAATAGTTCAAGTCACGTATCTTCGGTATGAAATATTCTTATGTTCTTTCGTATTTTCCTTATATTTTCAGAGATTTCTTTTCTATTTATTTTTTATATTTTTTCCTTTCCATCTTCATCCACTCATTATATCCAACCACGCGTCGCAAATTGTACTTTTCACGCGCCTAACCTACCTTACTCGATTCTCATTACGTTTGTTCTTCATCCATCTCGTTTTATTTTCATCATTTCTAGCTTCATCGTAATCTCAAACGCGAATCAAATAAATTTGATTTGGGCGACATCGCTGAAAATCTTTTCAAAAATTTTTTTTCTCTCTCTCGGAGCGGAGAGAGAAATCTTCTCGTTCTTTTTCCCCACCGGGGATAGAAGGAGAGCGACGGATAATAAAGGTAACTTCGTACTTAACGTCACGGTGAAGCGATGCCCTAATTAACTTCGTGATTGCGCCGCGAATTTCTGACGGTCGTTACATCGACGGAAGTCGTCCCACGTCGCTCTTAAGCCACGTACAAACAAAGTATCTACCCCTTCGTGACTACCCCCCATCGATCCTCCTTTGATCGTTTCTTTCCATCAACCCTCAATCAATATTACGTCATACGGGGAGGGAAGAATTTTTTTCTCCCACGAAGCCTTCGATCAACGAGGCTTTAAAATTAAAATTTTAATCAGAGAGGATAAGAATTCGAGTCGAACAAGTTGGAACAAGGGAGGTAACGTTTTAAGAGAATTTTACAAAAGAATGTCATCTTATATGAATAACGAAGGTATTAATCGAATCTCTTAATCTCGTGGTTGAGATTTTAAAGAGGAAAGCTCTCACGTAACCGCGGTGATTAAATTTTTTTTTTCAAGGAAGAAATTTTCGAAATAGCCGATAATTGCTTCGAGTTCGAATCGATGCACGATTTTTCTTCCAAGAGGAGAACGTCGATGATTTTTTTTTAATAAGATGACTCTTATTAACTGTTAAGATAATTAAATCGTATTATATGCACATTTGTTACAACGATTGTAGTTTTAACAATTTACGAGGAGGAGTAGATAGATGGAATCGAAACGTTTATTTCTCTTGATAGTTGGATTATTATCGGTTAATTCGAAATGCAATTTACTAAGAGAATCTGATCGAGTTATCCGAGGATCGCAGTTGGGAGCCGAGATCGATACGAGATTGACGTGAAATTGTTGATTATACTCTTTGCACACGGATGCGACTAATTAATCTAATTAATCAACTTCCTTCGTATACGTATTATTCCTCCTGTCCCTCCTTATTTCTACGAATATATCTCATATTTTCTCGTTCGAGAAACGGATAAAGCGTTAATTTTTAATTAATTCTCCATCGGAAACTTTCTCCATCTTCTAATTATGCGATGCTGCGACGATGTTCCCCCTTCGTAGTGGTGGAGAGGCCAATCGATAAGTGTCAAGATCAGCTCTCAGATATTCCCGTTCGAGAGAAACTGCCGTTCTCGTTTCGGAATTTCTCCTTAATAACTACTCGTCACACACACACACACACACACACACACAAAACTTATGACAGATCGTTACGTTCCAAGAGGCAACCAATGAAATTCACTCGAGGATGAAATTGTCGGTGAAGAAATAAATAAATAAAAAAAAAAAAAAAAAAAAAACACTATGTAATAACCACGTATCTCATCTCACACGCGAGAAAATATTTTTGAAATTATTTTCAAGTAGAATCCAAGTAGGGGAGAAATGTAATATTGGATCCAGATCGAATTAATCGTTTCTGTTTTTGCGCGTCGAAGGGTCGAAGAGGACTGGGCAACATTTACGTGTGGGCCTCTGGTGACGGTGGCGAGGAGGACGATTGCAATTGCGACGGTTATGCGGCCAGTATGTGGACCGTCAGTATTAATAGCGCCATCAACGATGGGCAAAACGCTCATTACGACGAGAGCTGTTCGAGCACCCTGGCTTCCACGTTCAGCAATGGTGCCAAGGATCCCAATATTGGAGTGGTGAGTGGCCTCGAACAACATTCGTTCCATCCCATCTTTCTTCGAAACGTAATTCGATTTTAATGAATTTGCGACGGTTAAACAGTGTACAGATTTCCCTGTAGCTGGGAAGAACTTCAGAATTACAGTTTGATCTCGAAACTTTCGAAATATTCCTGGCAAATATATTCAAAGATAAAGACTTTAACTTTAACGTCTCTCTTAACATATTTGGTTACATTAGCTACTTTCAAGAGGAATAGGGCATCGTCCAAGATTAATCATAATCTTGGGACGAAACAAATTGTTTAATTTTTAACTTTAAGATACTTATTACAAATGGAAAACTTGTAAAATTTTCCTAAGATGTCACTACGCGCCACTTTATTGTACATAAAATAATAAGCTAAGTGTTGGAGGAATTTTGATGAGTTATGATAGTTAACAGTTATCCAAGTATTTCGAACACGAGGGAATTTCAATTTCGTTGGTTAAATATGCGAGGATTGGAATCAAAGTGAAAATGAACAAACCCGCCACTTCTCGGTATAATCTGAATAAATCGTACAATATTTTTGGAAAAAAATTTCTTCTACAAATCTCGAATATCGTATATATTCGATAATCACCACGTATTCGCGTAATTATTTTCGAATAAACGAACAACGATTTTTTATTTTTCGACGTAGCTGGATAATGGCTGCCGGCTCCGCTGGTAAATAGTCGGGACAAAGGCCATTCTCTAATTAGAGTGGATACGGTGGAAGGTTCCAGGTCAACCGATGTGCATATATAAGTTTCCCTGATTTCACGAGGCGGAAATGTCTCTGGGCAAAAGTTATTAACGCGTTGGAAACGAGGGATCGAGAAAATCGACTGGGGTGGAAATGAATCGCGACAAATATATTTCGCGACATAAATATTCCGTTTTTGTTCTCTCGCGCCATTAAAGCGTTGATTTATTAGAAGCGTGGAGGACATGATTGGCGATCGAGCCCGCCATCGAAGTTGCGAAACGAATATCGCGTTTCGATTATTAATGGCGAGCGCGATACGATCCCGATACGATGATCCCTCCGTGCACTTTCGAGGAAGAAATCAGACTGGAAGAATAAAAATTGGGATAGAACATCGCGTGACGAAGGAAAAATTTCGCGAAACGAAAGTGTGGTTAATCATATATAATTAAGAAAATTAATTTGTTTTTTTTTTTTTTTATGGTTCGTGATACACACGAGTAAAGATAAGTATCGTTTGACTAAAATTTCTATTCTCTCTCTCTTTTTTTTTTTTTTATATAATCTAGATCTCTGTAAAATTTATTTACGAGTTTTTTAATTTTACTTAAAGGAAGAAAAATTTTGTATGAAATTTTAAATTATATCTTGGAAAGCAAGTATAGGTAGGATAGTTTGTTTTATTCAACAAAAAAATAAGGAGTGAAAAAATACTGACAAGTGCATGGTGGAAAATCAGAGAATGTTTTAGATGTGTTTATTAATAGCAATCACTATAGATTGCCATTGATGATGACGATTATTCAAACTTAACAATTGATACGTTTTGCAAGAATTCGAATCCTGTTGGTATAATATAAGCTAAAGAAATACGAGAACTCGTGATTACTCAGCGGGAGCATGTTTATTCTAGTAAATTGGTCTTCGTTTAAATAAAATGGGAGGAAAGAGCGAGCCATAGATCGATGGAAATTTTCATTTGTATTAGATTTTATCGTATTCGTTTCGTATAGTGAAATCGTTGTTATTGATGGTTTTTAATCAGATTCGAAAGAGAGAGAGAGAGAGAGAGAGAGAGAGAGAGAGAGAGAGAGAGAGAGAGAGAGAAGATGATTGTAAACTGGAATGAAATATTCACCAAAATGGCTCCTTATTATTTGTTCAACCAAGATGAGATTAGATTCTGGTCTGTCGGGACGAGTTGCATTCGCTATACGCGAGATTGCTCTACATAGATCCACGCTTATATAGGATCTCTCGAAAATTGTCGATCAACGTGAACATTTTATGAAATTGCTAATATATTCCAAAAGATATAATCGAGAAGAGAATATTCGACGAGTGGGAATGATTGTGATCGATGTTTTGGAAAATCGATCGTTTGTCGAATGAAAATTTTTTAATTTCCTCCCTCTTTTGTGTAGAAATTTTAATAATAAAAAATACTTTTCACTCAAAAGCAAAAGCAATACGTTATCGTTTTAAAAGTTCAAACGGTGAAAGAGAAAATCAGATTTCAGATTCAGCGCAATGGCCAACAAATAACGAAGAATCGAGAAACATTGCACACTAAATCTCTCTGAAACTTATTCTTCGAATAAGATTAAAAAGATTATATAAATTAGAGAAATGCACGCGTATTGTTTATAGACAAAAATCTGTGTTAATGCCACCTTATCTTCTGCGAATAAAATAAATTTTTACAATAAGGAAAATATATTTTCATACGTATGTAGGATCATTAGTGAAGAAATATATTGGTGAAAGTATCGTTCACGAGAGGATCGTTCTCAATGCCCAAGAATAACGTGAGAAATTCTTAGCTCACGAAAGCTTAGTAAACCGCTCGTAAACTTTTTTACCGTGGTTTTATGGATGCTTATCATTGATCGATACTCCTGATATGGAAGCTTCTTCACGCGTTAAAGGAAGATTGCCACTGTTATTCGTGGTTCCTTTTTTTTTCTTATCTTTTATGAACTTTTTTAACGATTCTCGCGAAGAGCAATGGTTCCATAAAGATACGACAAACAGAGTGAACAGATCCCATTCGGGAAAAATAATATAATATATGTTTTCTTCACTCTAATTGCTCCATATTGCGAAACCAGAACGAGAAAATCGTCGTTCGAACGGAATTCGAAGAAGGTTACGTGAATGAAAAAGAAAATGCGAACTTCCAAAAAAAAAAAAAAAAAAAAAAAAGAGGAATTTACAGGAGAGGATGTTTTTCGATAATATTCTATAAACTGGCTGTTAACACCGTGTTACACCGCATCGTTTACAATCCAACGGTGTACACACATTCCTGAATAGATTCTGCCCTCGTTCCTGGACCGTTTTTGCGCTCGATAACCGGGATTTTATGGATGAACACGGTTCGCTCCGATTTTCCATCGTTCTCTCCGCTTCACGAAAAATTTCACGGCTGAACGAAGGGGAAAATAAAGGAGAAAGGCAAGGGGTTCGAACTCGTACAACCGTATGGCAACCAGATTAGACGCGCGCTAGGATTATCGTCGAATAAAATACATTTTCATCGTCCGGTGCGTTAAGTGAAAAAAGGGGACTTACGTAAGGGGACTACTTTACTTATTTTTTTTCCTTTTTCAATTTTTCTCTTTTTCTTTTAACTTTATTATTATCTTCGAAAAAACTCATGGCTCGAAAACTACATCTTAAATTTTCGACTCAATGATCATTTAAAATTTAAAATTATCGAACATGTTTCGATAACGTTATCGGAAAATCGCACGATGTGCGAGCATATGGCCAATGACTCGATCGATATATTCTCTCTTTTCGATCGTTCCATAAATCGTGGAACGTGACTGTTCCATATTTGCAAACATTAGGGGAAGAGAAGATCGATTAAAACCGACGTTGATCGCGATTTTATCGCGGTTACGCCAACTATGCGCGGGTCCGAACTTTTAATATGAAAACTTTCTCGATATCCAGGGAACACGCGCGTTGTTATAGAGGAAATTACAACGTTTAGAAACAGAACGTTTAATCCGCTCCTCTGCAAGTTATCCACGTTCAACGGCCTAAAACGATTCGTGCTTTTTCTTTTACGATCGTCTCGAGTCGAAACTATTCTCGGTGAAATATTGTTATGCGATTGTTAAAACTTTCTGCGCGTGATTCGATCTTCTTTCTCTCTCTCTCTCTCGAAAATAGAAACGTCATGTTTGATTATGAACAACGAGATGGTCGAGTTGCGTTAAAAGAGCATTCAGAATTTTGCCACTTAAAATCTGGCGGTTGCCAACCGCGAGTACAAACGCTTTTGAGAGAAGTGTTAATCGCAATTAAAACGTTCCGTGGTGTCATTAAAATGCAAATATATGCTCGGTAATAAACGGCGGTTAAAATAAATTTTAATTTTAACCGCAGGAGAGGAGATTCTTCTTGACATTGGGTTTTCGACCGAGGTCTTTTTTCTACGTTCTTTTTTTTTTCTTTTCCTTCTTTTTTTTCCAGGCCACCACCGATCTCTACGGCAAATGCACGACGACGCACAGTGGAACGTCAGCCGCCGCGCCGGAAGCCGCAGGAGTGTTTGCCCTCGCCCTTGAGGCCAAGTGAGTGTGCAAATGGAATTTTAATATGATTCTCCAACCACTTTTTGATCTTCTCGCGCAGATGATTCTTCTACGCTACCGATATCGAGTTCGTGACAAATTTCGTAATTCTCTGATAATTTTTAATCGAAACGATCGCGCGTTCACAACTTTTAACCCTTCCTCGATCATCCTTTTTTATTATCCCCTTTCAGAGATTATTTCAAAGATTGTTCTAGATATTTTATGTTTTCTTTTAAAATATTTATATTTTATTTTCTTTTAAAATACAGTAATTCGTTTTCTCGAGATCTTTGTTAAAAACTGTTAATTCACGTGCTTAAAAGAATGCATCGTGAAAACGCTGTTTGAACGATTCGATTTTCGATGGTAATGGTGGTCCTCCAGCTTTTTATCATCGCGCAAAAGCTTGCCACGATAAATATCGAATTATCAGATGCGGTTGGAAGTAAAAAGCTTTCGAAACATTTTCCAATCGTCGTTTATTTTTAAAGTTCAATTTTTGCGCGTTGAATTTTTCGCCGAGAATGTTTGAATGAAGGAAAAAAACTTGTCGATAAACGGTCCAACGATTTTAACGGCCGGACGATTAAACGCGATCCTTTCACCATATGCATTCTGGAAATGGAATAAACGAGCAGATGAGGATGAATTTTGCATAAATATTGTTTGCAAAACGATGCGAATTGGCAGTTTCGAATCGGAAATATTATTCGTATTAGATTAGCGTAAATGTTTTTCCGCCTTGTCACGAGCCAAAATATAATAAATTGAAAAATATAATTCGTAATAACGTTCATTTTATATATGTGCAGATTAATTACAAAAATGAGTTTCGCGAACGGAGATACAAATTTTCACGAATGTAATATTATCGTAAAACGTTTGACATCACAGATAAAAATGATGAGAGATAAAAAGGAAATTTTTAAATTGTTGTAAATTCTGTTGTAACAGAGTAGATTCGTAAATCTGATAAAAAGAAAGAAATGTTGAATGAGAAGCATAAAAATTGAATTCAATGATAAAAAAAGAAAAACAAGAAAAGAGCGTTATAAAACAAGAGGGAAATAAAAGGAACGTAAAATAAAAAAAAAAAAAATTGGAGAAAGCTAAAAAAAACTCATCTAAAAGTAAGTAGAGAGAAAGAAAAAAAAAAAAAAATAAAAGAATCGAAGTTTTATAAAGGTAGAAAAGTAATAATATCAAATGGCGTATAAAAAAAGTGGAGGGTAAAAAGAGAAAAAAATTAGAAAGAAATAAAAACGAATTGAGAAAAATAAAGGAAAAAACGTAGAAAGATAAATGAATTAAAAATAATAAGTTAAGGATCTTTCGAACGCGAATGAAAGTGCAACACTTAATTCTTTCTCCGATAAAATAAAATTTAATAGAAAGTTATATCCCACGAATATTATACGTTTTCAAAATCGAAAGCTCGAAATCTTTGTACGTGTACAGAAGCATTTGTGATATAAAAACGTTAAATTAATTTTATAACAAAATGAGATAAAGAATTATTCAAGAGCATTAAAAAACAATTGGGTTATCATCCGTCTAAAATACCGATCCAATTTATAATTTTATCGTTATTCTTTCAATAATAAATTGATATTGCAAATTGACGAATAATTATGAAATAAACGTTACTACATATTGTATCTCTCGTCAAATATTTAAGATCGAAGTTAATGGAAATTGATTACATCAATTTGAATTTCCGTGATTATTGATGATGTTAAAATTTCAGAGACACGAATTTCGAATATCGTTATAATCGTTATTGTCGACGACATGGTCCGAACCGTGATAACGAACGTGTCATATCGCGCGGTTTAACGACTCGGTGCGAAATATCGTTGACCTATTCTACTGAAAATATCACGAATCCAAAATCTATCCATCGAACGAATTAAGGCAACGAATTTTTCTCGAAAGAAAAAAAAAAATATACATCTCGAACGAATTATTCATCGATCATTTTTCCAAATTATCATTTGGATTCGTTATCATATCAGACATTATCTTTATCAAAGTTCGAAACGAGTAGGCAATAATTCGAGATGGGAAAGGTCGGAGAGTAAATATTCGGCTTCCGTTCAAAGATAATTTGATTTCGCGATCGAAACGGATACGTTGGTCGTCGAAAATCCCGAAAATTAAGGAAGAGAACGACAGGTTACGGAGGGTAGAAGGTCTTGGCTAATGGGGGCTCCGTGTTCGATCGAGCACTGACGTTGAGACGCGACCCAGTAACAAGGATGTAACATTAAAAGACCGGGGTTTAATGCACGACACTGTCTCTTTGGTACTCTTCTGGCCCGTCTCTCGTATTTTCTCGTCCCAGTTTCTTTGATCGTTCCATTGATACGATATCGGTAAATATTGATCCCTCTATTGGAAAACGTGGACACGAAAAAATGCTCTTCCCCCTTTTCCGTGAACTCGAGCGAATCAATATCACTCTTCGATAAAGATTACTTGACCAAACGATCGTTTATTTTAATATTAATATTTTGTTCGAAATGGATAAAAGTAGATGTTAATCACACGATTAACGTTCTTATAAGAGCCAATTTATACGAAGAATGTTTGATTTCAGCCCACAATTGACCTGGCGCGATATTCAACATTTGACGGTTTTAACTTCGAAGAGGAATTCATTGTTCGACGCGAAAGGGAGATTTCATTGGACGATGAACGGGGTCGGTCTCGAATTCAATCATCTGTTCGGTTACGGCGTATTGGATGCCGGTGCGATGGTCGCTTTGGCAAAGAAATGGAAAACTGTGCCACCACGGTATCATTGCGAGGCTGGTTCCGTGCTCGAAACTCAGTGAGTGTACTTCCATTCCTCTACGATTCAATCTCAAGAATTCGCCATCCAAGAGAAGAGAGACACCATCTTGTCCTTCCTTTTCGCTTCCTTTCACGAGTTAAGAATCACGTGTAAAATAGAAGGTTTGAACGCTTACCAAATTACGATCGGTGGATGAAGTCTATCGATCGTCGCCTATTCCATTTTCTCTCTATCTTTCTATTTTTGACGGAGTCATCCACTTTTCCTCCCTTTCTCCCTATGTGTGTCGACCTCGAACGCGGAAATATCTTTCCATCGACTTTTCTCGAGAAATTCACCGTACGTTCAAGCCCCCCTTTTCGAAAAGCGAATGAACACACCTCGCCAATTTTCCTTTTTCAGAGAAGTGACAAGCGATCGATCGATCTTGTTGAAGATAAAGACTGATGCCTGCGCGGGGACCGAGTACGCTGTCAACTATCTGGAACACGTGCAGGCCGTCATTTCCGTGAACGCTACGCGGCGTGGCGATTTGGAACTGTTTCTAACCTCCCCTATGGGTACCAGGTAATTAATTTCATCGAAACTTTTCAGTTTCGGATCGATTTATTATATCAAATTATATTACGAACGAATTTATTTATTTTTTTTCAGATCGATGATTCTGAGCCGGAGAATAAACGACGACGACCACAGAGACGGTTTTACGAAATGGCCTTTCATGACCACTCATACTTGGGGAGAGTATCCTCAAGGGAATTGGTTGTTGGAGGTATAGAAATATTCAGAGAAGAATCGAGTAGTTTCTCTCCTTTTTTTTTTTTTTTTTGTCTTCTTTTTCTTTCTCTCTCGTAGAAAATCGAGCATTTCAAATATCGATTAAATTTCGTCCGTCAGGTGAGCTTCAATACTCAAACACCTCAACACGGATGGATCAGGGAGTGGACCCTGATGCTGCACGGCACCAGAGAGCCGCCTTACACAGGGCTCCCGGCAGCGGATCCACATTCGAAATTGGCGATCGTGAAAAAAGCGCACGAGGAACGATCGTCGGCTATGTAACGACGACCATGAAGAAGACCCTAGATACATTCATATCGAGAGATGTTCACGCGTCTACTAGTCTTATTGTTTAAGGATCTCATTTTTACCAGCGAAAAACTTCGAAGTCGTCGAAGCTGTCTTTTCGTAATAGTTGATTAACCCGTAGAAGAAGAAGAAGAAGAAGCTTTATGCATGATAAGCTCGACAATTCTGATCTCCTCTGATAATTTCTGTATAGTTATATTCCAATTTTTGCAGACTGTTGCATTCTTTACGTACGATTCCTGTGATATCGCGTGCTATTTATTTTTTTCCTACTATTTTTCTTTCCTTTAGCCATACAGCTTATCTATTGTTTTAATTTTCTCGTTTTTACGATAAGTTATAATATTTATTATATGACTTATTAAGAAAGAGATCGCGTTCTTTTCGATAATTTTTCCATTATTCTATTTAATTTTTAACTTAACTTTATGATCATTATATTAATTTTCATCCAGCATGAAAATTAATCTCAGAAAAAAAAAAAACAGAATCTACGCGATTCGCGTTTGAAAATCGTTATTCGCGTGAGCATTCGAGGAACCTATACGAACCTATACGAAGTTTGAAGGGAAACTGACGATTTCAGTTTTATTCCACGCGACAACTCCTATCAATGAATATAAACAGAGAGAAAGAAGAAACATGGTTGAAGGGAAAAACTTGAAAGACATCAGATCCAAGAAATGTTAACTAATTAACGCCAAAAGAGTCTCAGTTGGGAACAATAATCATTCGGAATTATTCTCACAACTCGACGACGAGCCCGTCCGTCTCGTACCAATTTAACCATTCAATTCGTATAGCTGAGTTTTTAACGCGTGTCGAGTTGGCAGGGGAAATATCAAAACAGAGAGAAGAGGGAAGGGAATAGAATTTGGTGGTAGTCCACGCGTGCCAACGTTTCGTGTGATTCGTCAATGGAAGATATTTTCGAGGAATCTTTACGAAAATTTCGCGAAAGAGGATAATACGAACATTTTTTAACAATATATATATCGATTCATATAGATCGTTATTAGATCCTTAAATGTTCGATTACACGTGTGTATGTATATATATATATATATATAAACATGCATTCTCGAGGAATGAAATCGGTCAAGCGACGCTTGATCTTTCCAAATTGTCCAATTTCCGTAGAGTTTTAAGGGAGGATAACAAAAAAAAAAAAAGAAATTAACCAAATTATAGCAAATCATAATCAATTAATCTTTACGATTGCAGAAGATTTTCGAACAAAGAATTCGAGAAGTAATCGTTACACGGTACGATTTTATCGCGGTAAAAATTTTCGTTTCTTTTCTAATCTACTTTTTTTACGCGAAAAGAAATTTTTCAGCTTCTTTTTTTATCAAATATAGACTTTCGCACGATTTACGTAATAACGTATATGTACCGATTCTGACGCGTCACGCGTTTTCTTCTGCCTTTAAGAATTCCCAGCATTGTACCTTTCCCCGCAAAAAAAAATCTGTATTCACCCTTGAACTTACATATCCACTCGTATCCACGATGATCCCTCGAACACGACGCACAATTGTATTTCAGATAATAAGAACGATTTTTTACCAAAATTTGTCGATTCGCGAGCTCGCTCGACTGCGTCAAAAGAAAAGAAAAGAAAAAAAAAAAAGAAAAGAAAAGAAAAAAAAAAAAGAAAAAAAAAACAAATAAATAAAATAAAACGACCACGATGAAATATATATACACATACATAATATATGTATAACAGTAGCGAGTCAAAAAGTCGAAGACTTCCCCCCCTCCCTTCCTCCAGGTAGTATTCAAAATTTTTAAAAAGAAAACACGTTGCAAAGGAACGTGCGCGTGTAGAATCAAGAGTACACGTAATTTAATCGACGTTCGCACGCATGGACTAGTTCGATTCGAGGCAATGCGATCGATCCACTTTATCGCACGTGTTCCCTCTTTGATTTCCATATCATATCTCGGTTTGTATCTCTTATCTTATCTTATTATACGAGGGCAGAATTCGAATACGAAACGGATATATTTACCAAGGGGGGTTCCCCTTAGGTTTTTGCTTGCGTTGTTCTACGCTCGCTCTAAACTAAATATTAGTCTAATCATTAGTCCATGTACTTTTGTAAGAAAAGAAGAGAAAAGAAAAAAAATGCGAGTGAAGAGATTATCTCGCCGTATCCACGAGGGAAATATTCCCTCCAATTTCAGATAGATATTACAATGTCTCAAATGTAAACCAACCGACCGAGATCCATCATCAGTATTAGACCCATTGATTGATTGAAGAAACTTCGTAGAGAAATTTCCATTTATTATTATTATTATTATTATTATTATTATTATTATTATTATTATTATTATTATTTGATTAAATCGACGCCTCTCGTCTTCTTGGCTCAAAGGATTGTTTCACATCTATATTTCGGATATTATACGTATAGGAAAGATTCGATCGCGCGATTGGGAATCAATCTTTTGTGCTTTTCTCCAGATGCGAAGAGATTGCAAGAGGTTCCGGCCTCCCAATTTCGCGGGACAATCTTTCACAGAGAATAACCGTTCCAATGTATTTACACGATCTCTGCGTGTGCCCGAGAGCCACTTTCTTTTATCCTAGAAAGAATACGTGTATTTTTTTGAGTAAATTGATCGATTGACGCGTAGAATGAGACTAATCGAGAGAGAGAGAGAGAGAGAGAGAAAAGTAAATTGGAAATTGATTTCGCTATTGTCAACGAGCGAATTTTTAGCGAGGCTGCATCGTACGTTCCGTACATTGTACGATAAATCGATTATTTTCGAGAAATATGGGAGGATACTTGGCCTCGCTGCATATTAATTACATTCTAATCGAAGAATTTTAGATTTCTCGATCTTGCGAATGGGAGGAAAGCGAAGGGATGTAGAGATTGAGTAAAAGGGGGATAGAAAGAAGAGTTATATTATACGAACCAAAAATAGAGGGAGAGAGAGAGAGAGAGAGAAAGAAAAAAAAATATATATATATATATATAAAAAGAAAAGATAAAGACGTGTAGATATTCTAGATACTAGATATTCTAGATATTTGGAGAGATTTGCCCATTAAACATTGAGAGAAAGAAGAAGAAAATCAACAGAAAATATACATATTATATATATATATAGTTGAAGTGAATTTAATCAACCTTATTCTGTACGTGATGTACGTGGATGAATAAAATCTTTATTTTTTGGCCTGCATCGTTTTTATATGCTGTACCTGCGATCCATTCACGCCATCGCTTGCCCTTCGAACAGATCGATTTATAAATAATTATTCGTTACGTTAATGATGTCTTTATTCTTCTTTGTCAAATAAGTTCGAAGAAAGGCGAACGATCGAATTATCACGATCGATCAACGAAGAGCGAAGAAAATAGTCGTAATGGACGATTTTATTTTTTATCTCGCCATCCTTGTTAAATCGAGACGAATACTATAAGCAAAATAAGATTGGGTAAAGAAGGATAATACATTCTAATTATATTAGGACTATAAAGTTTCATATCAACGTAGTAAAGCTTCGTACTAAAATAGTTTCTTTACGGCTTCGTTCAGATCCATATCGATTTTTTTACAAATCCTTCCGGTTCTTCTTTGTCGAACCAGTGTTATATATTCTTTTCATATTCTTGGAAACCATTTGATCGAAGATTACTGGTTTTCACTTCTTAAATTAAAAAATGCAAATTCGTTTAAAAAAAATGAAAATTCTCCCCAGAATTATTTTATTTTATTTACAAGTTGCATTAATAGCGAATCGAAGATTGCTTTAAGAACAGTTTATGCATCCATTTTCAAAAAAGATATCTCGATTTTAATTTTATCTATTCTTTAATTTATTATATAGAATTACGTTCGAAGAAAGATCAAGGAATATTCTATATATTCGTTTCAAATAATTAAAACGAATAACTGAGCGCACCTACCTGAGTGAAATTCATCAAACGTGTGTAGTGGATTTATTTTAAACGCGTTACCGTGAACAGCTATAGAAATTTGCATCGTAGAGGGAATAATATCGAGGGAGAAAGAGAGAGGAGAGATAAAGGGGGAGGGGGTTAAATCTGAAAGCAGGGATGCGTCGCATAACGAAGTTAAAATTTCCATACATCACGCTTCGCTGGTAACGCGTTTAGCGTATTTTATTGGGCCGATGGGATGGAGGAAATACAAAGCAATCGACCGTCGAAAAACGGATCAATTGTACAAAGAACGAATATCACGAGTCATTTGTCCATTGCTCTTTTGTCTCTATCCTTTTTTCCCCTCTCTTCGAACAATAATTCTCATCGGGATGAAGAGAAATCGTTATCTCGTTGCCTTCGTTCAAATCGAAGTTTTTTCAACCAAGTATTTTGATGAAACAAAAATGAAAAAAAAATCATTGAAATTTGAAATTCGACGAGAAAAAAAACGATTTGTCAAAATCTATAATATAAAAAGCGAAATAATTTATTAATAATAACGAAAGAGACAGAGAAAGAGAGAGAAAAAAAAAAAGAAAAACGTCGATGACTCTGAAACATCGTCAAACACGAAGATGGAATATTTTAATGGATTGTTTGCTCTCGATGTCGCGACGACATCGACCCTTTTTTCCTCCCTCTTTGCGTTTTTCTTTTTTTTTTTTTTCCCCTTTTCGAAATCGATAGTTAAAACACGATTCAACCCTGACCTGAAAATAATTTTCACTTGTTTCAATCGTGCTTCAATTATCAGATAGGAAAACAGAGTTCCGTGGAACCGTTGTTTAAGAGGATGGGATACCAATGGTTACGAGAGTCCTATTCGCGGTTTCTTTCTTTCTCCGCGCCAAGAATGGAATGGCTCGCGCGCGCAATTTTTTTTTTCCTCCCCTCCGTTTTCGCAGGGTTGACAGATTGGCGATCGATCGGCGTAATTAACTTCGTTCTGAGGAACCGAGCCGTGAGCACTGCCAATTTGCATAATTGAACCGGCGTTGTTGAAACGTTATTTACGCGGGTTTCATAAATTCAAGCGAGGCCTTTCGCGATTAACTCTCCGCCGTGTGCGTGTTTTATATATATATATATATACGACGACGATTCCCTTTCCCCGAGAAGATACGAAACGGGAGGAGTGTTTTAAAAATGTTTTAAAATTTCAAGCCGAGTGACGAGACTTTTTCACGTAGCAGCGGTGGGGATGTAAATGAAAAAACTTCACCGTTACGATAATACACATTGCGGTGTATTAAACAAAGTTGCGTGTTTCTTTTTTTTTTTTTTTTTTTTTTTCCCTTACACAGATCCATTCGATGATTAAATCATTTTACAGGCTCAGGATTTCAAGGTATTGTTACATATCTAGAGCAATTTAGCAAATAATTATTTATGCAACGTTCGCAATGCTCGTAGGAGGGGGAGGTTTTCGTAATAAAAAATACACGGGAGAGCGCGCTAGTTCCCTTCGCGTGGGATATTTACAAGGATGCGTGCCACTGCGTCCTGCGGCAAGATCAGGATAGAAATGAAAGAGAAAGGGAAGGGCAAAGAATCGATTTAACGGGTGATTTTCTCGATATCGTATCGAATAAAAAACGCACATTGGGATCACGATGGAATATTGTCGCGTATTCGCCTCATCTCAGACAATATATGAAGTTAAAAAATATATGAAGTTAAAAAGTTGGAGTAGTTACAAAAAAATATCCTCGAATCTAGCGATTTCTATAATAAAAAGTTGAGCAAAACATGTCTCTATATTCTTCGTTCCATGTTCTTTGCGATTGATGTCTGTGCACCCAGCCTAACGTTTATTATCGTATTATCGTCTGGGAATTGTCGAAGCCGGTAAATGTCAAGCCGGGGAGCGAGATTTCGAACTCGGTCTTATGGGGAGGGGAGGGGGGGTTCACCTTTGTTATTTCGAGAGTTTTTATTCGATGATCGCATGCTCGTTGTTATATATTCGACGGTTGTATCTTGACGAGATCTTGGCCGGCGTGTTAATCAGCATTTCGCCTTCGAGGGCCGAATTTCTTTCGACGCGATATCGCCGAGTCTTCCGGTGGCGCGGATATAACGTTATCCATTCGTTTCTACGAACTCGTGGATGGATTTAACGAAGTGACGTCGGTTCATCTCACTCGTGGCGTTCTTTGAAACGGTAAATACATAAGCTTCAGCTTGTCCCCCATTTCGATGCACGAAGACTTTTAATTGCATAAGCCAATACGAGAAGTTGAAGTTTCTTATTAAAAATAGTTTATTCAATTAGATTGTGTCTGGATTTGTGCAAAGTACAGTTAAACCGATGATATGTAAAATTGAAATTAAAATTACATTCGCGAAACTTTGACTTTTCGTTGAAAGAGAGAATCTCGTCAAAATCTACTCGAGAGATAGAGAAAACCGCGACTGAAATCCGCTTTTTGTTTTATTTCAATCGGTTGCCAAGATAAAGGTATACTCGAAATAAATTAGCTTATATAATTTGCGTAAAATATACAAAACATAATTGAAAAATATATTTACAGTCTAGCATTAATTAATCCGATCAAGTATATTATATCTCGTATCATTTAATAATACTTTAAAATTATATCAATGAAAAAGTTAGATTTCAACTCTTAAATTAAATAATAACGATGGATTTTCCATGCATTTATTTAACGTTAGCGATCGAAACGTTTCGTCTCCCTTTCAATCGATCATCTCTCCGATTTGTCCACGGGATTAATCGAACAAACGTACAACAACGATTCTTCCAAAGAGTAAAAAAAAAAAAAAAAAAAGAAAAAGAAAAGAAGAGAGATTCGATCTATCGCGTAACAACTTTACTTCGTATTATCTTCGCGGGGAGAGAATCCATTACACTTCTTCAGCCTGGCTGACAAAGTTTCCACGGCGAGCGAAACGGACGCACTCCGAGTTTTCCCACCGCCTCTGACTGACTCTCCTAACGTTTGAATATCGAGGGCTTGCGCGTTGCGACCACGAGCTTCTGATATCGGAGAGGGAAGGTTCGGAGAAGAGGAAGAGAGAAGAGGATACCAAAGATATTTCGAAATAAGAGTAATCGAAGGAAATCATCACGATAAATAAATCGATACATCGACGTATGAATCGATACATCGACGTATCTATAAATCGATATCTGAATAAGAAAAAAAAAAAAGAGAAAGAAAAAGAAAAAAAGAAGAAAGAAGAGGAAAAACAGACGAGAAAAATACAGGATAATTATAAAAATATATCTGAAAAATAAAATAAACGGAATGGGGTGGAAGGATTGGGGTGAAACTAGAGAAGGACGAGCGAAGAGAGAGAGAGAGAGAGAGGGAGAGGGAGAGAAGGGGCGAGAGATAGAGAGGGAGAAATGGAATGGAGGAGGGAGGTGGGCGAAGCGTGTGTGCGGGAGAGAGAGGCGGTACGGTGGTTGAGTCCGGCCCGACAGTCCGCGTGTTACCCCCAGCCGTAAAGCAGGGCCGCGTTTTCTCGACTTCCGGTTATCTATCTCGTGCCAGCCTAGACGCAGAAACAGTTTCCGAAGAGGAGTTTCGGGAGATATCGGAGAATCCGCGCTTCGGTCATTCATTCGTTTCGTTTCCCCGCGGGCGGAATCTGGTGAACCGGAAGTGAACGCTCGACAAAGTGAAATCTTCGAAATAGGGGAATAATCTACGATCCGATCCCAAGAGTTTGACAACATTTTTTGGATTTCGTAAAGGTGAGTCGATCGATCGTTTCTCTCTCTCTCTCTCTCTCTCTCTGTTATTCTCTTTTAATGGAGCCAAGATAACAATGGCGAGAATAGGAAATCGAGTCGAAAATTGAAAAATGATAATCGGTTAATTTTTAATCCCGTTCCGTGGAGTGAATAAAAACGAGTGAATCCTGGTCGATCAGGATTCTTTATCTATAAACGAGTTAAGAGATTTAAAAGAAGGGGAAAAAAAAGGAAAAAATAGGGGAGAGTTATTTTCTTAAAATCGAGAGTGATAAAAGTTCTTTCGGTAAATTTGTTAATTGAAGCGGTTTAAGTTTATTTGAAAATTGAATCGAAAAGTTTCGCACGATAAATCTATTTTCCAAAGTGATACCGTTATATAAAAAAACCATTTTGAATCCTAATCTAAAAAAAATTTCGAGATTAAGAAAAGATTAATCGCAGAAACTTTTGCACGAGACACCGGTTTGCATTTTCGTTAATGAGGCTGTTAACGAGCTGAATCAGCACGAGCCTCGCGTAACTGTTTACGTGTAATGTTTGACATTCTTCCTCCTATCACGGTGCATCGTCAAACTTGCTTCCGTAGTTTCACGATTTTATCACCTCAGACGCGAGAAAAACACCTTCTTCATCCTTTTGAAAACGATCACACCACGTATCCCAATTCTTCCCCCTTATGTATAAATTTCTCGAAAGAAGAAGAAACCGATCCTCGACATCGATCCTTGAATTTCGATCTTTGAATTTAGACGCGAAAACACAGGAACACGATAAAAATACCGAAGAAATTTCGCGCCGATTCGATTAACCCGAGGACGGGTTGCAACTTTTTCGAGATTCGAGACGCATCTCGACCCGTTGCGCGAGAAGCGAGAGACAGTTTCCGCCACACGAAATCCCCCTTCCGCTCGAAAAGTTTTAGTGGCCGCGCGCAAATATTTCGTCGTTCGAGATCGATCGTTCTCGGTTCATACATTCCAATCGATTCGAATCCATTCGAGAGAAAGTTTGGAAAAAAAAAATATTCTCGCGAGATAACGCGAGAGAGAGAGAGAGAAAGAGAGAGAAAATGACACGAGGAAGAGATTGATGTTTCTGTCCGGTTCTTCTCTGGATTTACGTCCCTCGATCCAGCTTTCCCTTCCGCCTCCTCCAGTTCGTTTACATTTTTCTTTTCGCCACCGCAACTGCCGTCGTCCCCCCTCAGGCCTCGATCACGTACTCCATTGACTGGAAAATGTGATCTCCCATCGGCCCTGAATATTTTTAACCCGATGCAAAAAATAATCGGCGAATATATCATCTCGCTTACGTGTTACTCCTATGAATAAACCCTCCTGCGACGACGCGTCTGCTGCGCCCTTTTTCATCAATTTTGACGGGCGATCGGCCCAGTTCACTCGTACACCATTGTAAATCTTGGTTAGAATTATTATTATAGCCGGATTTGGGTGTATAAATCTTTATTAATCGATCGATTTTTATCCCCTTTATCGCTTTTATGACGTTTGCGCTTTGAAAATACCGATGCCAATAATAATTTTCCCTTCATCTCGATCAATTTCTCGACGAAATAATTCTCTCAAAGATGAAAAAGAAGAATTCATTTCTTTTTTTTTTTTTTCAGCTTTGGTTAGAATTTGAAAATTTCTGAAAGACAGATCGATTATTTTATTCTAAGAATGGTATTTCAAAAATAATCGTGTAACGTACGTTTTTTCCTCCTTTCGAAACGAAGATCTATCTCACGGCGGGTGAATGACGTCAGTTTCACGTCAAGGGGACACACCGTGCTTTTCTTATTATTAGACGAACAACTTTCGATAAAAAGTTGTTTATCATTCGCGAAGAAACAGTTTCGTAACACCGAAATGAATTTGAGGTGTACGCGAAGAGAGATAAAATTGAAATTTTTATTAGTCCCGCTGCATTTTTTCCCGTTTCTCGAACGAATATTATTGCTTCAGAACTTTTGATGGAAAGAAAAATCAGATATTTTCTCACGATATCTGTTTACACGTGATTCGACTAACGGAATTATTCGCTAAGCAGATAGGATTGTTACACAAGACAATAAGAAAAAGCTGTCTATTCGATTCGATTTGCGAATTTCAAGTTTCGTGTCTGTTAAAAAAAAAAGAAAAAAGAAAAAAGAAAAGAAAAAGAGAGGAGAAAAAGATTGTCGAATAGTTCGTCGTCGGATAAACAGATGGATCGAGATCCAAAGCAACTTTTCATCAAGATATTCTTGGTCGATTATCTTTAGTTTAATCGTTTCGGTTTTCTTGGAGGGAGGAGAAGAAACGGTTTGGAAACGGTGCGTTTTGCCGCGACAAAGAAATGCGCATAAATTAGAAATCCCACGGTGGAAACAGCTTGGAAGTAATCCAGATTAAACCGAGGCTTCTCGTGAAGGCGATTTAGTAGACTCTAAGATCGCTTTTCACGATACGGAGAACGACTTAATTCGTGCGTAACCTTGGCTTTTATAAATCTCGCTTTATCTACATCCGAGTCCCGCTACTTATTCTGAATTTCTTTCCACCACCTTCCCAATGAGTCACGACCGGGATTAAACGCCAACTTATTATTATTACACTCGCGTGTGTATTCGAAACGTGATCGAACGATCGAATCCGCGCACGAAACTATGATTTAAATCTAATTTGCGCTAGATTTCCAATATCCCTCCCCCTCCTTTGCGAAGCCACGAGTTTCCTTTTATCCGTGGAAAAAAAGAAATTCACAGAGATTCTGCGGGACGAGCGACAAGGTGAACGACGTCACGCACGTTCGATCGAATTATCGAATAATAAGAAACGAATTACAAAAATTCCCATTCCATCGCGTTTCCTCTTTGATAAATTCCCTTCTTCTCTTCTCTTGGCGAACTCGAAAAACGATGCACCGTCAAAAAGATTCGACCAACAACTATCGAAAAATTCTTTCAAAGGCAAAAAAAAAAAAAAAAAAAAGGAAACGATTAATTTCTCAATTTTTTCCCCACAGATTTCTGTCTCTGGCGATAGAATAGAAAGATGAAGGAGAGGAAGGGAGAGCGGTGGATCCGGCCGGTGGTTTGATCCATCGATCCATCGTCCAGAGATCGGCGGCGGGCTGGAGAAGTTTTGGCGGGCTTTGAAGAGCTAGGGAGTTCCGCGGGACCCGGCAAATGTGGCTTTGTGCACGGTGAGCCGGGGTTACGGGGGCCGTGGGGCCCGTGGAGGCGGGGGTAGATCCCGTGGCGAGGCAAGCGTGAGGCTACCCCTGAGTCCTCGCACTCTGTGCGCCCCTGGGGCCGGAGGTGGCGCACATGTGCACGTACAGGGGACCGGAGGAGCCGGTGGAACCGCGGCTGGAACCGGAAATAATCCCGGCACCGAGGAGGGATCCGGCCTTCCGGACGAGCCAATGGTGAGCCCATATACTTTCTTATACTTTCTTATTCACGCGCCCACGAAAATTTTACATTCGATCGAATTAATCTTCCTCTCGTTCCGATCCTCCTCTTCCTTTAGTTTTCGCTCGCTTATCCCCGACGACGTCTTAACGTCTAATCCCCGACTAGTGTTGACGTTCCATTCTCCTCGACATTCCTTTTCCATTCCTCCCGTGTTTTCCCTTCGAACGATTTTCTTACTAATAAAAAGGATTCCTCCGAAGAGGGTTCCTCGCCGTCTCCGGTATTAAAGCAATTTCAACTTTCTCTTCTCCACCGTTCTTCATCGGTCGTTTAACTTCGGTGCACTCGCGCGCCGAAAATCGTTAATAAGACGTCGTCGCGTGCACGGGTTTTGTCGACAGGAACGTCGAGAAAATAAGAATCGTCGCTCGATGATATCGTTGAATCACGCAATTACACGAAACGAAGAAACGATCGCATATCGAAGAAATGATCGTATATATCAATATATATCAATATATATCAATATATACGTATACTGATCATTTCTTTCTTCTTTTTTTTTGTTCGTTTCGCAAGGAACGGATTCATTCGATCATTGGAAATGTACGTAGGTGCACGTGGAGAGGGCCGCGCAGCAAGGTACCTGGATATGCTGCGTGCCGTGTTACTGGCTCAGACGAAGTAAGGCCGTGCACAAGGCGCTGCTCACGTTCGCGATGCTGCTCGTCACCAGCCTGCTCGTCACCAGTCCTGTCCTCTTCCTCATCACCACGCTGCCCGAGGGAGAGCAACCGCGTGAATGCCTACCGTTGGTGAGCGACAACTGTTCTCTTTAACCCCTTCCCCCAACGATTGTTTCCACCAACCCACGCGAGACCTCTTCACCTTTTCAACGCCGTTTCCGTGCTCCTTCCCTCTTTGTCCCTTTTCTTTCTCACCTTTGTTCGAATTAGGATATCGCGCAAAGAGTTATTCTCTACCCGTTGGACTCGAAAGTTGCAGTGTTTTTTTTTTCTTTTTCCTTTTTTATTTTTTTTTTTTTTGGGACGTTACACGAATATTTTATATCTATTGTAAGGGGAAGGGAGAGAGGGCAGTTGATTACGGAACACTGGTTTCAGTCTTTTCATCATATTATGCGGGGTTGGTTGAACGTTGTTTAAATGAAAACTGAGCTTTTGATAAAGAGAGAATCATCCTGGAAGGGGAACGGGAATGTTTCGAGGTCGAAAGATCGGCGTTTATTTCTCTTTAAGTCGCGTTCTCTAATGTTAGATGGAAATTTCGAGGCGTCCCTCTTTCGAAACGCGTGTCGCCGAAGAATAAGATTTAGATAGAAATTTCTGAATATGATATTTCGGGGAGAGATCCGATGTAAAATCTCGTAAAACCGAAGTTGAATGGATCGTAAAACGATGCATCTTCTGAAATATGGCTCCCTTCGAACGCTAAAATATCGTTGCCTGTTCCGTTCTTTTGAGCGACGCATCGATTCCTCGCTTCCTTTGTCGCAACGTCCTGCGATGTCACCCGAGTTTCGGCTCTTATTCCTTATCCCAGACACACTCTATTATTATTATTATTATTATATTATTCGTTGCATTAATTTTCTAAATTAACGTTATTGTAGATCCATAACTTCATACGTGAAATGAATTTCGATTGTTCGTAATTATCGTGATACTTGCTTCCGGATTGAACCGAGCAACGATTACGCTTTCACAGAGCAAACGTTGTTTGTTCCCCTTCAAATCCTCTTCTTAAAAAAAATACGAGACAAAATAATTTTTTCCTTGTTGCGAATAAGAACGATTTCACAGCAATGTAACAGGTTTTGTCCGCGACCGTGACGATCCAATAGTCCCCTCGAAGCGTTATATACTTTCACGTTCGGCAAAGATGTTAGAGAGAGAGAAATCCTCTCTGGAAATTTTCGTCCATACATCTCGAGAGTTTCGCGCGAAAAAAAAAAAAGAAAAAAAAAGAAAATGAAAGAAAACGCGATTCCCAGTCCCCAAAGCCGATTTTTCGCTTCCTTACTCGTCTCGAGGCGTACGTTTGTCAGATATAAATACGAGAGAAGGAATATTTCACGGTCGTTGATTCGCTCGAGACGACTTAACTTCTCGAGATTTCTTATTTTTTTCGTGAAGTGGGGTAAGTAACTCCGTTGGGAATAAAATTTTCTTCCAGTTATTCGTTATTGAGAGGTGAATTCAAGATAAAATATTATTAGGAAATGCGTACACTTTTAAGATACTTGTTTCAAGAATAAAATTCCCCCTCCTCCCTTCCCATTATCGAAAAATAAAATAAAGCTTTCAGAGTTATTTCTCGAGTTTAACATTTTACTTTGAGCATCAACGAAATAAAAATAAGATTAATAACCAAGAGTGTGAGTATAGTGAAAATAAATTCTCGAGAATCGAGAATTCTCGATGATTATTTTTATATTTTGAGAACAATAATGTCATCGACTCTCCAACAGAGAAAAATCACTCTCGAGAGCTGTACCCCCCAAATTTTATTTTATTATTTTGCTACCCTTAAGATCTTGCTCTCTTGACCGAACCTTCGTCAAGGAAATTTCTTCCAATTGATTCGATTTCCACGTAGATTCGTATATCGGAATGCTAAACATACGGGGAACTTTTTCCATCGATAGGGGAAAACGCGATGTAAATCTCAATTGGATTTGACGCGATCGCTGTTGGTGGAAACCTTCGACGAGGCTAAACGCGTTGCACCCGATGTTATTCTCGCACGAATAATAGCCGTATAATTGGTATCAGTTCGCAGTTATCCTTATAAGGTTTCCCAATTAACATTAAGCAAGTCTATAATTCAGTTAAAGATCCTTGAATACGACGAATAATTCGTAATTCGATATATACACCTCAGTCAGGACAGGAATCCTCCCGATTCTGTATACCCGTTTCGAGTTCATTGTTTCGAATTTGTCCGAGTTTTTTTTGAATTTAGAGAAAAGAAAAAAAAAAATAAATAAAGGAACGAAAAAATTTCGATAAAATTTCGTTTAACGAGAAATAATTGGTTCATACGGTGTTGTACAAGTACAGAGAATACCGTAATTAGAACCGAGCTATTGAAAATTTCTCACAGTTTTCACAGTCAACATTAATCTTCTTTATTATTTACGTTGCGTGCTCGTGGTCGGCAAATAAAAAAAAAAAAAAAAAAAAAAATATTCGCAGGCGAATGGACGGTCGATCAAAGCGAAACATGTTTGCGAATTCGAGAAAAGGGGGTTAAAGGCCGGTGAGTATAATCGTTAACGTGGGATCGATCGATCGTCTCGCGGAGAGGCGAGAATAAACTGTGAAACATAAAAATAGATCGCATCGAACGGGCGGCCTCTTCGAAGGAAATTTATTAATTCCAGTGGCGAGGTATTATTGGCGGAGGGAGGGGAGGAAAAAAAAAAGGTAGCAACTTTTAAAATTGGTCGAATTATTTTTTCCCCTCCTCCTCTGTTCGAATAAATTGGGGGTGAAAAGTAGGGGAGGAACGACGTGGATAGACCGTGAAAACGGGAATCGAAATTCGAGTTTGAATTTCGACGCCTCGACGACGGTGTATAATTATCATTAACGTCCTATCCAAAATTTCAAGGATAATAACGTTTATCAATTGAGGTTTAATTATCACAGAGACTCCTCTGGTTGCTTTGTAATCAACCTCGCGTTCGCCAAATACGCGATTAAATTTCAAGTTGATATGCGATGATATCCGCGAAGATTTTAGAGAAATTTTGTTTTACGCGATTTTGTTCATTGCTGTGTACGAAAGCGGGCCAATAAATTTTCCTTAACCGCACATTGATTCAAATTTTTAAAACAGCTCGTCGAAATTGACTGGCAAAAAGGACTGGTATTGCTCTTATTATTTCAAAATCGATTTTCTCGAATTCCTCGAGTTCCCCTCCATTTTAAAAATTGAAAACTTGCAAAACTGATTGGCAGTTTTATTTTCGCTCGAAATCAAATTTTTATTCCCTCTTGGTATGAAACCGTAAACCGATATTCGAGACTTATCTAACTCATCGATTAGATCGGAATCGGTCGATTTTGAAATATCAAATCACGTACGAATTTCGTTCGATCCTTCTTTGGAATCGTTCAACATCCATTTCCATGAGGGATTATTAACAGGGAAGAAAAGCGTGGGGATAATCCGTGATCAATTAACCGGTTCTTTTCGGCCGCGTCTTCCCTCGGCTTCAGCCTGTTAATAAGTTTGCAGTAATTACAGCTGCAAGGGGTAGTTAGTGGGATTCGAAGCAGATTGCCGCTCGAATATTCCGGATGTAGTTAAGGGATTGGTTATATCGATGTAATATACCGCTCGCGTTTCCTCCATCTTAAGCCGTGTCTCTTAATTGCCTTAAGTTCTTCGTGTCGAATATATCGTTCGTTTGCCACCATAATGGGGGGAGGAGAAAAAAAAAAAAAAAAAAAAAGGAGAAAAGTTTTTAGCAGGAGCTAGAATTGGAAATATTTTTAATCTCTAAAAAGAACGTGTAGGGACGTGATATTAATTTTATAAATATTAAATACGTGTATTAAACGCGAGAAGAAAGATATGCGTAATAACGTATCGTAATTTATATAATTATGCGGAATATACGTATAATAACGTGAAACATATATATATATATATATTTGCACGAAAATCCGTAATATACTTATTATATTACGTTATATATGACATTGAATAAAGTAATATAGAAGAATTATGGCATCGAATTATAATATATATATTTTACTTCAACTGTAATGTCTTTAGTCACGATGAATATATATATATATATATATATATATTCGTACAACGCATATTATTCGAGAAATTATTAAAATTGATAAAACTTATAAATTGTTGAACAATTGGAATATGTACGTACATAATACGAAACACGAAATATTTATTTACAAAGATTTCGATTATTTATGAAAAATAATAGATCCTGACGCCATTTTCGTACCAAGATATGCGTGCAATGTACGAAATATTCACCGAGTTTTTCCCCCCCGACCGTCCTTTTCAAAATGTTCGCGACGAGTACGAGGATTAGATCGAGGAGAAAAGATCGAATACACGATTTATTCGACATTGGGTATTCAATGTCGACGAGAAACGATGGATTCGAATGCTATTCCCGTGGAGGATTCGCCAAGTTCGACCACGGGTCGTTAGAGAGAGGTATGCGCGAAGCCATACTATGCGGTAAGGTTTCGAGGCAAAATGTCAACCCTACGCGAGGTCAGGGTTTCACCCTTCATCCTGACCTTTATCTTCCAACCTCGGACACTTTTGACCCCCAACGGGAAATCTCTCTATCTAGGGATCCCCTCCATCTTCCTTCCAACTTTCTTCCTTCGTTTCGTCTCGAAAATTTTCATTTTCGTGTTAAAATGAAAGTGATCGGCTCGAAGAGACGCGTTTCCAATAAAAAAAGATGTACTACTGTATTTCTAGATGTATATAATCTGTATATAGTCTGTTGTTTGTATCGGCTGTTTTGAAAGTTAACAATTGGAATTGCAACATGATCCGATCAACAATATGGTAATATTTTCGTTGAAAATGTTAAAGAAAAGAGATAATTCTACTTTGGATAGATTCACTGTTAAAAAGAAAAATTTATTATTCATTAGTTGGATTTAATCGATCTGTATCTTACGGAAAAGAAAAAGAAAAAAATTAGAAAAATTAGTCGAGCAATAAGAATTATTCTTTCGTTCAATATCCACGGTAACAACTTCCTCAAAACTTTCACGAAAGAAGAATATTCTTTGTCGTGGAAATACGTGGAAATAAAAGTATTAGAAATTCGTATTGACGCGCGTCGTCAAAGGCGTGCCAAACTTTCTCGCTCGCATTCTCCACGCCATTTGGCACGCTTCCTTACGCGTAACCGAACTTCAATCCCGAGAAATTCTTCTCGCATACTTGCGACCTTCCCCCCTTTAAGCCCATACGTTCCGAATCGAGGCGAAGATAAATTATTATCCACCTTATGGCTGAACAGAGAGATCTTTGCGCGCGCGATCCAAGTACGGAGAATCACGAACGAGCAGGCCGTGTTCGTGGAATATGAAATTGAAAAGTTTTTTCAATGGCTTTTCCTAATTTTATTCCATTTAAGCCGAGAATTCATTCTCGTATCGAAAATCGCCAAAGAAGCTTGGTTTCCTTTGCTGCGCCGGGGCGTAGCAACCTCCTCTTCGAGACCTCCTTTCGGGAAGGTTAAAGAATCCAAAATTCACGGACGACTTGACGAAGAATTTCGGAAAACTTGAAATCTTTGAATCGCGAAAGCTGGGTCATCTAGGCGGATGCTTACTCAGTCTTGAAGAATTTTCATCAGAGAATATTTTCATATATATATGTATGTATATATACAGAGAAAATAGCTGGTTTGGGGGAAGAGGGGAAATCGAGTGCAGGAACGAATGTAATGAGTCGTGGTGGAAACGAGTCGTACGATATTTGCGAGATTTATTTCGACTCGATTACAGATAGCTAATATATAACGCAGATTCTGTGACGTTTACTTAAATTGGACGATTTGTACGCATAGATTTTCTTGGGGATGATAGGGATTCGGGGATGATTTAGATTTCGATTCTTCTACTTTTTCATCGCGAGACGAGTGAAAAATTCTCTGAGAACTGGGTCGAACTTAATTTCACGCAACCACATCCGTTTGCTTGGGGGGGCGGGGGGGTGTGAGGCATCATCGTTGGTGAAAGGATCATCATCCGTCTCTGTCAAGAAAAGAGGCGCATCCAGGGGTGAAAGGCAATTGACGACAATGAGAATCGTCGACGTGTAGTTGCGCAACCCCCCCTTTCGTTAGGCCTCTCGAATTTTTAGGTTAACTCTTTGGACAGGTTTCACAGGATATGAGTCGAGACCGATTCTTCATTTCCTCCTCCTCCTTCTCCTTCTCCCTTCTTTTCCCCTTATTTATCTTCGCCGAGTCCCCGAGTTCGCGTCAAACCATTCGTCTTTTTCAAGAAAGACGTATGATTTCGCTTCGCGAGTGCTCCCCCGACGCATTAAGGAAGAAAAGCGTGTGATCTTTATATTTGAAGACGAATCGAACGAGTTTTTCCTTTTTTTCCTTTTTCCATCCAATCGCAGAAATAAAAGAAGTTGCGTCGTCTTAAATTTGTTATTCGATAGATTCCCCGATTAGAATTCGTAGTGCGTGTGTTTTTTTTTTTTTTTTCTTAAATTTCTCCATCCTTTCCTTCCAAAAGAGAAGAGAATAATAAATGGAAGAAAATTTTACTCGCTCTTTTCAATCGGCATGATCTGTATTCGTGAAATATTACACGCGATATTAGACCGAGGAGGAAAATAGATCGTGGAAAATGGACAAATAAAGCGGCGTGTCCGTTTCAATTACGCTTCCCTCCCACTTACGTATCGTATAGCGCTAAATAAATTAAATTAGAAAAGAGGGAACACGCGGTGTTCCTACGCGATAAAAATTTTACGAGGGAACATTTGAACCGTGCACCGCACGTAAGAAACGTATCCTTGACCTCTTGCATTAGCAAAATGATTCTCAACGTTATTTCTCAAACTTTATTCCCCATTTCTTTTATCCTCATTATTGCACCCGCCTCGCCTTCACCTTCGCGCGATTATCCCCCTCCTGCAATATAATACACATATATATATATATCCCCCGTCTAATTTCTTTTGTATCGATCAACGACCGCCGATATAAGGCTCGTAAGAATCGTTCCTTCTAATCCTCCTGGATTAAGTTGGAGGCTAATAATATGAAAAGAAAAAAAAAAAAAAAAAAAAAAATGAAAAAGTCGAAGAAAAAGGGGAAGAGAAAATGGTGGGACGATTTTGATTGCAGGACGAGGCCTGTATCAGGGAGAGGGATGGCCAGGAGGGTTTGTGCGACTCGAAAGCCTGCGAGGAAGCCTCGAAGCGGATGGTGGCGTTCATGAGGAAGGGGATGGATCCTTGCAAGGACTTTTATCAGTTCGCGTGCGGCGGTATTCGCGATCAGCAACCGTATCAACCTAGCTCGAGCTTCAACATGCTCCAGGCGAAGGTTGACGATCATCTTCACAGTGAGTGAACCCATTCTCCGTTCCTTCCTCCGTTTTTCTTCTTCTTCTTCTTTTTTTCTTTTTTCTTTTTTTCCATTAAGACACTCTTGGAAAGTTATTCGAGAACTCTGTTTGCGAACCTCTTTTCCGAACGAAGGAAAATAGTTACGTGAATATATATATATATATATATATGTTACATGATATACATATATATATATCCATCCAGGTTTAAGATAATAATAATAATGATGATACTTCTTTTTGTCAACGAGCTTTTACGTTGTGCTTGTTTACGTTAACTTACAATTAAGCAGAAAAGAAAATATTAGGAGTAAATTAGTTAGTAAATGGAATAGAAGAGTTTTAGAACGAAATTTAAGATAAATATTGTCACAAACATTTTTACAAGTTAATAAGTTGCAAAAGAATCATCCCAGTTTTACGTAAAAATATTACGAAAATTATTTTACGTTATATTTTTTCACATTTCGTGACATTTCGTTCGAGGCTCGATCGATAAAACCAAAATTTGAATGTCGAAATTAATTTCTTGCCAATTAATTGAAAAAAAGAAAAAAGAGGAGGGAAGCTTTTCCACCAAGTTTCAACTCGAAGGAAGGGATAATTGATTCAGAAGCGTGGGCAAATTTTCCCTCCGTCATTTAAACTTTCAATTAACCAATACTCAGCAGTGTATTCGAAACGAAAGTTTCTGATCGCGTCGCCCCCTCTCCCTCTGTTTTGAAATCAATTCGCATCATCATCGCGAAACTCTTGCTCGTCACAGACACATCCTCCGCTCTTTCCCTCATTCTTCATCATCGATTCATTTCAATTCTTTTCGTTCAATCCATTCCAATTCCATTATCTTCATCTGTTTCTCTCGCTTATTTATACTCGCAAGGGATGAAACGTCGGCCGTTTAAAAATTTCGTCGCTTCCCCGCCTTTTCCAATCGTATCGTCTTGGATCTCTTCTTACGTAATCTGTTCCCTCAACTATCCTATTTTTTTTTATGGCTTCCATCACGAGGGGAGGGGGGGTTAATCGAACGAGTTTCGAGAGAGGGTTGAAAAGTTGAACGCGTTTAAATTTATCGATATTATCGGAGAGAAAAAAAAATGTGTTTGGATTCGTATAAAATCTTGTCCACGATTATTTTTCTTTCCTATTCCCGGTTCTTAAGAAACTGTTTGAAGATATTTTGGGAATTTATCAAGTATCCACTTCGTTATACGATCATCTTTTATCGAGTTTGATATTTGGAAGGTTTAAAAAAAATTAAAATTCTCTCGAGGAGATAGAGAGATAGAATTCAGGGATATTTATACGAAGTCTCTATTTCCATTATGCGATCGTTTCCAAATCCAATCAAATATTTAAAAGCAGAATATTAAAATACTTTCGAGATGAAATTTCCCCCCAGAAATAATAAACGATTGTCTGTTTAGGAGGATTAAAAATATTTTAAGTGTTCTACGTTCTACGAAATTAAAATTAATTTTGCCGGACGTGTTATTAAAATAATACGAATCCCGAATCAATTCTTTTCGATTCGCGTTATCGAAAATTCGCGCGTTAAACGAAACGAATTATCGAGATTCCAATATATATTTCGCGGCGAGTACGTGCGAGTAAACAGAAGACAGAAGAATCGGGGGGATATGTAGGTCATACGCGATTAAAAGAGCTGGACGTGCATACGTCACGATGCGCTGACGTAGGGGATGAAAAACAACCCCTGCCGCGTGTCCACTCTGACGAAACATCGTGTCGAAAAAAGTCGAATTGTTTCGCTCGTACAATTGTGTCCAGATAATAATTTAATACTCCGAAATTTTGACAATCAGCTTGGAAAAGCTATGCATGGACTACGACTGGACTTTCAACTCATGCAGAGATAACGAAACCGCGTATCTTTCGGTATCGTTGAGAATTTTCGCTGCTTTACTTGGAAAGCTCGTAAACTTAATCTCGAGTTGTCCAAGTTTTTATCCCTCTGCGAATTTAAATGTTGAAGAGATGTTAAAGAAAATGTCCGATTCGAGCAAGCAAACGTTTGAACGAAAAAATAAAACGATATTTATATATATGTAAAAATAAAAGAAACGACAAGCGACGCTTTCGTTATTTCGATAAATAATAATTTCCATCTTTCAGTAGGTCCAGTAGGTTTAGAATTTTTGGTTGAAGGTTTCCTCTCTTTAAAGAAAGAGAATCCGCTTTCCTAAACTCGAAGGGTGTGCTTCCTCCCCGTTTTGGATGAAAGAGGGAGAAAAAGGTCGACGGAAATGAAGATTTACAGGGACGGAGAGTCTATGAAAAAAAGACACGGCGTGCTCAAAGAATGACACATGGACGTCCCGCGTAATAATTCATCGCTTCTCTTGCTCATTTTTTTTCGCGCGAACGAAGCACTCATTCGAGCTTGTAAATCTTTCTCCGTCGAGCATACGTGCTCGAATGGAGATCTCAACGCGAAAGAAGGGATCATCCCATTGTGTATTTTTCGATACGACTTCTCCTTCTTTTTTTTTTCTTTTTTTTCTTTTTCTTTCTTTCTTTCTTTTTTTTTTTCATCTCAAAAGCGAAACGAATACCAGATACATTTATGAAATTGTTCTCGACCGAAAAATGTCTCTCTGAGAATGGAAACACTTGGACTCGCTCGTCACGCGGCCATTTTCTCCTCCTTTTCACTTTTATCATTTTTTATTTCGACCAGAGAGAGATGTCTCATCCGACATTTCGGGCAACAAAAAGAAGGACGGAAGAGGGGAATCGAGACGAGAAAGTTTGACAAGAGTTTAAAAATCAACCCTCTTCGTCTCGTAACACGAAGATAGTTGGCGCCACCATTTTTTCCAAATTTCTCATCAACCCGAATTTTCTTTGGCTCTCGTCTTGGAAACACGAGATTTTTTTTCATCTCGATCCCTCTTGCCAGGAATCACGTTGAATGAATCATGTCGAGTCGAGGATTCCTTTGGCCAAATTTTTTTTCCCCAAGGATTGTCCTCGATGTTTCTTTTGTGAAACACTTTTACCTTGAAGATTTTTAGACAAGATGCGTCCCTTCTTCAGATTCCTTGGAATAATACTTTACGTATGCCAATCGATCGAATGAATTTAAAATGGCAGAAGAATTTAAAATGTTTCTTAACAGAGAAATATTTATCCTTTTTCCGTTTGTGCACGTCGAATAAGATTCTGTTCCAAACATAGAGAAACATTTCAATTACGCTCAATCGCTCGTTAATTATTTATAATCGAATTATAATGCAATAAATATATTAAATACACTTACTGTAATAAGCATCTTTCGAGTTCGCGTCTTTTATTTTAAATAAGCGAACGAATAAACGGGAAGGCGTTTAGAAAGACGCGTAAAAAGATGAAAATTTCCTCCATTAACGACACGAGCAATGGAAACCTGTATCAGTTCGAAATCGTCTCGTACGTATCTTTGTTCCCGGAATATTGGCGAAGCCTTAGTGCCTTATGCTGAATTTACGTAAGAACAAAGAAGAGGGTTACAAACTTGATTAATCCAACCTGCTTAATGGATCAAGCTCGTCCCGTTAAGCTAGAATCACGTCGAAGGTTCCTCCATAATCGATTCAATTTTACGATTTTACACGATGCACACGCATCGTGAAATCTAAACATCACAGAGATCGATCAATCGCACATTTTCTACGTTTATTCCATTATTCTATTTGTTTTTAAAATTTCGAAAAAAAAAAAAGAAAATCTTGTCCTAATTTTAAAGATCTGTTCTATTTTTTCATTCCATTTAACATACATCAAAATTCATTATTTTTGTAGAGACGATCCTATCGCGGATTGTGCATTATTATTTGGATTTCGTGCAACATTTTACAACTCTTTTATGACTCACGTAGTTTGTATCGAAAAATCGATAATCTGTTTCGAATTCTGATACGTATAATTAAATTAGAATAGTGTTTTCCTTTTGCTTGGTTTTAGGATAAGACACGGTTCGCTTAATCCGCCATTGTTCTTGTCTCAGCCGCGAAAATTTAAACGAGGCCGCAAGCGGTTCGTTTCCCCTTTTATCTGGAAGGGAGACGTACTGATTAAGCGGGAAAGTTGGCTTCGTATTTCACATAGGTAGATTCAACCAAGATACGCGGCAACACACTCTGACCGCAAATTCGATAATCTCTCAATCTCAAAGCGAAATTAGCTTTATCGGTGGCCCCCGCTCGATCTATTTCAACGTGTACAATAGACAACACAGTGTTTTCGCTTTTTGCTTTTCGAACGTAAATAAATCGATATTCGTTTTTGTTCCTTGGTCGATTGATGCGCGCCATTGTGAGCATAAGATTTATCAGACTTTACGTATTATGCTTGACGTGTGGGTTTATCGACATACTTGCGTCGGTTCCGTAAGAACAAATACACGTTTATCTTTCTGCAAGCAATTTTTAAAACAGAATATTTCTATTTGTATTATTGTATGCATATCATTTTCTTGCTTGTGTATCAAACAAGTTATCTGAGTTTGAATTTATTATTCAAGCACACGTTATAGATATGCATGAATAAAATTATTGAAACGTTATTTCTTCTAAATTTGATACATTAAATTGCACTCGTTATTTCAAAGGAAGAAAAGTGAAAAATTTTAACAGCAAATAAAGGGGGATTGTTCTTCTCTCGACGTTTGTTTGTACGTTGAAGAATATAGTTGAAATGGAGAGAGATTGAAGTTTTCCCGGCAATATTGTCATTCGTATAAAATTTCGTTGTTAATCCAGAATGCAAATCGCAAGTAGGTCTTAAGCGGAGTCGCCTAGTTACCGTTTCATGCAAATTTTGTTTATAACCGCAACTCGACTAGAATTTCTAGGTAAATTCCGACTTTATAAGTCCGCGCTATCGAGAATTTCGAGCAATGAGATAATAAAAAATATCGAAACTCTCCCCTTTCTCCTCTTATGCAATTCTAACTATTTACGAAGTCTATCCATTTTCATAAGTAGAACGTC